CATAGCCAGAGAGCTTCCAACTAACATCCGCAAGCCAGAATGCTCCAATGCATAGTGCGCGGATATCATCCAAGGTATGATGGTGGCCTAACATAGACTCTGATGCTAATCTTGCAAACTCGGTGTAGCATGTATCAAATGTACGTTCCTTGGTCGGCATGTGAAGCGCGGTAACAGCTAAAATGGCGGCAGACAGCATTGATGAAGATCGTCGTACAGACGTCAAGTCTTTATGTGCTAGCAAAGCTCCATCCCATAGATAGCGGTTGAGTACCTGATCGAACTGATAGAACAGCTCCTCCGCTTCCTTGATATCGACCACTCCGCGCGAGATGAGGTCAGTGACCAGTGCTTGGTCTGGTGCAACCTTCCGACCGGGCGAGCTCTCGCGGTTCTCACTGAGCTGCGTCACCTCATATAGACTGCCCATGGGTGCTGTGACCAGAGAGGTTGCGCCAGTTTCCTCGCGGTCCAAAGAATACCGTGGCTGTTGTTGTGGGAAGCCATAGTTTGACCTTGCGGCTGTGCCATCTCTTGCTGTACTGTCAACTGACTTGGCCTTTTTATGTTGCGCGAGTGGATTATCATCAGTCGAGACTGTGGAGTCTTTCCGGCCTCTCTTGTTCGAAGGCGTCTCAATTGTACCACCGCCTGCTTGGTAATATGATAGCTCCGGTAGCTGCGATTTCCTGAGCAGGTCCGTCATTGCTGATTCGATCATTGATTTCCACCTGTCGTAGCCGGCGCAATCAGTATATGTTACCAATGTAAACACCGAAGATAAGGCACTCACTCAGCTTCGTCCTCCAGTAATGTCTGGAGGCTCTTGTTCACAACACACTCCAATCCCATGCGCTGACACCGCGAGCACACTGAGTCAGTTGCCTTCATGTCACAGCGCACCTTGTGCCGTTTACACTCAGTGCATGCCCGTATCCGTCGAGAGATCTTCGGAATATGGGGAGGGCGATCCTCCGGGGTGAAGACACCCTGCGGGGAGAATCGGACGAGGCGTCGCCATTGGCCTCGAACTGAATGCGATTCCGCTTCATGTTGGTGTGGAAGCTGGACTCATCCTCCGCTTGGCGCATTCCGGGGAAGACTGAAAGGCGGGGTCGGAGCAGCTTCACATCCGTGGACCGGCCGGTTCTGGCCCGAATTACTCATTACGGGTTGGCCGCCTGAGGCAGACATGCATATTCAGGCGTAAATAAGGCAGGAATGGGCCTGGGCTTGACCGGTCACCTGATCTTGTGGTACGCTATGCCCGATTAAGTTTAAATGGTGTCGCGCTTCCAGCCCAGCGCGTTCGCGTACTGCGACAGGTCAAGCTTAACTCTCTACACAGACACCAGATTCCAACTTGAGACAACCTGAGCTCGCATCCAAGATGGGTATTAAGCGTAAGTATATATTCTTCATTATTCTCGCCTCTTTGCTAAATAAGTCCAGACCTGTACCAGGTGATCTCCGAGAATGCGCCCGATGCGATCAAGACGGGCGAGATCAAGAACCACTTCGGCCGCAAGGTCGCAATTGTATGAGTTGTATAACCTGCGATATATTTTCAGATGCTGACATATAAACTCTTCGAATTAGGATGCGTACGTCATTGGATCACCGTCCCGGTAGCTCAAGGAGCTCTAGTTGCTAACCCAGAATAGCTCGATGAGCATCTACAGTTTCCTGATCGCCGTGCGCTCGGAGGGCCAACAGCTCATGAGTGAGTCTGGCGAGACCACATCCCATCTGATGGGCATGTTCTACCGTACTCTGCGGATGGTGGACAACGGCATCAAACCTCTGTACGTTTTCGACGGAGCCCCGCCGAAGCTAAAGTCTGGTGAATTGGCGAAGCGTGTTGCACGCAAGGCTGAAGCAACCGAGGCCCATGAAGAGGCCAAGGAAACTGGAACTGCAGAAGATATCGAAAAGTTCTCACGACGGACTGTCCGCGTGACGCGTGAACACAATGCGGAGTGCAAGAAGCTCCTTGGACTGATGGGAATTCCTTTCATTGACGCGCCGACGGAAGCCGAAGCACAGTGTGCTGTCCTGGCTCGTGCGGGTAAGGTGTACGCAGCTGCGTCAGAGGATATGGATACATTGTGCTTTGAGTCGCCGATTCTCCTACGCCACCTGACGTTCAGTGAGCAACGCAAGGAACCTATCCAGGAGATTCACCTAGATCGAGCGCTTGAGGGTCTCGATATGGACCGCGCACAGGTGCGCCATCCTACATAGTTCTGGTACGCGTAATCACAATTGCTAACTACGTCTACCATGCAGTTCATCGATCTCTGCATTCTTTTAGGCTGTGACTACCTGGAGCCTATTCCCAAGGTGGGAGCCACCACTGCTCTCAGCCTAATCAAAGAGCACAAGTCTCTGGAGAAGGTGCTGGAGTTCATGAAAAATGATCCGAAGAAGAAATTCGTAGTTCCTGAGGACTGGCCCTACGAAGATGCGCGAGAACTTTTTATCAACCCGGACGTCCGGCCTGCCGACCATCCCGAATGCGACTTCAAGTGGGAAGCCCCCAACGTTGAGGGCCTGATTGAGTTCCTGGTTGGGGACAAGGGCTTCAACGAAGACCGTGTGCGCAATGGTGCCGCCCGTCTGTCGAAGCACCTCAAGACCGCTCAGCAATCCCGGCTGGAGGGATTCTTCAAGCCTGTCGCCCGCACTGAGGATGAGAAGGCGTCGCTCAAGCGCAAGCACGACGAGAAGCTGCAGCAGCAAAAGAAGAAAAAGAAAGAGGAGGCCAAGGCTAAGAAGGAGGCCAAGGCGAAGCCGCGTGGAGCGGCCTAGTTTGTTGGCAAGAGATGCTTCTTCTTTTTTTCCTTTAAAAACAACTTACGATGCAAAATTCTTTCCTGATCTAACATGAGCTGGACTGGCGTGGGCGTTCTGTGGTTTATTTGTTTCATTATTTCTTATTATTTTCGGAGAATGTCCGTTTCGCCTCAAGATCGGGACAGGGCATGAAGTTCCGTGTATCATAGCAAAGGTGATCTGATTTGAAACAAAACTTGAGGATTATGTATTCCGATGCTTCTCCATTGTTCCAATAACTGTTTCCAGCCCCTTGGAGGCCAGGATCAGACAAGATCAAGTAAAGCAGATACCGACATTTCTTCTGATCCTCGTGGCCACGGTTGATGGGAAGGTCCAAAAGCTGTAAATTTGTTATCTCCCATCTGTTCTTCATATATGAGCATACCAGATCTCCTTTGCAGGTGTTCTGGTGTCGCCACCTTAGGGGTGTCGATATCCAATGTTCGCGTACAGTGTTATATAGATCGGGCCCGATTAGCGAGATTAATCGAGGCCTCACAACATCAACCACTGATCTTCACAAGGGAAAGCAGGAGACACCTCGAATACAGAAAATATATGCTGGCATCAGTTACCATGAGCAATTTACATCCTCAAAAGATGCAGAAATAGTCCACGTAGTGCAGGATCAGCGTTCTCACCAGCTAAGCCCTTGATTCGACGCGCCGGTTGCGCATGCAGACACGATGATCCCCGTCGCACAGCTACGCTGATGGACCAATAATTGGGGTCATACGGTCCGCAAGTCGGAGTTTAATGGGGTTGTATTTTTATTTTATTATTATCCGTTTGTGTTGGTTCGGCGTTGGAGCAAAACGGGCTCAGATGGGTCCCTATACATCGCGGTCGATCCCAGGCCTAAGGTTTGTTGTTTCTTCCCGGTAACTTTATGAGTGTGTATCAGCGGGGAACGGTGGGATCGGGGCTATTCTGCGTCTTTTATTGGTTGTGTCTGCTGATCGTGATGTGACTATATGTTGGCAGTGGCGGTGCAGGTGCTTCCAAGTTTCCCCTCTCTTGATATATATCGCGTGCCACCCTGATTTTGAGTGAAGTTGGGCTTCATAAATGTCCGGTTTACTATGGAACTTCTCGTAGCTAGCAATTTAATATGTAAAGTTTACAAAAATATATCCATTTGGCTTGCCAGGTTCGATAATATGTATGTCATCACTGTTGCTTCATAGGTGTACGTTGTACATGCTAATTCCGCCATTATTATTCCATTACTGTCTACCTAATCGAAAGACACTGAATTATTCATTATTATTCACAATTCATTGGAGATAGTAGTACATACCTGTCCGTAGTAAAAGTGGTGTATACGAGTGTCGACATCATCACGGGGTTGTACCATGGAAATCGAGTCTTCAATAACGTGACCTTTTCAGCACGAGGCAATGCAGGTCCAAGCAAGGAGGGCTGCGATGCATCAAGGAACCTTATATAAGAAGGTACTATAAGGATGATTGCGTTCTTCGGATTCCTGCAAGAAGGGTGCCCCCGAGAATGGTTACCCCAGATGGCATTGGAATGTATAACAGAAAGGATCTCCCAGAGAGACACAGAGAGATATGCTCCAGGGCTCCAAAATAGAGTATGCGCGATTTCTATCGGGACGCGTAGAAGTAGTCTACCACTCTACCACTCTACCAGTCTACCAGTCTATCAGTCTATCAGTCTATCAGTCTATCAGTTTATATGAATATTATCGCGTTATAATATTGCAATGTCTTCTGTTATTCTAATAAATACATATGTATCCAAAAGAAAGACAAGTCAGACATCTCGATATTCTTAAGTATGTCATACAAAATAGAGAGAATGTGTAGACCAGCCATTCGTCCAAGTCAACACGCGCGAAGAGACTGCAAAAGAACACAGAAGAGAAACACCACATTAATATCAAAAGAAAAACCAAGAAGATAATATAATTCTAGAAAGAAAATCCTAAAGAAAAGTGCTTTTTTTTTTCCCTGATGATCTTGTCAACAACCGGTCGCCTATAAATCACGGATGCCCCGCGGCCTTCCCTTTCCCTCTGCCCTTTTCTCTTCTTCTTCTGCTTTCACTCTTACCACCTTTTCTCTTCTAAAGTCATCTCATCCCTTGACAACTTGCCCTTCTTCATCTACTCCTTTTCTCACTTTAAATCATCAACCATGCCTCCCAAGAAGGTTATGAAGGTTACCAGCGCGCCCAAGAAGGCGGCGCCTGCTCTTCACACTTCCTACCGTGGTATGTTTTCACTGATCCTGATTGCCCACCATATCGCGCAAAAGCGATATGGATATGGTTCCAGTCGCGAGCATCTGCTGATTCCATCCATACAGATATGATCAAGGATGCCATTATTAGTGTGAGTTGATCACTGCCGGCGCGAACTTGTTGTGATTCGGGTGGCGCGCCCGACCGTGACACGTCTTTGCCTTTGGGCATGGACAACCACAACAAAACCAATTATTAATTTTGTTTTGGTTTTCATTGCTGACTTGAGTCCTTTCTATGTATAGCTGAAGGAACGCAATGGTAGCAGGTATGTTTTGTGGTGTTTCCTTCATCGCCGATGCCTCTGGGATCAGCCCGGATTTTTGCGCCGTTTATTCCAGAAACACGTCACTAACTGAATCTCTCCTATTTCAGTCGCCAGGCTATCAAGAAGTACGTTCAGTCCAACAACAAGATCAACGTCACTTCCCAGAGTGTCTTCGACTCTCAGTTCAACAAGGCTATCAAGGCCGGTGTTGAGAAGAATGAGTTCACTCAGCCCAAGGGTAAGTCCTTCTTTTTATATTTACCCTGCGCGCATTGATTTTTACCCTACTCTGCGAGATTCGATTTAACTGCTGCGTCTTGCTGCATGTGTTTTGGATGGTTTCATCCGTTATTTGGCCATCTAACTGACGCGTCGCCCTCTAGGCCCATCTGGTCCCTTGAAGCTTGCGAAGAAGGAAGTCCCTGGCAAGGTCACTCATAAGCCTGCCGCGAAGCCTGCCGCCAAGGCCCCTACTAAGGCCCCTGCTAAGCCCGCTGTCAAGGTAAGCTCTCATCGCGAGGATGGATTCCTATGTTCCCTGCTAATCGCAATCGAAGGCCGCCAAGGCTGGTCCTAAGAAGCCTGTCTCACCGAAGGCTACCACTACCAAGAAGACTGCGGCCAAGAAGACCGCCACCAAGCCCAAGGCCAACACTGGCAAGGCCCGCAAGACTTCCGTCGCCGTAAGTTGATTCCGGATGTCCAGTCCGTCTCCCCCTTGATCGACCCGTTACTGACGAACATTCCAGGCCCCTGCTGTCGTTGAGCAGCCCAAGATTCTGGGAAAGACCAAGTCTGGCCGTGTCACCAAGACGACTGCCCCGCAGCCAACATCCACCCGGGCAGCCCCCAAGAAGCGGACTACTAAGAAATAGAGGGTTTGATGTCCTCTTGTTTTTTTTTCCCACTAGGCTGAGCTCTCCCCATATTTTCACGTGCGCATTTCCAGGGAGAGTACCTGGTTCTGATTCCTTTCTTCTCTTGTAATTTCTTTCTTTGGACTCACTGATCTCTGTGGCTCCGATGGTTTCCTTGGCTTTTTGGTTGCTTTTTTTTTTGGCTTTTTGGGTATCTTCGTTATTATGGTTTTGCTTTTCGAAGTTGAAATGGATGGCGTCCTGCGGTGGGTTTTGCAATGGGGAACTATGGTCTTCTTATTACCTTGATATTGTGATTAGTTCCATTGTCAGTGTGGAATTCAAATTGGTTTTGGTCGAATCTGGTTATATTGTAGAGCTGGTACTATGTAAACTGTCGACCGCGTATATTGTAAGATTGTAAACAAACTGTAGATCTCTCCCTTGTCCCGTCAGTGTTTCATTTTATGTTTTATCTTTGTGCATATGTATTCTTTGTATCTCTGTATCACTTGGTCTATTAGACTGAAATAAGTATTATTCATTATTCTCATTGGAATTTTGTTCTATCGCCGTTGAGGTACATATGTAGTCATTGAACCCAGGTTACATATTCGAGAGAATTCGTGAAGTCGGAAATCAATAGAGTACAGTATAATTTGTAGACATGATCATATTGAAAAAGCTATTCTAGAAGATGTTGCCCTAGTAATAAGATCTAGGTTGAGCCACTTTATACAAGGACCGTGTCCATTCACTCCCAGAGTGATTGTAAAACACAGTCTTTTTAGTCATCTTCATGTTCCTTCAGAACACTGTACATGTCTGATCGACCAAAACACTGCCCCATGCTCCTTTGTCTGCCCTTCATGGAAATAGCCTGCAGCCTGCAGTCGGCTCACCGCATCAACAGCAAGATCATCGGGCCTGGGATATTGAATATTTATCCATCTACTTAATTGGGAAGCACTAGAAGATTAGGATTGCGGGGCATAACTGTGAGCTATGGTACATGACTGATAGATAACTCTGATATGGATGGGATTAGGGCTTCAAAGATCAGCACATGGATGCTGAGATATCCCTACAGTGTGTCTATTTTTAATATCGGCACGGGTGACAGTTGTTTCCCGGAGACATTTGTTTCTCGGAGACGGAGATGCCGGTTAAAGAGGATCTTTACTATATTCAATGTCTCTTTGTACAAGTGGAGAATTTCCCCTGTGGCGCAGATACGGAAGATTTTATTATACTATTTTTGGAATTACCTTGTATACAATATGCAAAGTACAACATACAATATACAGATATTGGGAGATGTTAGAGTATATCTACCTAGGTAATTCTATAAGGAGTATATATCTCTAAATAGAAGACAAAAGAAAAGAAAAGGGCCAGGAACAGATAGGCTGACTTTTAATTGGTTGCCACCTGGTCCAAGGGGGTATTGGTCCAGATATCCCAGGGCAATATATGTTATCTTATGTGCTATGTGACTATATCTATATTATACCTTTGATATATACATATACATATATATAGAGATATAGAGACTAGTACTCCATATAAAGGTTGGTGCAACAATCTCCTTGCATAACCAACTTGGAGGGGTATTAGAGCCCAACGAAAGATAGTTAACTATGTAGTTATAGAAGACAGTAACAGAAGGAAAAAGAAATACACAACTATACATATATATGTACTTATGTAACTAGTACACTACACGTATGAAATGATGTGATAAACCGCTGTCATAGAACATCCGAGTTTTTATGCAGTAGCCTGATACCCTTGGTATTTATGATATGACAGTAATTCATATAGAAATCTCTAAACAATTAAATAAAGCCTTCTATCAGAATATAATATACAGTAAATATCTATATTACATTCAAATATATACAATTATATACCATTATCTATACAGAAACAAAATTCAAGTAGAAACATGTGAACGGTCCACGTCCGATGTTCTCCATACGTGTAATTCTTCTCTCCCAGACAACCATCTTCCCCCCCCCCATATTTCCCCATTTACCCTCCCCTTTCCCTTGCATTGAATTATGTTAAGTTGAATACCCTCGCCCTGGGGCTCTATACTCTCTTTGTTTCCTTTCTGGAACTCCCGTCCGGTTCACAACTTTCCTGGATCTCCGCCAATAAGGGCGACTGCCGTCACTTCGGGTTGCCGGTCCACGCAGAACTCACGTCACTGAAATTTCAACATGCCAGCCTTCTCCAACGACGTCTCCTACCAGACTGCCACTGCCACAGCCACCCATCCTCGCTCGTTCGAATCATCCCGAAAGTCGCACGACAAGACCCCCGTTGGAAATACTTTCCTGTGGACCAACTGGCCCAACGGCAACGACGCGAATCACGATCATCAGAATGACCGACACCTTCTGACCGACCTTAAGAACGGCAGTGCATACTCCCTGAATGGCCCTCGCTCTAGTGTCGGCTCGTACACGCGCGACCCGCCCCTGTCCAAGGACGGCAGCATGCATTCGATAGGCAATGGATCCATGAGGGATCCCCGCGAGAACGGCCGCCCGTCAGCCATGCTGGACCGTAAACCTTCCGACACTGGACCCGGTGCTATTTCCACAACGGCATCCCCTTCTAGCCAACAACCTAATGGCACTGCAAATGGCCGGCCTGTCCAGGGGAAACTCATGGTCAATGGAGACGTTCACCCACCCTACGCCGACGAGTCGTCGATCTCGCCATCGGCCTCGCTCTTACAAATCCCGCAGCAGGATGAGACCGGTCGTTATTCTCCAGACCCTGATCGCTTGACACCGAGCTCGAAACCCGGCCAACCACGCCACTCCTCCCCTCCCGCCTCATCCATACTCGACGCCGCCTCCGTGCCAGAATCGCAGAACTCCAGTATGCGACAACGACATTCATTGCAGGTTCCGAGAACGCCTAGTGTTCGACGAGATAGCCGAGAATACCCCGATGATGCTGCGTACAGCACTGGCCGAATGTCACCGACGACCGGCTTCCGACGCGCGTCAGTCGGTCTAATTAGAAGGGCAACGAAAAACAGCACCCACCAAGATATCACTCTGGATGAGGCACCGCCGGATGAAGATGCGGCCCGATGGGCCGAAGCTATCAAACAAAAGCGAGCCTCGCGACGACGCCGCGAAGAGGAGGACGACGAGCGGGTGATTGTGGGCACCAAGGTGGACCAAAACCACGTCAACTATGTGACGGCATACAACATGTTGACTGGTATCCGCTTCACGGTCTCGAGAATCAATGCGAAAATGGACCGAGAACTCACCTCGGCGGACTTTAATGCCAAACACAAGTTCTCCTTTGACATGTGTGCACCCCTCCCAATGTTGACAATTTGGACATGACTGACAGTAGCAGAACCGGAAACGAGCTGATTCCCTCCGCAAAATATGACTTCAAATTCAAAGACTACGCACCGTGGGTCTTCCGACACCTTCGCGCCAAGTTCCGTCTCGATCCCGCCGATTACCTCATGTCCCTCACAAGCAAGTACATTCTATCGGAGCTGGGCTCCCCCGGCAAGAGCGGGAGCTTCTTTTACTTCTCCCGCGACTACAAGTACATTATCAAGACCATTCACCACTCCGAGCACAAGCTTCTCCGGAAGATTCTTCCTGAGTACTACCGACATGTGGAGAACAACCCAAACACACTCATCTCACAATTCTACGGATTGCACCGAGTCAAGATGGCGTACGGCCGAAAGATCCACTTTGTCGTGATGAACAACCTGTTCCCGCCCACCGGGATATCCACCAGACATTCGACCTGAAGGGGTCAACGATTGGTCGTGATCTGCAGGAGTCAGATCTGGAGAGAAACCCCAGAGCAACTATGAAGGACCTGAACTGGGTTCGTCGTAACCGTCACTTGGAATGTGGCCCGTCAAAACGAGATTTCTTCATTGAGCAATTGAAACGTGACGTTGTGTTGCTCCAGAGACTCAAAATCATGGACTATTCTCTTCTGGTAGGAATCCATGATGCTGGCAGGGGCAATGAAGAGAAACTGCGTGACAAGACTCTTCAGGTGTTCCAGCCAGGAGGCAACCGCGAAGAGGATACGACTCCCAACAACCTGATGCGCACTCCATCGAAATTGGAGAATGAACGCAAGGCCCGGGAGCTGCGTATGCTTATCAAACGTGAACGGCCTGTTCCATTGGACAAAGCAGCTGCGAAGATGCCAGATGAAATCCTCGATGAACGGAAATATCATGTCTTCTACGCGGATGATGGAGGTTTCCGGGCCACTCATGAGAATGGCCAACCCGGCGACGAGATCTATTACCTCGGTATCATTGATTGCTTAACTCATTACGGGACCACCAAGAAACTGGAGAACTTTTTCAAAGGACTCTCGCATGACCGGACACAGATTTCTCCGATCCCGCCAGAGAGCTACGGAGAGCGCTTCATTAATTTCATCAAGGGAATCACCATGTCGAGGGAAGAAGCCGAACGACGACGCGAGTCTCGAATCTCCGCGTCCGGTGCACCTCAGCAATCGACCGAAAACCCACGTTCGAGATCCTCGTCTGTCGAGCGAACAATGCAGGCAGCGGAGAAGGAAGCATCGAAAGACGTGTCCATCACGCATCCTCGAACGTTAGCCACTGTTTGGGACCCAGCAGATGCCGGGGGGCCCCGGTCCGACTTCGACTCTCCCCATCGTGGATGAAGCCGGCGAGGCAAGCAGTGTCGGAGGGCGCAGCTCACACAGCCGACACGGCCCTCCAGCATCAGACAAGGAATTGCCCCCTGTCCCTCGTGACGCTCCACCGGCAACTCCCAGCAAAGGCAAGGATGTTGATCGGCGCAATTTCCTGGCTCCCAGTGCGGCCCGACGTTAGCCCTTTGCAGCGACTGGCATACTCTTGATACCTTCATTCGTCCCTTTATCTTGTTTCCTTTTTTGTTTTGCTTTGTATTCAGCGAGATATCCCCCCTTGTTGCTCTTGATAGAACTACCTATTTTGTTTCCTCAGCATGGGTCTGCGCGAGGCATATCATCTTCCTATCCTCATACTTTTCCCAAACATTTTCCGCAAGAACCTGATGTTCACGAGTGACATGTGTATAATTTCTGTTGTTGAGCGATCCATCTCCGTCTCTTCGTGTGTTTCCTGTTTACCTTTGCCTGGATTACTCGGAACATTTGGACAAAGCCCAAAGCCGAAGCCGGAAGGCTCAACCTCACCGACTCCTCTGTTCTCTTCGCCATCTCGAACGCCTTCATTCTCTCTAGCCTTGCTTACCACGACCCTGTACCTCTGCGGACCACCTGTGGGCTGTACAAGTTCCACCCTCCTTGGTCGAACATATCATTGCCACACTCTCTATATCATAACCAGACCTCATCTCCAGCCCAATAAGTGCTATCGTCATATCCTGTGCCAGCGTCACATCGATGATCCAATCTTTTCACCAACCATCCCATTTCCTTTTTTCATTTTTCACTTTATTTTGTTCTCAAAGAACGCCTTCACAGCTAAAGACTAGCGCCGGCCCCAGAATCCGGCCTCACTCCGTTCATCGAACGCTTTTTTCCTTATTGTATCTCTCTTGTGTTACTCGTTTCTTTGTTTCCTCTTTGATTTGCATGTTCCTCGATCGCGTCTCTCTCCATACCCTGTACCAACCACTATACCACATGTTTTCTCTCGATATTCGTGCTTCTTATTTGCTGAGGGTGATCAACTTAGCAGAATTCAGCGTGGGAACTTCCTTACTACTTCTTCTGTTGTATGCTTCTGTAGATGGTAAAGCCAACGGGCTGCTTTATAGCACACTCCGTGAACACAATGTACGGACAGTAACTTCGTATTTACGTTGCGCAGGTGCTATACTATGGTGACTACATGCTTCGCTCAATATGCCTATATCTTCTCCAGCCCGGAGTAGACAAACGCAGAACCCAAAGCCAGCACATGCGTACGATTACCAGCATACGGACCGAAATTAACCTAGATAAGCCAGGATAGGCAATTCATTATTCAAGCGCAGCATAAACTGGGCCGCAAGAAAGCAATCATGGACCTAAGTAAGAGACCACTAAAAAAACCCCGTTTCAACCATGATGGAACGCGAGCAAAACAAGATCAGAAAAGATGTGTAAGACCTGCCCATTCATCACGCAGACGCCATATTCTCAAGAGAATCAATAGAAAGTGTAAGATAGAAACAGAAAAAAGAGAACGAAAAGAAACACCCCCATTTGACCTCCGAGGAAGGACCATGAAACGTAAAGCAAAGCGTAGTATGCAGCATAACCGCAAGAAAAGACAGAGCCCGGCTGCACGTCAGATCGCGACAGCAGCCGTGATGCAAGTTGCATCTGCATCTTACTCGTTCTTGCCCTGAGTGACCTTGGCAGCCTGGATAGCCGACATCTTCTGAGTCCAGCCCTGGGTAGGCTGGGGCTTCTTGACGGTGCGGAGATCATCGGTCGAGAAGCCGGATATGCGCATGTTGTAGTTGCGCTCGAGGACGAGCTGGATATCGCGCAGCTCGAGGGTCGAGGAAGGGCGCAGCTTGGCGAGACGACAGGCTTGGGTGACGACTTCGTCGACGAAGTCATCGGCCATTTGGAGGATGAACTGGGAAATGTTAATATTGATCTTATCTTTATTTGTCTCTCACTTTGGAAAAAGGACAAGCTTACCTCTTCCGCATCGGGAGTCAGCATTTCTCCTTCGCCGCCACCGGTGACCTGGCGCACGAGGATGTCGAGCATCTTCTTGCTCAGAACGCGCTGGCCTTCACCTTCCAGGACGTAGCCCGGGTGTTTCTGGATCGCGGGCTGGCCCATCATGCCCATGGCGCCGTGGCTGGGACCGCCGGACAGAGAGGGACGAGAGCCTGGCATCGAGACTGGCTCGGGGGTCGAGACGTGCAGGTTCTTGGGGATTGCCATGTTAGTGTTGCGGGTCGAAGCCTCGCCTGGACGGTTGGCAAGATAACCCTGGGGGGTGAGCCTGCTGGTTGGCCGCCTGTTGGTTCATTGTTTGTTGTTGAGGGGTAGGGTTGGTGTAGGTTTGTGCAGCTTGTGAGATAGCAGCTTGGTGTGAGAGAGGACGAGGCGGGCCTTGGTTCACCTGCTGGGGAGGCCCGGGTGGTGTGGGAGTGGAACTGTCAGGATGGGGGTTTTGGCTGAAAGTGACTTGCCCTCCTGGAGTTCCTTGCTGGGATGGTTGCTGTGGACGTTGCACCTGAGGCAGTGGCGCACTGATTGGCACTGGAGTATTTCCAGCAGATTGGGCGGAAGGTGCTTGACCAGGCTGAGAAGTAGAAGGGGACATGGCAGTTTGGCGTGCTGCGTTGACCGCCGAGTTGATAGTATGGGGAGCTGGGGGTTGAGGCTGCCCTGATTGCATGGCATTTGCTGCCGCTCCTGCCTGGGCATTTGGTACACTTTGAGTTGACACGGGAGGTGCGACTTGGGCTTGGTTCATATTAACAGGTGTATTTGCCTGTCCTGCCTGATTCATCGCTTGATTCTGTGGGTTCTGCTGTGACTGAATCTTGAAGCTTTCTTGCTGTTCCTTGAACTTGTTCAAGAACTCGCTACCCTCTCGGAAGAGCTTCTCAGCCGCCAACTGTCGGTTTTTGAATTCTTGCATTTCCTCTTGGCTCATATTGCCCTGAGCCTGCCGCTGAGCATATGACGAACGAAGATCAGCCATGCGGGCCCGGCCAACCTCCTGCTTCTGGAGAGCGATACCATATCGCAACCGAGCCTCGGGTATCCATGTCTGCACCTGCTCGGGGGTCACGTTCGGAGGCAGGAAGAAATTAAGCGCGCTAACCCGTGCTTGAATTTGCGGGATGAGCTGGTTGATCGTCTGCGGGTTGTTGGACTGCGTTCGCTGGACCGGTTGTCCCTGCGGTCCCTGCGTACCTTGAGGACCTTGTACTGACTGAGTCTGCTGCCCCTGTTGTGGCTGTTGTCCTGGCTGTCCCTGCGCCGCTGCCTGCTGCTGCTGGTGCTGTTGCATTGCCTGCTGTCGGTTCTGCTGGAAAACCCGCATTCCCTTCATCAAATTCTGAGACAGCTGCGAGAGTTTCGTATGCGCCTGTTGGTATTCTTGGGTCTGTGGATCGCGGGTGTTGAGCAGATCCCAGAGACTGCGCACTAGCTGGGTATGCTGGGCCTTCTGCTGGTCACTGAGGTGCGGCAGCTTCTGCACTTGATCGGTTCGAATGAGGTTTGAGTGCTGCGGCTGCTGCGGGGCACCCATTGGCTGGCCAACCTGGCCCTGAGACCCGTCCATCTCCGCGATGATGTACTGGGGCTCTGCGGGGGATTCAAGGGCACGAGGAGTTGGGTGTTGGAGACAGGATAATCGAGGTAAATTGTTTGTGGCTTTAGATATGGCCGGTCGCAGTTGCCTATCTAGGTAAATATTAAGCGAGGCTATACTCCAGGGTTATATCGCACAAGGTGGGATAAGTCCGAATGCAATGGACCCTAGGCTTTGGCAGATTACAACTTTTGACGGCGGTGATGGAGGTTGGGCCCGGTCTTGGCAACCGCTCTTTAACAGACTGTTCTGTTAAACTACAGCCATTCATGGATATACATTAATTAATTGAGTTGGTAATTTGTATAGCTTCTTTATTGCCTGTAACATTCTTTGACTTTTAGGGCAACTAACCTATGTGGTGTTGCAGTGGTATCATATACATTACTCCTATTACTCCTATTACTCCTGGAGAAAGCCTTAAAAAGGCCCCGGGGGCTTTAACTTGCCTCTCCCGACCGCCTTAAGGCGGTCAACCCTGGAAGTTCAGGAGTAAAAATCCGAGCACGGACCACTATCACGTGCCTGATCGCAAGAGATCTATAGTTCAGCGAGTGTTCAAAGCAGTGGTTTTCACTCTGGCTTTATTGGTTATATTTCATTTGCAGTGCACAATGCATTCAACTGGAGGAATAGTTATTTCTTTAAAGTACATGATATCATGTTCATGAAAACCTTGAAGACCGTCTGTTGTTACAAAAAAATGGCTTTGACCTCGAAGCAAAGCAAGACATCCCTGTTCCTGGTCTCCAAATCAATATTTTCGCCAGAAATTAGGGCAAGCAGCACACTAGCTGGCTTAAAGGATGGTGATTTTCTCTGATGATGCACTAGTCCACGCCGTACAATAGTATCCTACGACTTCCTTTTACAACACCTATAATGCTCCATTTCAGGTCAGAATCCAACTTACTCCTTGATGAACCAACTTCTTCTCCCCTGAGGCAAGCTCCAGCTCAATTTTCCACTCGATATCTATTCGCGGGATTGATAGAATGTTCAGGGCATTGGTGACTTAGCCCCAGGACTCATGTCAATATAAACCTAGTTCACACCACATGTCTGAGGGGTCTTTTACTGGGCATTCATTACTGGGCATTCATTAAAGTCCCATCAGTTGAAACAATATACAACACCAATCATTCACATACTCAATAACGCCATCATGGGCTCAACTGGTTCGATTCATTGCCGTCGAGGACACGCAGGTACATCTTGCCTAATTGGTGGACACCACTCCGGGCGTTAGCCGAAACAGCGCCTAATAGCGGAGATATTGACATCTACGCAATTGAAAACGCCGTGCTCGACGGGTGTATGGTGAATGAACCCATGCATTTCAAGCAGCTACTCTACTCAATTTCACAAGAGCATTACAACTAGATATATCTGTTGTCTAGGACCGAACTACATGGATCATGGAAAGGAAGGTAACCTCCGATCCTTTTCACCTAGCCACGAACTGCTTTACGCGGTCCTCATCTGGCGGAGATCAATATCCCCAATGTACGCAGGACTGCACGAGCCACAGAATAGTCGGCCGCTTATGCGTCCTTGTTATATCTATTAGTAGTCTTTTTAGTAGTCTTTTTTTCTAGATATTTTCTCCCTTCTCAATCAATACACAAGCTCCAAGCGCCCCTACCTTCTGTGGAATTCCTGGGAACATAGAGAATTGGGGCGCAAAAGCCTAATATACTGTTAGAAGCAAAATAATGATCATAAAGGTGCTACTTACTCCGGAACATCATGAACGAGTTAAGTGGTCGTACCTCGGTAGGCCGGTTTCCTCTGTGGTTTAGTTCGGGGGAAGGGAGAGAGAGAGAGAGAGAGAGAGAGAACTCGAAGCCATCGAGGTATTGGAGAAGCTCCCAACAACCGTTGTAAACTTTAGGCCCGATGATAGGGACTCCAGGTTGCGTAGAGAAAAGGATTATAAGTGAAAGGTAAATCAGGGAATCACTTTCAGAGCAAGTGGCCAACAATACATGAAGTCATTAGAGAGACCTCTCCAGGTGATAAGCCCTATAACGCCACTAACTGGAAAAAGATATCTCAAGGACATGTAAAGGCACTTAGAAAGATATGTGAAAAGACGTCTGAGAGAGATGTAAAAAAAGAGATCTGAAAAAGCATCTGAAAAAGCATCTGAAAAAGCATGCATCTGAACGTTTTCTACATATAAAGTCTCATATACTATCTTAGGCCGGATAAATTAGATTATTATGGCCTACATTTTCAAGGACAGAAGCCGCATACGCGGTCGACCACCCTCAGTCGTTATTTATGACTTGAGATCCGCGGAGCAAGGCATAATCTGAGGCTGAAGTTTCGACCTATATATGTTCCTCTCCCTCTCTTCCCCCGAACTAAGCCACAGATGACATGGGATGTACCATCCATGGATGGATTTCCTCTGCCACTTCTTCCAAAGTTGGCTTTCATTTTCCGGTTTAGTGCTCACCTCCTGCCGCTTTTTGCTCACTGAACAAATCATAAGCGTAGAGGTGGTGAACAGCCCGCAGAAGACACAATAAAATGCACGACGCTAGCCCCGTTCACGTGCCATCATCCTCTCTTAATTGCCTCCATTTTCCCATCAAAAAGCACTGGTATCTGTGACCGTTTATCGTAGTTTAACTTGCTGCACTTAATTGTGTGCTACAATGGAATTTACTATTTTATCAGCCGATCAGCACTACAGCACTACATTTCATACTACGTGCTCCTGGGAATACTCCTTCTACTACACCATGATCTCCTAATGAGGCCCTGGAGGACTGCTAATGTCAAAATTCAAGTACCTCTGCGGAATAGATCCCAACTGAGATCCTCCGTTCACCTCAAACCATGTACTCTTCCATAAGCAGGGTCTTCGAATTACCTCAAACAAAACCCTTCAATGGCGAATCTTGAAAACAACCTGAACGGCAATAGAAGTGACCTTCAGATGGCCAGATGCCAATAGGTTTTTGATTGAATTAGCTCTCATTGATCGAATTGGATGAGGCTACACACTACCAGGAACTGGGAAGAGAAAGAAGAAAATCTTAATCATTCTAACTAACTAGCAAAAAGCAGGCATCTATAGAGATGGGGCCATCTCAACAAAATTATATGCCTTGGCAACTAACTACCTGTTCCGTTCACTGCCTAGTTCGGATATTTCCCTCTTATTATCCGCAGGAAGTTCCAAACACATGTACATGTCCCCGCGCAACTCAGAGCGCCCATCTCTGGCGCCCACTGGAAGCTCAGGCATCGGCTGCACTGGGTGTGTTACAATCTCAGGCTCACTCAATTTCGCATTCTTTTGCTTCTTATTCCTTGCAATGAAGAACCACAACAAGCCTATAATCAGGGCTAGGCCAGCCACGCCACCGGCAACCCCTCCAGCGATGGCACCCCTGATCGTTGGATCGGATGTGTTGACTTCCTGTGGCTCGGATGTGGAAGAGGTTTCGTTATTAGCGGTAGTATTGGTTGTTGCCTCACTCTTTCCAAATAGGTTTCTAAGGGCTGAATCAGCCCATGGTGAGGGGGATGGAGAGGCCTTGATATCGCTGGCCGTCGAAGAAGATAGGGAAAATGAAGATAGGGCGGGCTGTTCAGCTATTAATCTGTTGAACTCGGCTTCGAAGGGGATAGAGTACTCACATCAAACGACGATCGTGTCGCCTCAGATTGAGCGTCATATATGAAGGCTGGAGCATCGTAACAACCTGCCTTGCCATCATCTGCCCAGGCACGTCTTCCGCCAATTCCAAAGATCTGGCGCCCGTATGTCGCACATGTGAGAGTCAGGCGGGGGTCGTCAAGAGGGGGCGGCAGAATACCATTTGAAGGACGGAATTGATAAGTAATTTCTACAAAGTGTCAGGCCGGTGCGTGGGGATCATGATAGAAAGCATACCACATACACATCCAGAATAGTGTCTTTGGATTTCAGGTCTGCCCCTCCAAGAACATATATCTGATATGAGGACGAGGATTCGTCGTGCTGCACAGAGGCACAGAATTGTGTTCGGGACGCTACAGTTCCCGTCGTGGACTGGTTATACCATTTTGCCCCAGCAATGTCATACACTTGGACATGGCTCCATGGGTTCTGAGACCTTGATTAGTATTCTGATTTTAACAGGCATTCCCAAAGCTTACCGAGCTCATCGTAGCGTTTATTCCATCCTTAATGGAGGGAACATCGCCACCAATATACACCAAAATTCCCCTGTCGCCAACTGGCACGTATGAAAGTGAACCTTCTTCGACAGCTTCGTAAGGCCCGTCGAGAGATGTGTACTGCCCGGTTGTGGTATTTAATTGAATCAGCCCCGTGGCGTATTCCCTTGTTGAGTCTGTGATTGAAACTGTCGTACCACTAGCCCGATAACCACCTATCCAAAAACCGGCTTGGATAGCAGGCGCATTCGTATACACTGCCAGAAAGCTGATATCAGAACCACGTCTCGGTATACCGATTTGGACTTCAACGTACCACCGTACTCCAGCCGCGAGGGCTGAATGGTGCCATCCTGTTTGCCCCACAATTTGTCTTTGACAGTATAGGTCCAGATCGTGTCTTCGGAAGTGATGTTGTCCAGAAACCTGCCTCCATACTGGTACAATGTCGAGTTTTCCGCGTTGGACCAGAGCGCCATGTCTTTAATCTTGGGAACGTCGGTGTCTATCTTGGTCATTTTATAGTTCTTGCCCTCGGAGGTGGAGAAAGAAGACGTGAGATCGAGCGTCACGAGATAATTGTCTAAGAGGCAGCATAAGTATACTAGGTCAAATTGGCGAGAAACAGCTTCAATTGACTTACTCGAAGCGTCGCCGTCATCTGGAATGAGTCCTCCATCGAGACCAACCATGTACAAAACATTGTTAGCAATATCCGCTACACAATCGATAAGCATCCGGGGTCTAAAATCGACTTTTCTCCACATACCTCCAAATCTGTAACTGCGACAGAACCCCCCCAGATAGATCCGACAAAGCTGTGCTTCTGGCAAGATTTATGACTCCAGCGGTTGCGAAAGAGGGAGGCAATACCCAAAGTAACATAAACCACCAAACCGCCATCTTGGCCGTTGCTTCGTAGCAAACATCCAAGTGCTAAAGAGAGTGGGAATTTTTCAGGGCCTAAGATGACACGGGCTGGGGAGCTCCATTTATGTTGTACTTCTCAATCACGGCGCAACCAGGAAGCTAGTGCACACAGGAAGCAAGTCCACTGGGCCTCAATCTTATTACTACTATCAAGGGCGACAAGAGTTCCAAAATTAGTCGTGTTAAGCGCTTGGGTCTTTTATTTAGGTGCCGGGTATGCAGATCAGAAACCCTGAACCAATCGACCTAGCAGAATATCCACGCTAACTTGACGGCGCGTGCGCCATGCAGTGTGCAGCAAAAAGGCCCCTCAGATAGACAGCACGGCTTTTCTTCTCATGAAACGGGAAATTTAAAACGTCAATCATTATTTGACACAGCCGATGACTTCAGTCCTAGTGTCATAAGTGGCTAGCGCTTCGACATTCTTGATCAATTGTGTTTTTGGACCATAACACATCAGAGGAACATCGTGTAGAAATTTTTCAAGGCAAAATATTGCACGGCATTTACTAGCAGGTGCTTATCGGATTGTGAGTGATCCCGAGGTCTGTAGTAAATTATGTAAGAACTGACGGAGTTCGCGAGACTTCAGGTCATTGTTTTGATAGAATAAATACAACCATTTGTCAAATGCCTTAATGCCTTATTTTTTGGGACTTTCTGGCTTAAGATTTGAACAATGGATAGACATCGATAACTATTTATTACTATCGTAAATCATGATCAGCTGTATCATACACATCTCTCATGGCTAACTTGGCATGAAGAATATGGGCACCAGAGATTGCTGGTGGTGATGACCTTGACGCAGGACGTTGCATTTTGATAACAATTGGAAGCGGCCCAGCAGTAAGCTTTGCTCAGAACAAAGGCTCAGTATGAACAGCAGCCTGCAGCGCTGAGGAGTCCATTCTGGCCGAGTATGACAACTTCAGACCCTGTTGTTGCCAATAACCACTGAAGACATGACTAACAGGGCCCCGGGGTAAACCAGGGATAAGCCATCAACCTGTAAAGCTCTTTCTTGAGAGAAAAAGATGTGGAATCCATTCGGTGATGTCCACTGAGCATAATGTCGCTTTTCTGATGGGTAGGGAGACAGACAAGATGCCAATAGAAAGTCTTCCATAATGCAGGAATATAACCATGGCAGAGGAAAATAATCAGCCTATCAAACCACCAAGGTCTCGATCCATGCCTGTAACCCGTTCTTCTAGCCTTCGCTTCCTCTGCTCCAAGTCTCGGATTTCGGCCAGCTCCCGCTCAATATCCTCATCAGTGACCTCTGGGATCTCAGGTTGTGCCACAGGTGCCGAAGGAAAATCATCTTCATCATCTCCATAGGAGTGTCTCATTTGATCTAGTTCTGCAGTGTTCGTTGCAACCCGACCTTCCAACTGCGCTATGGACTCACTGATCATCTCATGCCGATAACGAAGGTTGGCAATCTTTTCCTGTGCACCGGCAACCGGACTTTGAGCTGGTTAGATTAAACAAAAAGGCATTATCGCATTATGTGGCACTCACTAAACATTGCACAGGATCTCGGCCCCCCGGAGGAGCACTTCAATATTGACCTCCCCGCGGGGTCCTCTAGTTGAGGTGCCCGCTGATCGCTTGATCTCTTCCATCATATCATGCCCCAGTACTCTTGCCACTGCGGACTGATTACGGTTGTCCCGCGCCGAATAAATGCGGCTTGCCATCGACTCCCTTTCGGTCTCAGCGGGGAACATAGTCCCGCGTCGTGTGGCGCGTCTTTGTGATCCATGAGCCTTGGTAGAGGGATCAACCTGGAAGAGTGCTCGTTCGTGGGCTTCTGTGTCGCGGATCAAGGCTGTGATGTCGTGGGAGCCCAATAGCGCAGTGGTGAAAATACGTGGGGGAGGGAAACTGGACGCTTGCGTTAGACAAAGTAACATGGTTGAGGGGTGTCATGAGCACAAACGGCAAGTCAGCAATAGCATTGGAAGAGAGCGTAATCTGCTCTAGGTGGGAATTGAGTAGTGACATGTTTGCGCGTATCCTGAAGCTCTGGATTGTGATGGATAAGTAGTCGGATGCTCTACACTTCACCGCAGTGTTTACTCCAGGAAAGCTGCATATATGCCTGAGGCATTATATTCAGAATGTGTCAGCAACTACGTTTAGCCACGCTGAAATTGATTGAATACGATAGCGTCAGATTGATTCCAATTTACAGGATTTTCTCCTTTATTTTGCTTATTTTTTTTTTTCAACATCCTTTTGTCCTCTTTCTAATAGCTTCGATAGCAAAAGTGCCGAGTTGAGGCCGCCCGGTAAGCTCCACTGACTAAGCGCTCATCTGGTCTCTTGCGCCCGTTCATCCCATCTCTTGACATCACATCACCCATCCACTTCATCCATCTGTCCGCACAAGTTTTTCTTCTCCATTCTCGTGATATCGGCAGCTTGGCTCTCTTGAAATTGCTTTTCTGCTTTCTGTCTTCATATCGTGCTCACTCACCCTTCCCCCCTACTTCTTCCGATAGCTTGGTGGCCCAGCTGAGCTTGACAGCTTGAGAAAGATGCCGGCCGAAAGGCGTTCTTTGCGATCAAACAATAAATCCGACTCCTCTTCATCCGCTAACGGTGAAAAGGCAAACTCGAACTCTCAGAGCTCGGGTGCGAAAGACAAGGCGCCCACCACTCGTGCCGCCGCCAACAAGGTCAAGTCAGCTCCGACCAAGAAAGACGCAAAGGGCGCATCAAACGGCAAAATGGGAGAGGATGATCAGTCGCATACAAATGGGTCAAAGTCAACCGAGAACGGTGTGAATGGATCCGAAGATGTTGAGATGGGAGAGGATACGGCAGGTGCGCCTACATCCTCATCCAACACCAGCAAGGACCGCAAAAGTAACGAGAAGATGACTGTTGTAGTGCCCCCAACCAAGGGTTCCAGATCGTCCGGCAAGGATAAGGAGGAGGATGTGACGATGGAAGGTGCGGAGGAAGGTGATGTTGAGAACACCGAGCCAGAGGTCGACCCGACAATCAAGGCCATTCAAGGTTCGTCTAGTCTTCTTCCTTGCTCAACATAAGTCCAAAATTTTTAACAATGAATGTCTTTGTTCGGCATGGGTTTAGACATCAAATCCAACTTCACCTTGCTCGAGCGAGCCGTTGCCCACTTCGACCCCAGATTTACGCTCCGTGTTCTTCGATCGATATCGTCTATGCGGAAACACCTCACCCGGAGGTCCTCGCCGAAGTCATTGTGGAAACCTATTCCGCTTCTAGTTCGACCGCCTCGTTCCTGTTGGAAGCTCTTGGCCAAACCAATGCTTTCGAGAATGCTCCGGCCAACTCACAGATGGAGGTTGACTCGGATAAGAAGCCCATCCCCAAGGAGACCCTTGCCGAGGTGGATGCATATCTCTCTATTCTCGTCCAGATATACCTGTTCGACCAGCGGGAGATTCAGAAGGGAGCCCAGTTCTCGACAAGCTTGATCGAGCGCCTGCGAGCACTGAACCGTCGTACGCTGGATTCGCTCGCCGCCCGTGTGTACTTTTACTACTCTCTTTTCTTCGAGCAACTCGCTCCGCTCCCTCCTTCGCCTGCAGCGGCTGTTACCACTATCCGCCAGCCATTGTTGGCGGCGCTTCGCACGGCTGTGCTTCGGAAAGATGTCGATACACAGGCTACTGTGATGACCTTGCTGCTTCGCAACTACCTGTCCACGTCTCATATCTCACAGGCAGATCTATTGATCTCGCACAACCCATTCCCCGTGGCTGCGTCTAACAATCAGATTGCTCGGTATATGTTCTACCTCGGCCGCATCCGTGCCATCCAGCTGCAATACACTGAGGCTCATAGTCATCTGATTGGGGCTACCCGCAAGTCGCCTGCTAGCCAGGTTGCTCGTGGGTTCTACCAGGCTTCCCACAAGTTGTTGGTCGTTGTCGAGCTGTTGATGGGTGATATTCCTGACCGCGCAGTCTTCCGCCAGCCGGCCTTGGAACGGGCGATGCACCCTTATCTGCTGCTTTCTCAGGCAGTCAGTGTTGCTGATCTGGATGCGTTCCTCAACATTGTCAACACCCACAGCGAGACTTTCCGGAAGGATGGCACATACACATTGATCTTGCGTTTGCGGCAGAATGTCATCAAGACCGGTATTCGCATGATGTCGCTCTCTTACTCCCGTATCTCTCTGCGGGATATCTGCCTTCGTCTCGGACTCGACAGCGAAGAATCTGCCGAGTACATTGTGGCCAAGGCTATTCGGGACGGGGTCATCGAGGCGACGCTCGATCACGAGCACGGCTTCATGAAGAGCAAGGAAGTGGGTGATATCTACGCCACCAGAGAACCTGGCGAGGCGTTCCACGAGCGTATCCGCGCCTGTCTAGCGCTCCACGATGAGAGTGTTAAGGTATGTTACTTTCATCTCCGTCGCTGCACATTTTTTTTTTAAGAAAAAAATATTCTTTTTTTATTTTTGCCCTTGCTAACATGGACTCGTCCGATCACAGGCCATGCGTTTCCCCATGAACCAGCACCGTCTGGAGCTCAAGAGTGCCCAAGAAGCTCGGGAACGGGAGCGCGAGCTTGCCAAGGAGATCCAAGAGGGAGACATGGATGATGAAGATGCGGGTGGTGATTTCGATGCCATTTAAAGAGGAGTGTGGTCCATAATCGATACAGCATTTTTTTCTCCCTCCACCGCACTGGTTCCATGCATGGGTCTCTACCTTGTAGCGGGCCTTTTTCAACCCGTGTGTTAATTGTGCAATTTGTTTTATTCTGGCTCTTTTATTCGGATCTGTATGAAGGGGAATGCGCAGGATGCAAGACCAAGATGGCCGGCGCAGTCTTCTGTGTCTATTATACTGGAATTATTTCTTGCCCTGTGCCTTTATTAGAATCGTATGTGTCAACCGAGTGATCAATGGCTTGTATATTGAAATTTCCCTATGATTATTGTCCCCTTCCTATGTTCAAAAGTACGAAGTTGTCGATAACACCGAGTCATACTTGGTTGCGTAGCACCGGGTCCGTGCCGACCCGAGAGAGCTCGAAATCTTTCCCTCCCGCAACCTTGGAAGATTGTTCGTCCTTGTACTCCGCAAACACCTCACATCGGTGTCGTTTCCTGGACTGGATTCCTATGGTTTAATTTGGGTTCTTTCGTTTATAATTGAAGAGCACTCGCAGTGAGCATGGGAGCTCGAACCGCATCGGCCACCGGGCTGATCCTCTCGTCACGAACGACTGTCTGTTCCCAATGCCTCCGCGATGACCTTCGATTCGCACATATTGCTCTCCAATCCCGCAAATACCACCCAACGCGCCGGCGCGATGCCTCGCCATTCGGAGCTGCCGTGTCAGCGGCCCAGGCGATCTTCAAGGGCATGCCGAAGGCGCCTCCAGGTATCTCTGTCGACCCGTTGAGAATGGTTGGGAAAGAGCTCAAGTTCCTCACCAAGAACATCCGACAATTGCTTGGGTCGGGTCACCCAGCGCTGGATAAGGTCGCCAAGTACTACACTCATAGTGAGGGCAAGCACATGCGGCCCATGCTTGTCCTCCTCATGTCCCAAGCCACAGCTTTGGACCCTCGCAAGCACCACAGCTACACGGATAAACCGAGTCCCGTCGATTCCTCCTTCAGTGCGCCATCCATTCTCGAAGACGCCAACCCAGAAATGAACCCGCTCGTGGCCCCGAACGCCGACAGCAAATATGATATCGCGGGAGATGACTACATCCTACCTTCACAACGACGGCTGGCCGAGATCACGGAGTTGATCCACACAGCATCTCTCCTGCACGATGATGTTATCGACAATGCCGTGACACGTCGCGCCAATAGCTCCGCGAACCTGGCGTTCGGAAATAAGATGGCTGTGCTAGCCGGTGACTTCATGCTCGGGCGTGCCTCGGTTGCATTGGCTCGTCTGCGTGACCCCGAGGTCACCGAGCTCATGGCCACTGTAATTGCTAATCTGGTGGAGGGCGAGTTCATGCAACTGAAGAACACTGCGCAAGACGAATCAAAACCCGTCTACACCGATGAGACACTTTCCTACTACCTCCAGAAGACCTACCTGAAGACCGCCAGTCTGATCAGCAAGTCTTGCCGCTCTGCTGCGGTTCTGGGACGGAGTGCTCCGGAGGTGATTGAGGCCTCGTACGCCTATGGCCGCAACTTGGGTCTGGCTTTCCAGCTTGTTGATGATATGTTGGATTATACAGTCACTGAAGCGGAGATGGGTAAGCCCGTTGGCGCAGACTTGGAGCTTGGATTGGCGACTGCGCCACTCTTGTTTGCATGGAAGAGCAACCCGGAGCTTGGTCCTCTGGTCGGACGGAAGTTCCGCGAGGAGGGTGATGTGCAGCTGGTGAGTGTTTACAATGGTGCGGCTTGGTACGACAATACTGACTATTTCTTTCCACTAGGCCCGTGAGCTCGTTTACCGCAGCGATGGTGTTGAGCAGACCCGTGCCCTGGCCCGGGAATACGCCGACAAGGCCATTGCCGCCATCAGCGACTTCCCAGACAGTGATGCCAAGGCCAGTCTCATTGAGATGTGCGAAAAGACCATGAATCGGAGGAAGTAGAGGAGATTGTGCTCCCTATGTACACATATTTGTCTTTCAGCTTGCCCATCCCTTGTTGTTTCTTCAGGTGACTGTTTCTTTTTCTATATGCCTGTGTACACTTAGATGTCTTAGATGGTTGGATATATATACTTGATCTTCACCAATGGAAACATTTTCTTCTCTTCTCACGTCATCCACAGATGTTATATATGCTGGTTCTTTATCTCTTAATCAATGGATATGTACGTATTTGGCTGACTCCCAATAAGACAGCTGTCGAAATATGTTAATATCTAGTAAGCAAAAGGTAAAAACAGCCCGCCACGAGGCTAAACTCCGTTAGCGTGATCTTTACCTAGGTAGAATGCAAGATTCTGTATTTTAGGCATGAGACCCTTTATCACGCGCTTTGGTATAAGATCGGCGGGTCTTAAAGTCACGGTTGCACGGCATGAGGAGGAGAATTATCGATTCTTTTGCTGAATTCAAGTCTTCAATATTCATGGGCTAAACCACCCATATAAAAAACGGAATTGGCTAAAACAGTAACAGGTGAGGTTGTTGATTTTCAAGTTTCCTTTCACGTTCCTGACAGCTGGTCGATTCAAGCGGGGTCCAAAGGGAGCTACAAGTAATAATACAGTAAGTAACTAAGATACAATATAAATACAAGATTATGTCCCTGAAAGGGAGTAACTTAAAATGAAATACAAAAACACGACCAGTAATGCCGAGGTACCCAGCACCTCCGTCATCCCGTCATGCTTGTGGACAATCTGGAAGCTGCAACTTCCTGCAACTCACTCTCTCACTCTCTTCTGCGCTATACTTCTTTGTCCCTCATCTCGCTCGTTTAATTCCAGAGCAGGTCTCTTTTTCTCTGCCGTATCATTTTTTCAGCTGTTGGAGGTCGCTCTCCCAAACTATGGAGCTTTCGATCCCGCATTGATCGACTGGTTCCCGATGGGTTCGCTCGCTAGCTTCCTCTTCGTTTACGCCCTCGGTGGAATCACTTTCATTCCACTAGTTCTGTCCTCAATCATCCTCTATGCCTACTTGACCCTTCCATCTGCGCAACTGCCGCAATCATGCGAGAAAGCGCCCGATCCCGTCCGCCAACCTACCGATGACGACTTTAGTCTGAAGTCTGGCACCGACCAGCTGGCGGAGAAATTCCATCGCACCCACGAGTCCGATGTCGCTGCTGGATACTTTGCTGTCTGTCGTGAATATGTTCCCGGTGGGGTGAATGGGAAGCCCCCCGAGAGAACGACCCCCGCGGGGGAAGTCGTTGCGGCCGAAAGTCCTAGTGTGTACCAGACTATGTACCGGAGCCTGTTCGATCGAAAGCAGGCACCTAGCATCGACCCGGCGAAGGCGAATGGAAAGATGACGAAACGGGCGCGGAATGTCTTTTACATTGTTCTCCGGTATGCCTCTCTTCGCCTGGGTGTATAACTTGTCTGTTACTTAAGCGCTGATTGCTGACGTTGGATGATATGTGCTCAGACATGGCCACCTAATGCTCTACGATGATGTAAATCAGGTCGAGGTGCGGTATGTCATTTCGCTTGCTCACCACGATGTGACCATATACGGCGGAGAGGGGGACATCCCAGAAGGAGAGTTGTGGCTCAAAAGAAACGCCATATGTCTCTCTCGACGACTGGCTTCGCTTGGGGATCTAGGAGGGCCAACTCCGCCGTTCTATCTTTTCTCTGAAAACCTGTCTGAGAAGGAGGATTTCTATGTCGCCATGCTGCAGAATCAAAGCCGGTTGTGGGACTCGTTTGATCGCCCACCCAAGCACCAGGAGTTTGATACCAAGCATATTGTCACATTGGTTCAGCGTTTGCATTCCTCCGAAGAGCAGTTGCAGACACGGTGGATCAATGCTTTCCTTGGAAGGTGGTTCCTAGCGATGTACCGGACACCTGAGTTGGAAGAATTTGTGCGGAGTAAGATTGTCAAGAAGATCTCTCGCGCCAATAAACCCAATTTTATTAGCAAGATCGGCCTCCAGAGAATTGATATGGGCGAAGGGGCTCCGTTTATCACCAACCCAAGACTGAAGGACTTGACGGTGGACGGCAATTGCTGTGTGGAGGCCGATCTGCAATACACTGGAAACTTCCGGGTCGAGATCTCGGCGACTGTGCGCATTGACTTAGGCCCTCGATTCAAGGCAAGAGAGGTCGATATTGTCCTTGCCGTTGTGTTGAAGAAACTTGAAGGCCATTTGTTGGTACGCTTCAAGCCCCCACCCAGCAATCGCATCTGGATGTCTTTCGAAACCACGCCGAAGATGGAAATGGACATACAACCAATTGTCAGCTCCAAGCAAATCACATATAGCCTCATCCTGCGCACGATCGAGAGCAAGATCCGCGAAGCAGTGGCAGAGAGCATCGTTCTGCCTTTCTGGGACGACGTTCCCTTCCACGATACCTTCGGTCAGGCTTTCCGCGGTGGTATCTGGCAGCGGGATACTCCAGAGTCGAATTCTCAGGTAGAAATACCAGAGATACCCGATGAATCAGGCGAAACCCCTCCGACCCCGAAGAGCGTTGGCAGTGATACCATTGAAGTCCTCAAGTCCAAGGATGATCGTACGATGAGCATGCCTATCCTTTCTGAGTCCGGAACGACCAAGAAAAAGCTGCGCAAAGGCCACAAATCTCCTCTATCAGATCTGCAATCGAACAGATCCACTGCAACTTCCACTGGTGTTGAAAGATCGGACAGCACACCGCTGCCTCGAGCTATTCGGTCACAGACCTTCTCTCATGCTGCAGATCCTGTGCTCACAGCAGACAATGCCAAGGTTGACAAGCCTGTTCCGGGAAACAAATGCGAGGAGAAGAGTCATGCAACAAGCGCCATGATAGAGATATCAAACCGGTCCCCACCTACATCTCCGCAACGAACCCCGGGCCTCGCCACCTACAGGTGGCCTTATGATGCCAGAAAATGCGGTCCATAGCCGCGAGTCGTCGATTGCAGATTCTATTGACAACGCTGGTTTTTCCCATGAGAGCGTTATCCAGAGACCTACTTCTACTCGCATGGAGAGTGGGTCCTTCTCCAGCTTGAGAAGCTCTCGGGCAGTTCCGCCGTGTCCGTTGTCAGCGACACGGCTCCACGACGCAGCACAATTGAAACCATCACTAAAACCTTTACATCTTCTGACGACAGGTCTTCTGGTCCAATGACTCTTGGGCAAGCGACTGCCGCTGCCAAGAAATGGAGTTGGAGCATGTTTGGTAAAGGTGACACAAATAACGGTCAAGAATCGCCGCGGGCTCCTTCAGGCACGCCGAACCAACCGATTGGGCGTGGCCATCCTCATCCACCACTCGGAACACCCTTACCGCACCCAGACAAATATGCCCTGAAGAGGAACTCAGGGACATTGCCCAAGCGTAAACCCGTGGCGGCACACACAGTGCCTGAACGCCCCAAGACGGGAGACCAACAGACCCTGCCATCACATTTACCTCGCAGGAGACCCACGGCCCCTGAAATGCGTGATGCGCACGGTGCTGATGAACTTCTCGTGGTGGAGGCACCTCAAGAATCTGAGCCTAATAGCCCGGCCCCTGGGGACCCGGAATTAGACTCTAGTCTGATAGCCCCGAGTACTGTCGACAGTGAGACATCAGCAAAGACCGAACAACTTGAGGCTGATTCCGAAGAGCAAGAAGAATTGCCCGCTGTTGAATCGCCGTGCTCTGTTGATCAGGCGCCTTCTTCAACTCTAGGCAATCATGAGGCCTTGCCATCTACTGAAAGCGTGGAAATACCCTCATCGTAATGCTCGTTGCCTTTGCTCCGACATGAAAGAGGGAAAGGACTGTGGACCTTTCGTTCGCATATATCCATGCATCTATCGTTGATTCCTTCGTCATATTGCTGTGCTCCTCCATGTCGGGCTGGTTATCCCCGCATGCGACCGCTCTCTTGTATAGAATATTCCGAGTCCCTTATGTGACTCCTTTATGTTTGTAGCTAATCCTCCGAGATTCAATGTATCCGTGTCGGTCTTGAGTTGTTTCGAAGTAGATTAAGCAAAGCGTAGTGGCCTACATGAATACTCCATTTATTCCTGCTGCCTGGCCTGCAGTGTGTACATCATACATATGTTTGACGCGTAGACCAGAACAACCTTCGTAAGGGATAGAGCGTTAAATTCGAGCTGTGGCCAAACCCGCATTGGCTTAGGCGTCGCCAAGACTCCCGACAGGCGCCAGCTTTCCCGTTCCCCATCAACGTCATTGCTCGAACTCCCACGTGTGTCTTTTTTGGTGCTTCACCGATTCTCTTTGCTTTGCGACTCGAATTATCTGCTTGTTCCGGTCAGCGCAACCTATCTCTAGCGTCCGTGTGCTGTCCGGGTTCGAAATCTTGTCACCGCGATCAACCTTTCCGACATTCATCCTCCCCTCCCCCCCTGAGCACACACCCCAACGGCCACGATGAGTCGGTAAGCGAGACAGACATGGAGTTTTAAGAGTGCTTGTCTGACAAGGGATTGTGCAGGACCGAGGCCGATTTGGCCATCAATATCCGCAAGGCCACCAGTATCGGTAAGTCGTTAATCGGGGATGAGACAGACACAAGAGAGCGGACATAACGAGCTGACACATTGACAACCAACAGAGGAAACCGCCCCTAAACGTATGTCTGAATCATATTTCATTGTCCCCCATCGAACCGATTGATGCCGCTTCGGCTTTGCCTCGTCCGAATCAAACTGACCATCCCCCGCGCCTGTAGGGAAACATGTGCGGAGCTGCATCGTCTATACGTGGGACCACAAGTCATCGGCGGCTTTCTGGGCTGGCATGAAAGTGTATGTTTTGGGATAGCCGGCAGGCATGGAATGGGGCTGTTGTTCTCGAGATGGCTGACACGGCTTCGTTCTTCACAGGCAGCCCGTCCTCGCCGACGAGGTCCAGACGTTCAAGGCCCTGATCACGATACACAAGGTTCTTCAGGAGGGCCACCCCATGGCTGTCCGCGAGGCGCAACAACATTCCAACTGGATTGATAGCTTGATGCGAGGAGTTGGAGGCGACGGCGTTCGAGGTATGGATTCCACACAGGACGGCTGCGCAATTGCTCTCTGCTCGAGGAGTGGCAACGCATGCGACGGACGGTATAATGACAGTTCTGGATAGGATATGCACCGCTCATCCGGGAATACGTCTTCTTTCTTGAGGCGAAACTGAACTTCCACCGCAACCACCCCGAATTCAACGGTATGTCGTCCACGGTTGATCAATTCTGCGAAGGGCGAGTGTCTGACAGTTGCAGGCTTGTTTGAATATGAGGAGTACATTAGTTTGAAGTCGATCAACGATCCGAACGAAAGGGTACGTACATACCTGATTTTTTTGCGACGATGAAGAGAGGTGTTGACAGTCACACAGCTACGAGACCATCACGGATTTGATGGCTCTGCAGGATCAAATTGATTCATTCCAAAAGCTCATCTTCTCAAACTTCCAGTCCGGCACGAACAATGAATGTCGGATCTCGGCATTGGTGCCACTTGTGCATGAGAGTTATGGCATCTACAAGTTCATTACCAGCATGTTGCGGGCCATGCACACAAGTACGTTGCCCTTGGTCATTGGGATTTGCGTTCAATGGCCGCTGACTGACGTTTCCTGCAGCCACCGGAGAGGACGAAGCTCTCGAGCCACTCCGAGGCCGATATGATGCCCAGCACCACCGTCTTGTACGGTTCTACTACGAGTGCTCCAACCTGCGCTACCTAACAGGCCTCATCACAATCCCGAAGTTGCCACAAGATCCGCCAAGTTTGCTTGCCGAAGATGAGGACCGCCCAGCTCTTCCCAGACGGCCGGCGAAAGAAGTGGAACATCAGCCCTCGCCGCCCCCGAAGGTCGCTGCTGAACCAGAGCCTATCAATGATTTCTGGACAAACGAAGCCAAACGCCAGCAAGAAGAGTACGAGGCGGAACAACAACGCTTGCAGCAGCAGTGGGAGGAGCAGCAACGTCAGCAAATTCTCGCCCAGCAGCAAGCCCAGAACGATTTCGAGGAGCAGCAGCGTCTGCAGGCGGAACAACAGCGGTTGGCACAGGAACAGCTTCTCCGCGACCAGTACCAGACACACACGCAAGGTCGGCTGGCAGAGCTGGAGCAGGAGAACCTTAACGCCCGTGCACAGTATGAGCGCGACCAGCTGATGCTGCAGCAATATGATCGCCGTGTCAAAGAGGTTGAGGAGCAGATGAACCACCTGACCTCGAACCTGAACTTGCAGAATGCCTCGAAGGACGATCAGATTCGATCCCTGCAAGAGCAGGTGAACACCTGGCGATCCAAGTACGAGGCATTGGCCAAGTTGTATTCACAGCTTCGGCAAGAGCACCTCGATCTTTTGCAGACCACTAAGAGCCTCAAGCTCAAGGCAGCTTCCGCACAAGAGGCAATTGACCGACGAGAGAAGCTGGAGCGCGAGCTGAAGACCAAGAACTTAGAGCTGGCTGACATGATTCGTGAACGTGACCGTGCTCTGCATGACCGTGACCGTCTGACGGGAACTAACAAGGATGAATTGGAGAAGGTCAAGCGCGAGCTTCGCATGGCTCTTGAGCGTGCTGAAAACGCGGAACGCTCAAAGGGCACCGAGATCTCGTCCTTGCTGTCCAAGTATAACCGCGAGATGGCTGACCTGGAAGAGTCCCTTCGTGTGAGTAGCTGTCCATCTTAGGTGTGTGATTCATGCTGATTTTATAGATTAAAACGCGCGCATTGGACGAACATTCCAGTCGGAACAATGACCGTCAGGAAGACCTCGACCTGTCTCTTCGCGAGAAGGACGAGGAGATTGAGGTGTACAAGTCCGGTATGGAACAGGCTCTTATGGAACTGGAGGAGCTGAAACTGGTAAGTGATGATATTGACAACATTCGGGATGTGCATACTGACCATGTTCCACTGTAGAGCCAAGGCGATGTCGACCATGCGCTGGACAGCCAGATTGACACTGTGCTCCACGGCACAGTCGCCAAGATTAACGATATTATCGATTCCGTGCTGCAGACTGGTGTGCAGCGTGTCGACGATGCTCTGTATGAACTAGACTCATCCATGCAGGCCGGTAACCAAAATGCCTCTCCTCCATATGTCCTTTCGCAGATTGAAAAGGCGTCGGCTTCTGCAACCGAGTTCTCAACAGCTTTCAACAACTTTGTCGCCGATGGCCCAAACAGTCCCCATGCTGAGATTATCCGCACAGTGTCCATTTTTTCTGGATCTGTCTCGGATGTGTTGAGTAACACCAAGGGTCTCATCCGCTTCGCCACTGACGATAAAAGCTCCGATCACCTTATTAATGCTGCACGCAAGTCTGCTCAGGCGACTGTGCGGTTCTTCCGTGGCTTGCAGTCGTTCCGCCTCGAAGGTCTGGAACCACTGCAGAAGACTGATGTTGTTATCAACAACAACCTTGAAGTCCAGCGTGATCTGCAGGCGCTGTCGAAGCTAGTTGACTCCTTCGCTCCCAAGCACACCAAGATCAGCACCAGTGGTGATCTGGGAGACCTTGTCGACCAGGAGCTGCTCAAGGCTGCCGATGCCATTGACGCAGCTGCCCAGCGTCTGGCCAAGCTCAAGAACAAGCCCCGTGATGGGTACTCGACCTACGAGCTGCGCATCAACGATGTCATCCTTGCTGCAGCCATTGCTGTCACCAACGCAATCTCAGAGCTGATCAAGGCCGCCACAGAGACCCAGCAGGAGATCGTTCGTGAAGGCCGCGGTAGCTCGTCTCGCACTGCCTTCTACAAAAAGAACAACCGCTGGACAGAGGGCTTAATCTCTGCCGCCAAAGCAGTGGCCTCTTCGACCAACACATTGATCGAGACTGCCGACGGTGTAATCTCGGGCCGTAACTCGCCAGAGCAACTCATTGTCGCCTCTAACGATGTTGCAGCCAGCACTGCCCAGCTTGTTGCAGCCAGTCGTGTCAAGGCAACATTCATGAGCAAGACCCAGGACCGCCTGGAGACCGCCAGCAAGGCTGTTGGTGCTGCTTGTCGTGCCCTTGTGCGACAGGTGCAGGACATCATCAAGGAGAAGAATCGCGATGGCGACGAGGGAGAGGATTATGGAAAGTTGAGCTCGCACGAGTTCAAGGTCCGCGAGATGGAGCAGCAGGTATGCGACGTCCCCTTCCCCTTGTATCCCATCCATCCAATGCTAATATGTATCCTCTCGACAGGTCGAAATCCTTCAACTCGAGAACGGTCTCGCTCGCGCCCGCCAGCGTCTGGGCGAAATGCGCAAGATCTCGTATCAGGAAGAGTAGTGTATCTTTCGCTCTTGGCTGTCTGTGTATATTCCGCATTTCAATCTCGAGGAGTTTCTTTTCGTCCGTGTCGCACTTTGCGTTCTTCGGCCTGGGCCCTTCTCCCCAACCCCCGTAGTTAGACTTGTTTTGATTTCCCAATAGCGAATTCAAGTAACTTACCCAGTTTTCGAATCATTCTGGTGCGTGCGTATATCCGATAACCTGCATCCTGTCCATATTCTGTCTCCAGCAGACAATATGTGGAGCGCAAGATTGCATGGTCGCACGGTCGCATGGTCGCACAGTCGGACATGCACAGCTGCCTTTGGCATGTCCCTGCTCGACTCTGCATGCCAAGACCTTGTCTCCATACCTGACTGGTGGAACCATGGTACGGAGTGCATGCCGATCCGCGGGTGGAGCCGACTAGCGACGGCTGTAAAGAAAGAGTATCGAGACGTCATCTCATGCACGAAGACAAAGAATCGAGTGTCTGGGCGTCACTGCGTGGTCGGAGCTTCGAGAATAAAGTGCCGTAGAGGCCCAATGATATTTTGAGTGAGGCATTGGGGGAGGTCCAGTTCGTAATTCGGAAAACATGGGGGTTGCAGATGGTTGGTTGTCGAACTGAATAGCCATGATGCTAAACGTGTGGTCGTGTCCTCGCGGATGCGTCTCTATATATCCATTTACAATCCAATATGCTACGAGAGAGGAAGCAATTTGTGAAACACGCAAATGGAATTTCAAACTAAAGTACATAAAAGCGCTCACGTTGCAGGAAAAGAGCGTCTGGAAAACCCCGTGGGAAAGAAAGCCAGTCAGCTCAGTTCCTGAGAACTTGTCATGAGCGGAAACAAAAGAATTGAAAACCGAAAAAGTCGGCAGAAATATTCAACTAATTGTACAGGATGGGCGCAAGACATGAGAAAGTAATTTTTTTTTTTTTGGGTTTTTGTTTTCATTTTTTTTGGGGTTTCGTTTTCAATTTTTTTTGGGGGTTTTCCTGGGTAAAGATAAAAATATGTCTGATCGTTGAAAGTAATGCACGTATCCACGTATCACCAGAGGCGGTCGGTCAGCGAATTGAGAAGGTTGGGTAACGGAACCGTTGATCATGATGTGTTGGCGATGATGATGTCAAATGTCGCTGAACCGAGTCGAGATTGGGAAGGGGACATTTAGAACACGGTGTTCATAGGAAGAAACTCCATCGAGGCAAGGCTGTTGCCCGAAGTCAGGTCGTTGCTCATTTGCAAGCATTCCTCGTGGGTGAAAGGAGCAGAAAGTGGCTCGACACCGTTCGGACCGAAAAGTAGACCATCGTCATTCAGCTCAGTGATGAAGTTGTCGTCAATAGAAATAGATCGGTCTTCGAAATCAGCATCATCGAACATCTCCTCATAGTGGGAATCAGCTTGGACAAAAGGCAGGCAGCTGACGCGGGAACGAGGAGTGCGGCGCTTGCGCTCGGAAGGACGACGAGGAGCATATTGGTAATCAGGATGCTTAATAGCGTGTTCCTTCTTGAGTTCATCAGCCAGGCGGGTGAACTGCTCTCGAACTTCGGGGCTCTCGTTGTTCCAGCGCGCACCAAGGATACGAGCTAATCCAGTCATCAGCTAGAAACAACACAAGTAGTCGGAGATAACTCACAAATTTCGTTGTTAGAAACGCCGGGGTTAGCATCTTTGACCAAATGGTGGTTGGCCTGGCGGTACAGAATGAAACAGTTGGGCGGGCGAGGGACTTTGGTTGGACGGGCGGGGAGCTTGACAGAATCACCAGCCTCGTGGAGAGACTTGGAGATCAGAAGGTGATCGGCGAGGTCAAGGCCATGTTGATCAGCCCACAAGTTCTCATCATGCTCAGCGTTGAGCTGCTTAGGGAACATGCGGTAAGCATCGATGGATTCATCAAGGACAATGTCAACCTTCTTGTTGAGCATGCACCTGTTGTAGCTTGTTAATAACATGGTTCACGTAGGTACTGGGTCAAGACTTACGCGAGACGAGTCGCCATCGCCTGGAGATGATCCATGTCAAGAATGCCATCGACGACATTGCGAGGCAGGAAGACTTCACCATCAGTCTGAGGAAGGTGACTAACGGCATCTGCCCAAAGAAGCTCCATGGAACGACGAGGAGTCACGTCGTCGTTGTCACCAACGAAGTCCAAGAGGGTCTTCGCCATCATGTAAAAGATGAAATGAGAAGGTAAATGAAATGAGGGATGCAGTAAGAAAGAAATTCGGGTGCGGGGTGAAAGAAAAAGAGAATGGGGTGGGAAGAGGAGAGGGAAGAAAGAGAAGAAGAAACGAGTTGGGAGGTAAACAAATATAGGACCTGGGACTGCGGAACACGGTAGGTGATGTGACGAGGTGGGTGATTTCTTTGTTTAGCGGCAACACCAATCACAGAGCCAGGTGAGACACGTATTTTCTTTGTTTCCTAGCAACAACACCAATCACATGTTTTCATCCTAGAAAGGTCTTCCTTGTTAGGAATAGTACCATTAGAACAAAGAAAGTCAATTATGGAGGGATAAGACTACAGCAAAAGGTACTTCAGCATCATGTACCATTTCGACAACGAGGTCGTACTATTGTATACCTAGATGTCCAGGCTGGGAATTTAGATCGTAACTGGTAGCTTCTCTATCTAATGCTTACTATAATTGATGTACTATGGTAACTCATCAAAAAACGGTTTCGATCTGTGCTTAGATCTGTGCTACCTACGTATGCATGTACAGGTCGGGTGAGTGGATCTCCCACTCCACCACGTGGCACTGCGGATCTGGGGGTTAGCGCCCGCACCCGCACCTAACCTTAAAAAGATATCAAAGTTTACACAATATAGCTTCAAAGTACATACAGAGTCTGTTTCTGATTGTGTAGACAGTCTCAGTTTCTATGAAATATAATCAAAAAAACTATAGGAGAGAACCTAATACAATTTTGTCCACTCGAGTATCAACAACCTTGGAAGGTACCTGCTCGTTATATCGTTCCGTGAAAATCGCCATAGCAACAAAAAGGCAAACGAAGGAAGCAAACGGGCGCCTGACCAATACATTTGAGAAAAATCAAACAAAGAAAATCAACAAAGAATCCAAGAAAGGCGTCAAACAAAGAAGTCAAAGAGCAAAAGTAATAAATCAATAAATCAATTAAAAACAATGGCAAAATAACACAAAGGGGATAATAAAGACAAAGAAAATGGCAGCCAATCCAAAGAGGGAACCAGGGAATTGGCAAATGGGAAACGGCTAGGCTTCACCTAAGGCAGCCACGGACCTAGAGGTCTTCAGTGAAGTTTTTGGCTATTGACTGCCTGTTCTATGCTGTTACTTCGGTACATGGCCTCTTAAATAGCATTACAAAGTGCCTTGCTTGTTGATAGATGTATTTGGTTCAGATAAGAAGACCTCAAGAAGTCTATTGGTCATGTATGCGTATGTTTAATATCGGGAAGTATCACATCTGTTGGCTCCCCGTGCTCAATTAACCACACTGTATAAATATCAGCAATAATAATTGAAAACGGATACTCGGCTGTAGAATTTCAATAAATTGTTGGCTACGGAGCGATATCCCCTTAATAGAACATGTATTTCATTGCTCTTGCGCCGCAACTGGTGAGTTCCAGTCGCTGGCCCAGATGAAAGTGGGACATCGCCATTGCGTCCCTTTTTCCTTTTCTCCGCTAGGTCCCAATGGCCGGGAACAAATCCAAAAGGAGCGGCCGCGATTCATTCCAGGTTTCTTCGTGGTCAAGCTGATACACGGCTCTTGATGTCCATCGCACGTTGGAACGGGCTTCTTGGTAAAAATTTTTGACCAGTCCTCCTTACTGACAATCGGGTCGATTACCGTGTCACCAAAGAACTTGCTGGCCGTCGGACGTTCGATAGAAGTGCCAGCTTCATTTCGTATGATGTCCTCTTGGGACCCCGGAGGCTGCGGATTGATTCCTGAAGCTTTCCCTTTCTCTTGTGGACCTTCCGATAGTTTGGGGGTGAGTGATGGTGTCGAAGATCCCGGAAAAGCCATAGGTGACTGGGTAGCTTCATATACATCGACATCTTTTGGCTTAAAGAAGCCCGTTAATGTCTTTTGGCCTGCCGAAGATCCCTCGGAAGACGTCGATAAGGTGGACTTGGAGCGCTTTGCGAACGTGGAGGGTAGAGGCTGGGAGCGTTTCCGAGAAGCAGCCCGAGAAGGTCGATTTGCCTCAGTTATAGACGCAGAACCCTTCTTGGCCGAGTCAGTGGATCCGAAGGCTGTGTGCATGACGGTAGATTTGGCGACTCGAGTCGTGGGTATGTTAGCTGGTGTACCGGCTAGCTCGACCGACTCCGACGGAATGCTGACTGGTTTACGAGTGAACATGTCCTTGATGCTTCTCCGATTATCGACGTTGAATTCGGGGAGTAAACGTCCCGAAGCGGGCAATGCGCACTCGTTTGAGTATTCCTGTTGACGCTTGCCACATTTAAACATTCCCGGTGGGTTGAGAATATCCCGAATGTTTACTTCGCCTTCGGGCCGGTTTACAGATTCCTTGATGACAGCATATACAGGACAGTGGTCTGATCCCTATAAAGCAGTCAATAAACGATTCAAGACAAAGAGGAAAGTCCATACCATCAATCCCTCTTGAATGTTTGAGTCGGAGAACCAGTCCTGCATATGCAAGCTGCACAACACATAGTCGATCCGTGATCCGTAATTCCCTGGTCGAGCATTGAGTTTCTGATCCCAGCATGTATACATGCCTGTACGACGTGGATGGAATGACCTGCACACATCGAAGAGGACAGGATCCTCCCTGCCTTTGTCACGTTCTCCAATAACCACGCCATCCGACATCAAGTGGTTGAATAGACGTCGAGGGGGGGGCAGATATAAATTCCTCCTCTGTCATCGTACCTTTCCGTATAGCCTCAATTCCATGAGCGGCATCAATGCTCTGCTTCGAGATATTGATATCGCCAGCCACGACCACATTCTTCCCCATCGCAGTCAGGTTGCGAATTCGAGCATCTAGGGCATTGAGAAAGTCCATGCGAAAGGTATCCCGACTCTCATCCCGACAGGCAGGGCAATAGACACCAATGAGGACAAATGCAGGAAACTCGAGAATGACGCAGCGCCCTTCGGAGTCGAGAGTTGGTGCATCTATTGCGGCATCGGGAACCGAGCCCACATCCTCTTGCTCTCTTCCGAGTCAGGCCTTTCGGGTTTCATAGCGGGCCTGGAAAGCTGATCGGATGTTGGATACCCACCGATCTGTTGCTCTTCTGGAAGACTACGGAAAGACGTTGGAGATTTCGGTGGACAGAGAACTCCAGTAATGCCCTCTTCTGCCCTTATTGGAGAACATGTGGCATTGCGCGTGTAAATCACAACACCCGAGTATCCTATAAGTTGTTAGCATCCTGTATAGACAACTCTGGGACAGTAGCTTACCTTTCTTAACTTGGGGGAGACTGAAATAACAGTCCCATCCCGGAACCAAGACCATGTCATCACGGAGATCTTTGCGTTGAATCTTGGTTTCTTGGAGAATAACAATATCCGCCTCCAGTGTGTCAAACATGGACTTTAAAGCACATAAGCTGACATACTCGGGAAATGGAAGGATACACGCTTACCTCGAATGTGCGCGTTCCTCTCCATGGCTCGTAGGAGAACGGGTTTCTTTTTGCTATATTAGTGTTGAACAAGTCCAACTGGCAGGTTTTTCTCATACCGTATACCATTGACTAGAAAGTGACGCACCGTTGGTATATGTCCATCACTCCAATTACTAGTTAAGAATTCAGATAGAACTTACCATTCCATGTGGTGATGCGAAATCCCATGTTGGGCGCTAGTGTACCAAGGGACAAGGCGTCATTTCTTGTGATTCGAATTATCAAGAGAGGTTAGGATACAAATGGAAAAGTCGAGTCAACCAAGTATCAGAGCCTCCCCTAGTTGTTGAATCTAAATCCCGGGTTACGGAAGTGTGCATGCCGACGCTCATCCATATCCCAAAGCGGCCACGTGACTAACCATAACAGGAGCCTTCTTCTTGCCTGATATATCAGGCACCATGACATCAGGTTACATAATCCGGGAGATCACGGGGATACGCTAAAGACGGCTTTGGACCTCATCGCACCACTTTTGACCTCCACCACCAAAAGAACTCCTCAACATCGCCCACCATGTTCCCTCAGCGCAATCTTGGTCGCCTGTCTCAGCGTGCTACGCAGCAGATGCGTTCCGCTCCGGTCCGCTCCACCATCCAGCGCCGTTTCAACAGCGCCGAGGCCAAGCCTTCTTGGATCGTCGACAACGAATTCAACCGCGAGAGAGCTGCCGTCAAGCACCACGCTGCCTCTACCAGCGGTACGTACCACCTAACTGAACTCAATTGATTGCGCCTCATGGCCATTGGCTGTAGACAATGTGCTTACTAGCCCGATTATTTTACAGACCTCTGGCGCAAGCTGTCCATCTTGTACGTTTCCGATCAAGACCAATTCTTGATTTGGCGTCTTCACCGACAGAGAAAAATCTAATCAATTCATAGTGCCGTCATTCCCTGCCTGATCGGTGGCGGTCTCAATGCCTACAACCTCTGGTCCGAGCACTGGGAGCACTGGGAGCACATGCCCCCGCTCGAGGAACGCACCGAGTACCCTTACCAGAACATTCGCGTGAAGAACTTCCCTTGGGGAGACGGTGATAAGGTATGTGAATCCAACTATGCTATGTGCTGAAAACTCGAGCTAATTTATGTCTGGCATAGACCATCTTGTGAGTTCTGACTTCCCCGATCCCATCACATCCTATATATCGTTTTGCGGAACAGCTAGCTTGTGCAATCTTGCATTTGATGGTCTGCTTTCAAGCGGATCACATGGCATTCTCTCGCCACCATGTCCCCCTCTGAGACCTCACGGCTAACTGATCATCAACAGCTGGAACTCCGATGTCAACTACCACAACAAGGACAAGGCCACCTAAATTAGGTCGCCCACAATCTTCCATATACTCGAGACTTGCCTACGAATCCCGCCAGGAAATCATTGAGTGTGTGTCAGGGCTGGCTTTGCCATGTACATATACCACCACTGTCGTTCTAGGGTAGAAACACAGTCATATGCTTGGAGAGCTGAAGGTCCAGTTGACAGAATGATGCGAAGCTTACTATCCATATGTACTAGTCAACATTCATTCTTGCCGCTATTTCTTTTGTCTCTTTTTGAATCATCCCCATATCTACTTGTCTCGAAACCTATACTGCTAAGGTTGCATCGGCTGATGATCGTAATCGTCCATCCCGCTAAGCAGATACTACGACCAGGCTCTTTGAAGGAGACATATGGTGTTTCGAATGGCCCAAGCCCATAACCACGCAAAAAGAACCATGACAACAAGGATTCGCGCACAGAATAAAACCGTGTTGTCTCTTGGTGAATCAAGTTTCATTGGTAGTTTTTCTACAGCTAATGATACGAAAGGCGCTCATAGATGGAGTAGTATGGTAGTAGTCGATACTTCTCACGGTCGATTTCCTTACTCCGTGCCTTGCGGAGATATAGATCCACGAATATTGAGAAGTCTTAGTACACATGGGAATGTGATTGAATAGCGAAATCCATAGCGATGCCAAACATAATCTATACATGTTTGAAGGTTATCTCAACTCCAGAAAACCAAATGTCCAGCCAGGTATATAAGTAGATAATAACACTACACAAACAAAGAGCTATTTGGAGCGAGGAGATCCAGCCCAGACTCACCCTCAAGGAGAGGAAAGAGGCGACGAATCCGGTCCTCTAGAATAGCATCTTCAGCCTCCCAACGTCGACGATCAAGATGCTTGGCCTCTGCACGGCGCTCGCCGCCAAACCAAGCACTCTTGGCCCGATCCCTGCTCTCCTGCTCCTCTCGTCGAGCACGGGTAACAAGAGAAGAGACCAGTAGTTTTCCAATTCTCCAGCCCAACCTTTAGACACTGTGCGCAGCGGGTTCGGGCATTGCGGTCGGCTGAATTGCCGAGGTCGAGCATCGTGGACTCGGCCATGTCGACTGCATCGCGCGTCCAGGCTAGGCCGGCCTCCTTCGACGAGGAGGCGTACAATATCTCGCCGATGTAGGTCATCAATCCTGCTTCTTCACAGGCGGATGCCGTGGTGCGGCGTGGGGGTTCGTTGCCTGACGGGAGGGGTGCTGGGTACTCCACAGGAATGAGGACATTTTTGAGCGATTTGAAGAGGGAAGCGAATGGGTCATTGTTAGATTTAGGCGGAGTCGGAAAAGAGGGGATTGTGTCAGGGCCTGATGAGAGAGGTAGGCTGCGTCGGGCTTTAAGAACAGATGTGAAGAGTGACAAAGCCGTTGGAAGATCGGCTTGACGAGCATTGTGGACGGCGAGGGCCGTGCAGACACGGAGGATGTTCTCTGAAGGCAGGTCCCCGCTGTTACTCTTCAAGAGGCCGTTCTTCAAATCCACAATCTTGCTAGCATCTCCTTCCAGCCCACTGGCAGCAATGTCCAAGGCCCACTTGTACATGTCACCCGCCGTAACGCCCAAGCCTTTGAAATCAAGCCAATCAGCATAGGCCAAGGCAGCATCGAGTCTCTGCCTTGTGTCAAAGCCTTTTGTTGTCAAAACCTTCATGTAAAAGCGCTCCGGAGACGGAGACGCCTGCTCACAGTCCTCTTCCCGTGGGACCTTCTTTTGGCCAGCGGGCATGGGTTTTGGTCGAGGATTTGAGGGTCCAACAACGTATTCCGCAGGCGCAGATATCTTCTGCTTGCGATCTGTTAACCAGCCGTCCAGGTTCTCAGCAGCCTTGGCAGCACCCATCAGGGCCTGGAAATATCCGCGGCGCCAAGGCTCACTCTTTGCGGAGACATCGAACCCAGTGCGGCCGACACCTTCGACCAGAAATCCACCGTCATCTTGTTCCAAAAGACCCTTTCCTTCTCCATCTAAGTCCTCCAGGCGCTCCAGCAGCTCACGAAGATATCCAGCGACCATGGGCCAATTCGTCATCAGCTTGCCGATCTGCTCAGGGTTCTGCAGTGCTTGTGCGGATCGCAGACACCAGCGGCTTTTCCAGGACCATTCTGGTGGAGTGGGCCATGAATGCTCGATGTCTTCTTGGTAGATGCCGAGCTGTATCGCAGAGAACAAGACAAGGATGGCAGACACCGATAAGCCGATCTTAACACCTCGTGATACCCTTCGCTTGTAATGCTCGCGGCTCTCGGTAGATATCAAGCGACCAAAGTGCTGGCGGAGATGGATTGATAGCGGTGGTAGTGGACGGGTCGGCGCAAGAGGTGATAGGAAGGGCAGTTGAGGGCGACCCGGCGCCGGAGAAAGAAGAAGTAGGCGTGTGCGATTGGTGAATGGTCGGAGATGTACGTTGGGACCGGAGATCCGAGGCAGATGAGTCGGTCGTATATGACTTGGTATTCGACCGATAGCGCTTCGAGGAGGCAACATGGTGAGTTACCGAAAAGGTTGGAGATTGATGAAGCCTTACCATCCATGGATGTGCTGATTGATGGGTGTTTGTCTGGTTTGTCTGTCACGTGACCGCTGTGGACGCTTATAGACAAGATACTCCAGCACTTACATGGCATTGCAGAATCAAGCAAGACTATAATTAGTACCACTTGGACCCATTGCTCGGGTATGTCTATTGACCTTCCGTTGAATATATTTCTTGGATTTCAACAAATGTTTCTTCATATCTAGTTTGCGATAACATTGTTTAGAACGATATATATCTGGACATCCCGGAGCCCGAAGCCCAGTTCGACATTGGCAAGTGGATAATAATATCTCTGCTTTGGGAACTTGATTTCAAATAGACATACATCTCAACTGATGATAGTATACTAGTTCCGCAGTTTCTTGACAGCTCGGAGTGCTAACATTTGCACTGTCTTTAAACTGAATACCAAGCCCATAGTACTGCACTAGTACCTTTCTCATGGCAAAAGCCATGCTTTTTCTGGTGGTTTTGATGATGCCTGTTGAATTATCCAAGCAACGGAGTCACGGACCAGTTTCTCAGCTTACTCTCTGTGAGGGTTTCAGGCCACAAGCTGGTGTGCTGGTGAGCCCTTTATCTATAGCTTACTCCGTACCTACCGTAAGTATAGAGAGGTACCTAGACTTTTTGATTTACTATCTCAATATCTCCTCTCTCTGCCTTTGGCTGCACATTTCATGTCCCAGCTGCCAATATTCCTAATGGATAATTCTGCCGAGGATGTCATCCTTGAATGCGAACTTTTACCTCTGTCTTTCACAACCGGCATGTAAGATGCAGCTGGCCCGACTGTACATGATTTGCATCCAACTAGACTGGAAGCACACTACTACTAGCTATTGGTGTTGCAGTTTATCAATAACGATTGTCTAATGAAGTATATAACAGCCCTGAAGTGGATCTGATGCCAAGACTGATCGACGGAGATAACGGGTAAGATAGTGGGGCTTGTCCACATTGGGGGCCTGAGGCTACCTATTTAGGTACATATGTAGGTACTTGCTCATATGGTTTCCATTTGGCTTCCACGCTATTCCCTTTTTCCTTTTCTATCGTATCTCTGCCCTGTATACCTCATTCATTTCCCACCTTGTCTTTTCTTTCTTTGCCTTGTTTCCTTTGTTGACACACACCTGAGACACTTCACATTTCAGGCCTGATTCCTTGACACCGACCTTCGCGCGTCTCATTGCTTCTTCTCTTCTACATTCTTTTCAAGTTTTCAACACAGTGATACATTATCATGCCACGCAAAGAATTTTTGCGAGACCTCGCAGATGTGGCAGTCCCTGGCCGATTCCCCTGTATCTCTGACATCAGAACAGGGGAATATGATGGATCAATTTCCTTCACGTTTACAGCACCTGGGGCAAGCCTCTCTCTTGATCTCCAGGCCATAGTGTCAGGTAAGAAAATCTTCTAACTAACAGTGTCTTTTAACGCTCCAGTCTTTTGCTGACGCATAAACAGACTCTCACGACTACCCCAATGACCATGGCTTTTTGGCCTTCTCGTCATCCGAGAACTGTCCCAAGACAGTCAGCTCCTCGCTGGAAAATGCAGTGCCCTCTTTCACAGGCTTAACCATCCATGCTTTATTGGGCAACATTGGGAACATTATTACCAAGTCTATGGTTGATACTGCTTCACCATCCAGTCACCCAGAGGACCCAGACACTCTTGACTCCAACGAGGACGAGTCAGCCGCCAGCGACACCGAGCCTGACTGGGAGTCTGACAATGAGAACAAAATATTTGCATCAACTCGAAGTGAGACTCAGTTACGCGAGAACATTCGCCGTGACCTTCGTGCGGCCAAGAACGCTGGATTCAAGGTGGGATACCTGGGGCCAAAAAATGGTACCATCATTGTGACAGTGTCCTGCCGCATTTCCAAGCTCGCCATTTCCGAGGAAGCTATGGATGCCTGGAGCGTTGAGCCCTCGGAGTATTTGGTTTTGCTGATCCGTTATCGACCGACCTACCTTGATCTCCAAACAATTATCGAGACAGCAGGTGATCCAAAAAATCCACCGGTTCAGATGCATGTTGGCCTCTGTCATTCATACAAGCCATCCTTAGAGCACGCGATGGAAGCCATACAGGGGCCACAGGATAAACAGACGAAAGACGAGAGTACAACTTCGGACAAAACAATGTGTGGTCATCTTCTCAGGCCGTTGTTCATTGGAAGATCGCTCAATTTGCTTCTAGGAGAGCGACTGCTTGGGATCATCATTCTTCGACTAAAACATGGGTTCTCATGGACAGGGGAGAACTTTTCTTCCAGACCAACCAAGGCAGGACTTATGGTAGCTCTGAGATATCTTCTGAGGAGTACTGTCAGCCGGATTACTGGGCCACTTCGACGCCAGCAATCCTTGTGGCTGACCATATGACTGAACTAGACCGCAATATGTCCACTATGTCTTTGCCTCTTCTAGCCATGCAGTTTACCCTGCGGCATTTTGTCAAGTGCACAGAGTTCTGCCTGGTTTGTCACTGCAAGATTGGTGATACTTTCGAGTCCCTGAAGCCATATGTCTGCTCCAACGCGTTGTGTCTGTATCAATACATGACGCTGGGCTTGGGGCCAAGCCTTGAATATGAGATCCGGTCCCAGCCCTTTGTCGTTGACTTGCTGACCAGCCTGGCATACGCGCGGGCTTCAGCGGGACTCCTTGAAGACTTCCCGACTGGTCTTCGGCTGCGCGTACCCGAGAAATTGCTGCCTCGGAAAAATCCAGATTCTATTGCATATTACACTGGAGAATTCAATGCAACCAATCTTGAAATTCGATTAAACCAGCCGACTCCTGTCAAAATCGGTGATTGGATCGTCATCATCGTTACAGTCATCGAAACAGAAGAATGGCACTGTCACGTTGATCATGTCGGTGAGACGTCAAACTATATTACCATCTCACCTCCGATTAGCAAAGGCCATCAATTGCAGGGAGGGCAACTAGGTGCGGAGCCCCGGCACGTGAGATTCGTTGTTTACGACACCAATTTGGACGACTTGGCACCCGTACAAAAACAGCGGATGATTTCTTGCCTATTGGGCATACTTCCTGGTATCGGGGACATGAAGGCCTTCATCGAAAGCCACGAAAGGGGCAACTTTCTTTCATCGTGGAGGGCCGTCATATCTCCTGCCGGGTTGGACCTTTTACGCTGGATTGTTTCCTCAAATCGATCTTTCATCAAGCAAGATGACGATAAGCAGCATAAAGTAGCTGGGATGAGCGATTACGTCCAATTCAGACTTGTTCAAGGTGCTGCCGACAAAGAGCAGCGCTTTATCAACGCGGTCAATTCCAATTCCTTGGCCCAGAATCCGAATCATCCCACAATATTCGCTTGGCATGGCAGCTCTGTCAATAATTGGCACAGTATTTTACGTGAGGGGTTTCATTTCAAGCAAATTGTCCATGGCCGTGCCTGTGGCCATGGCGTTTACATGTCGAATCGGTTCTATACCTCAATGGCATACACTGGTACTTCAGCACACTTTCTTCCCATGTTGTCCGAGAGTCGACTGAAGCTCGAGACGGTGATCTCTCTGAATGAGGTCGTCAATGCTCCCGAGAAGTTTGTAAGCCACAGCCCACACTACGTCGTGCAACACTTGGATTGGATCCAACCAAGGTATCTTTTCGTCAAGCTTTGCAACTTCAACGGACGTGGTACGGCATGCGGGAGTACGTCAAAGAGTTCGAGATCCCAGCCATCGTCCCACAAACATGACGGAAACCGCATGTACAAACAAGATCAGCGTTATCTGGCCTTGGGCCCAAACGGAAACCAGGTCAAGATCCCCATCTCGATCTTTAGCGGTCCACGGGGGAAATTCCTTGCTAGAGAAACAGGGCTTACGGACCCTGTGCCGTCACCTAAGAGACGCAAATATTCAGTTGAAGATACTGAACAACATGACGACGACGACAATGTTAGCATTGAAACGGCCGTAGAGGATCTCAGCATTCTTTTATCTGACGATGAAACGTCTGAAAGTCCAGGTCCCAGCATGCAAGAAGGAGCTGTCCCAGAAACTGACCTCAAGACTGATTTCCGACCCGGAACCCTGCAGGACAGTTCTTTGCCTACACTTTCTCCACCTCAATTTGCGACGAGCTCAGCGACAAAAATCCTGCAGCAACATCTTCAGGCTACCATCAAAATCCAGGAGAGAGTGCCACTCCACGAGCTCGGATGGTATGTCGACCCCAGCTTGATTACAACAGTCTACCAGTGGATAGTGGAGCTACATACGTTTGATCCATCTCTCCCACTAGCGAAGGACCTCAAAGCGATCAGCCAAAAGAGTATCGTCTTGGAGCTCCGCTTTCCCCCAAAATTCCCCATGGATCCACCCCTTGTACGGGTCATCCGTCCTCGGTTTGTCGAGTTCAACGCTGGAGGCGGCGGGCACGTTACCACCGGTGGATCCATGTGCATGGAACTGCTTACACACTCGGGCTGGCTACCGACAGCTTCGATTGAAAGTGTGTTGTTGCAGGTTCGCATGGCTCTTACCAACAAAGACCCGAGACCGGCGCGTCTGAACCGAGATCGCACAAATATGGACTATTCGGTAGGCGAGGCGGTGGAAGCCTACAGAAGAGTTGCAGTGGCGCATGGATGGCAGATCTCGAAGGATATTGAGAAACTTGCGTGGTGATTTCTTTTTCTTCTCTGAAGGAGACATTTGTACGGAGTTATCTTTGCTTTGAACTTACCAACTCCTCTTTGCTGACTACATTTGTGGTAATCGAAACAATACTTGCTACTAGTACTCTCTTCTCATCTCCATATGTATGTCGTAGTTTGTAGCTTCATACCTAGCATCCCTAAAGATAAACGCCAGTTGTACGAAAATATAGAGGGGAAGCACGAGTCTCGAAGAAAAAAGTTATAATTGAAGAATAAAACTATGTGATCCTACAATGCGCGATGATCCATGATCCCAAAAACCATACGCCTATTCACAAACATAAAAGAACAAATCCACTGAAAGGTCCATAGACAAAACCATTGCCGTTCATTGTACATCGCTTAGCCGAAAGAAATGAAACCTCACATGTGGTTCACGTAGACTCAGATGGACCAGCCTGTGGGATCGAATCTGGGAGCTTCTCGAGTTCGTCGTTGGCTTCCTTAGCTTCTTGTAGCTTTGGTTCAGCGGCAACACTTTGATCAGGGACATTTCTTTCAGTTGTTGCTTCTGTCCTTTCGTCTGTAGCAGCAGCTGTAGTGGACTCCGCTGAAGTGGGCTTGGGCTGTGTATTCTCTGCGATTGGTGGTGCTTGAGGCAAGTCTGGGTTCGCGAGAGACTGGGCATCTAGCCCTTGGCTTTGTTCCGGTGCCGGGGCATCTCCCATCACGACATCTTTTGCTTCTTCTGAGTGTAGACTAGGCCTAGGAGCATCGGAGGGGTTTGGTTGTTCGCGCTCAATAGCTGTCGAGGGGTATTCTTGTGTGTCAGGATGGGAAATGGATTCGTTTGCAATCTGATGAGGTTCCCGGTTCTCTGCCAATGTATCGGTTGATACTGCAGTCTGCTCGGGCTCTGAATGCTCATGTATCTGCAATTGGGTCGAGGGTTCTGAGGATGTTTCGTGGCTGACAGGTGGCAGGGGGGCAGTCGAGCTTTCGTGCTGGCTTGGGAGAGTAGGTTCTTCCTTCGGAGCAAGGTCAGCCGTCGGCTCTACGGTCTTCCCTTCCCCTTGCACCTTGGTATCTGTGCTTTGAGCCTCGCCAGCTGCAGCTGGAAGCTCGGTGGGTTCACTTGTCGTTACGGCAGTTCTGGCGGGAGAAGTGGGAGTCTTGTCATACTCCGAAATCACAGGCTTCCCGTTTGAATCGGTGACCTCAGCCTTCTCGGAAGGGGCATTAGAGGCCAGGGCGCCGAAATCCACCTCTGAGGTCTTCTCAGGCTGATTTTGCTTCTCCTTTTCGGCCACTGAAGAAATTTCGGGGGCAAGAGGCTGGTTTTCAGGAACGGCATCTGACATGTCGACATCAACTGACTGCTCCGCAGGAGTTTCGCCTGGAGTCTGATCCACGAACTCTGTGCCAGACAGAGCTTGCGGGGTTTCAGGAGTCTTCGCGTCCATCATGGATTCATCACCCTCGTCGCTCTCTTCGCCTTCGTCGCCGTCTTCGTCGTCTTCATCTTGACCAGCCTGGTCAATGGACTCCTGCTGGCCTTCTCTCTTGACGCCACCCTCCCCACTGCCAGGAGCAGGACCAACTCCATGTACTGTCGCGGCATCGGCTCCTTCGCCAGGCGCAAACATGACCTTCTTTTTCCGGCCCTTTCCAATGCCTCTGCCCTTTCGTTTAGGTGGAGGTGGACGTCGCTTCGGAGGTGTCATTACAGCTGCTGATCCAGCCTCCGCAACAACAACACCTTCAGCATTGACAATACCGACCCCCTCGACGACAGTTCCAGGCGCAGGCGCCTCAGGCTTCACAGGCACTTGGCTCTGCTCGGCAATCGTCTGTAAGTCGCCAGTGATCTCTCCTTCGATGCGATGACCCTCGGGCACCCACGCCTCGTAGATAGAAATGTTGCCTGTTTCAGGATCAACTTTCTTGAATTTCGTCCTCCTCATGGGCCCAGTAGCAGGGTTTCCGTCGGTACCAGCATTGACGCCATAAAGAGACGAAAGACCAGGTCGCCTCTTTGCCAGGAACTCCACTTCCGCAGGCTCGAGGTGCTTGGGAAGCGTCATCCATTTGCGAGTTGTGAAGCTCCGATCAGCCATCTGAGATGTCGAGGCCGGGTCTTCCACATCTGCCACGCTTTTATCCTCGTCATCAGCTGCTCGACTGCCTTGGCGGATATGGATACACCCGGCACGGGCTGCTCGAAGGAGTGCGCGACTGATTGGCGGCAAGAGCTGGCTGTCTCTTGGCATGGGGAGCTCTGGTAGCGTTGGTCCTCCGCCTGGGCCTTGAACGCCAAATTCCGAGTCATCGGGTTTGGGCGCTTGAGAGGAAGGTGTGCTGCTGTCGGGACCAGCGACGCACTGGCAATCCCTCAAAGACATCGTGATCGATCTGGCCGGTTCTGGTGCGGTTTGGGGCACCGTCGAGGTGTCGCCCTGAGCGCGAGGCTCTGAACTGTGGTGAATATTAGCCATCTAATTCTGGCATTTCAAGATCTAGTATATCCGGAATGACCATGTGTCTAGGGCGACCAGGTCGGGGCCAGATAAGATAGATCACGACGGGGGCAAGCTGAAACGTACCGTGGAAGGCATGGCAGATGCCTCTATACTAATTCAAAGAGAATTGCGCCCGATCAGGAAGCTTGTAATGTCCTTGTGGGGACCTCGCGGGGAGGATTCTTTGGCGCGATGTGGTGGAGTGGGTGATGATAGCGGAGCAGTGCAACTCCGTCGCGTTGCGATGCTACAAGACTGTAAAGAGACATCACGTGATCTATACTTATTGAACATCCATGCAACATCCTTAGCAGCCATCTATATTGTGATGATATCCCTCAATTGATAGAAGGCAAAACAACATTGAATTCATTGCGATGTATATTGTGATTCAAGAGTGGAATGGGGTGTTTCTGGTGCTTGATGAAAATAGCTACAGCTGCAGCTGCATCGCTGGGTGTATAAATACAGAAAATGAGCAGATGTTTGATTAGTCCACCATTGGCAATTTGTCAAAGCAAACACAATGGAATAGCTACAAGTTTCCAACCCTCAAGAATCAATCCCAACTACTACAGGTTAGTACATGCAAAACAGGTGGACACAGAGCTTCAATTGAAGGACTTACCCGGTATCCTTCTGGCGAACAATGCCTCCATGGTCCCCAGTTTCCTTTCCCTTCAAAGGCAATGTAAGTTTAAATGTTGGAACAAGGCCCTAAATCAAGGTAGGACTTACTGTCTTCTGGCCTTCCACCACCAACTTATCCAACTGGTAGAACTGACTGATGATCGTTTGTCTCTGCGATTATGTCAGTATAATTATACCACAGTGCTGAATTGAATGATTTGTAGGGGCAGTGCTGCAAGGCGAGACTCGTCGACTTCTGATACACGAGGTTTGACGAGGTTTGAAATGGACCTCCCATATCTGCCGATCGAGTCCCACCTGAAAAGCCATATGATATCACTGACCTTCAGCAAGCGCAAGCTTTGAAGTCCCTCCTGGATCAGTTCCTGTACCCGGCGTTCCTCTGTGGTGTTTTGGTGCTCGCGGAACGAGTCCCTTGTCTTCCGACGAGCGTATTCACGGAAGTTGTAGTTGGAAAACTGTCCGGAGTAGCGCAGAAGGGAGCGGAACTAATAAAAGAAGGAAAACACCCGTTAGTCTGATGTATCAAAGATAGGCGTGCGAGATTGAAGCGCATATGGAGCCGAGATGACATACCAAAGATCGTGCCTGGAAGGCAGTCTCACGATTCAAAGACGCGACAGACATGATGACTGAGTTATGACGGGAGTATTGAGAGGATTCTGATGGCAACAAGAGTCAAAAAGCCGAAGGCGAGGGGTGCGAGACGGCTGCTTGGTCAACCCCAAGTTATCACTGAAGCCGTGGTCGACGCGGTCGACACGGCGCTGCTGAGGCAAAAAGTTGTGCTAAGAACCACCGAGTTAGAGCGATGTTCGTATTGCAATGGTCGCGATATAGGAATGTAGTTCACGTACGTTGGGCGCAATGACTCGTATCAAAAACGCAATCGGAGGTGGCGGTTCAAGCTTGCGAGAACCAAAGATCCGGGAATGAAAACACACAGGAATCGATGATTTTGATATCTCGTAAAACAGTCTCTTACAGCGAAAGAGACACAGTTTGAAATATGCAAGAGGGAAGAAGAAGCGCAGAAGTGGGAAATTCTTTTGCGTTCGGAGACGAATGACGGAGTTACCGGGGCCGAGCTCCTTTGCTCCACGTTTCTTTCTGGATATCTCAAGCTTGGGGGATTGATCGCATTTGATTCAAAGTCCACAACTCAACTCGACTTGGCAGATATTTGCATTGAATATCTGCTCCGTTAACCCTTCACCTTTTTCTCCATGACTCAAATACCCACGCCACCAGCCTCGCGACCGGGCTCGGAGGCCCCCGAAGTGAAGGTGAAGCCGGAGGCTTTGGAGGATCCGGTCGAATGTTTGGATACACTTCTTGAAAAATACTTGCACCTGCTTGATCGGCAGCAGAAACTTCATTCAAGTCTGGCAGAGCAGCTATCATCGGTATGACTTTGTTAATCATGGTTCCTGAAATGTGCTGAGACAAAGTAGGGGTTCTTTGCTCTCGCCCAGGCCAATTTCTCCAGTCCTCCTGGCCGTCGTTATGGTCCTGATTATTACGATGAGCGCATGAAAGCAACGAGAAAGATGTAACTTCACCCGATGCCATTGATTACTGACGCTTGTTAACTGGCCGAAATCGACAGATCAATCCAATCCGAACAAAACACGGACAAATCCACGAACGATCTGCAAGAGAAAGAGGATGTTACTGCGCTACCTGGTCCTGAATACACATTCTCCGTCGAACATACACCCAATCATCCATCAGAGGAGGCCGATGGGAACAACGAAACCAAAGCTTCTTCTCCGGTCCTAGGTGGACATCTTGAGGCCTCCGAGGAAACTAGTCCGGCCGAGACGGCTAGCTCGGAACCCTCTGACACTGCAGGAACTGAAACCACCCCTGTCGAAAAACAAAAGTCCGTCCCTAAGAAGTTTCGGTCTGCCGATCCAATCCACTGGTATGGAATATTGGTCCCCCAGTCGCTACGCAGGGCACAAGACTCTTTCGCAAATGCGATAGACAATCAGGTGCCGGATTTGGCTAGTACAACAGTCGAAATGCGAGCCCTGGAACACCAGATAGACCAATTACGGGGCAGGCTGGAAATTGAATCCTCCGACGCAACTACGTTGTAGTCATCCGTGACCTTGTCCAACATTACAAGGTTAACCAGCCGTAAGGTCAAGTTGACATTGAGAAGTCGCACAGAGCATTCTATTGCTGAGAGCCCCAGGAGATCACCTTACATGACCAGATGTGTTTAAAATTGGGGTCGCAAATGCCTCACATCTAAAAATGGACTTGCAAAACAATCTACAATATATCCACATGATCCACGAACTGTTATATAGCGGAAGCCCAGACCAGCTTCGTTATTATTGTGGATATGTAGAGACTCGAGAGCGGAGAATCAGCGGAGAAGAATATCTATAATTATATACAACATACGAAGTACTCCGTACAATACATGAAGATTTAAAGGGGTTGAAATGTGGCCAATACCAAGTAGGGATAGAGATGTTTCAGTGTAAAGCCCAGTCTATACTCTGAAGGGGATACTCCGTACGGAGCACTAATTCTACATAAGTACGATATAGCCGAGTCGGGTCAAGATCCTCAAGCTTTCCTTTTTCCCACGTCTTTTTCTGATCTCGACGGAGTATACGGAGTATACGAAGTTTCCTCCATGCATATGCATTTCATTCTCTAACATGTCCAATAACCGAAGCATTTCAAGTTTCAAATTACTAAAAAAGGGCCTTAATGTGAGACGTTAGCGTCCGGGGCTAACACCAACCCCACTAATATCGTCAAGATGTGATTCGTCTAGTAATTTAGCCGGTCTCATGTTGAGGCCCTGACCTTTCATTCCCTTTTTTTTTTGATTCTGTTTTTTTATATATTGTAAAGGTAGTTGAAAGGAAATCGACATGTCAGGGTACTATGTAGATCCGATACTCATCAGAGGGGGGATTTGAAGTATAAGGATGGAGCACGGCGGGGTCTGATATAAAGTACTTTGATTACAGGAGTCAATTCCCAAAGAAGTAAAGAAATTAAAGAAATTAATAGTCCATGGGCAGATGTTTAGCATTAATATACATCCCGTTTGAGATGTGGACTAGTATCCATGTCAGCCCTCTTCAATCTTTTCCTCTCCTTTTTCCCAACTTCTGAGCTTGAGGCTCTCCCCTTTTGAATTGGTATGTTGTTAAAGTCTATTCAGGTCAAAGATTGCGGTTAACCTATGTTGTATCTAGCCTTGAACGCCAGTTTGATACTAGCGGTTCGTTCCTGTCCTTTTTCCCATTCCTCTTTTTGAACGGTAGGTCATCCCATGACTCTGGATAGAGCTGGCCCTGACTATATCATATACAGTGGCATTGAATGCCCTTCCATTCTTTTGCGATCTTGATCCTGTGGATCTTGCCTTGCTAGGTCGTTTTATTGCTTTATCCACTTTCTACGATCTTGTAGACACTTGTGGCCAGACCCAGTTGCTCTGGTTTCAGTCCTTTCATCTTTTCATTCATTCTTAACTTGATCAAGGCATCAAGCAACCGTTCATTTCCATTCGTCAACATTAGAGAGACAAATCTCTCTTTTGCACCGCAGTACCACCACGCCATACTTGATACCCTGCGAGCCCTAACTTCTCGCAAACTATACAAGAGCATCCACCTCGGCATTCCATTTAGCCATATTTCTTTTGACCAAACGACCAATGAGTACAGAAGTACCAAACTCCGCCCCCTCTGGGCAGCCTGACAGGAAAGGATCTGTCAAGCGGGCCAGACAAATGCTGGATGCCGGCGTGCGTCCAGAACGAACTTCACCACCCCAGCAGATGAGACATCCGCCTGTCCCCAGGGATATCTCCCATCAAACACAATGGCCTCTTCCTGATTCGGGTCTCCCACCGCACCCGATCAATCAACATCCTAGGTATCTGGTTCCGCGTGGTCCTCCACCTCAGAGACCACCTCATCCAAGTGAACTCCCTTCGCCATCCATTTACTCCGAACGGGATAGCCGAGTCTCAGAAATGAGCTTGGCTCCGAATCAAAGACCTCCCCGATCCTTTTCACAACTCCAGCCGCCTCCGTTGGCGCACTCACGCCGGCCGATAGATGATGTCCCTGCCAGTCCTACCAGCACAATCGACATGACGACTCCTCGAATATCGATTGCAACAGAAGAGTTGTTCAGACAATCCGTGACTTCGTCGACACCCTCTGTCCCCGATGTGCCCCAATTTCCACCTACTTTTCTGCTGTCCGAGTCCACTCAACCTCAGGATGACCCCAGCCACCGGACGGCAGGTCTTGTCGCACCACTCAATGCACGAAAGCCTCCCCAGGCTCGTCGATCATCCGTCTCGCCAATTCCAGAAGAATTTGCCGACTCTCGCTTTACCAAATGCTCCGTCGCGTCGAGCCGAGCCGTCCCCTCGAGTTGGGGATCTGGCCCCGCCGAATCCGAGATTCTGGGAGCGTATCTAGATATGGAATCAGATGATGGCCAGCGGTCACCGGGCCTCCAAGAGGAAGATACGAGGCTCGTCCGAAATGCCAGTATTGGAAAGCGAGGAAAGCCGACGATGCGTACCATCACCAAGTCTAATCCCGTTTCCGTTGCAGATATGCCAGCACCCACCCAGGAGGAATCCGTCAAGGGCACAGAAGTACGACCTATCGGGTTAGGAGTTGTTGCAAACCAGATACCCCATATCCCGAGTCAATTACGAAAGTCGTCTACTACAGCATCGAGTGAATCATTGAAAGGCGTGGATCCGGAAAAGCCACCCTTTTCCACACAGTACGACTCGCCCTCTGATACGCGGCTCGAAAAAGAGCTCGAGGCCTTCGGACAGCTGCCTCACGCTGCTCCAACAATGAGTGATAAAAGGCCTGGAGGTCGTAAGCCTCCCGCTCTGAATATGCATGCGGTGCGGGATGCAGAGGCTCGTGGGAGCCTTTCCAGTCTATCTGATTTGATTCGGAGGGCGACAAAGCTGGCGACGAACCTGGATCATGGGAGAACCGCTAGTCGAGCTAATAATCTGGCCGGTGGTGATGAGGCAGGGTTCAGGACTGCGATGGGTGAGTGCTTCGGACCCAGATCACCATGCGGCATTTCCGGGAGTAGTATTAACTCGTCTGTGCTTAGGACACCGACCACGCAACTCCGGCTCTATATCTGACATTCTGGCCTCCTTCCCCCACCGGCTTTGGCCTCATCCGAAGGTCGTGCATCACGCACATCATGGCCCATGTTCTTTGGACGCTCTAACTTGCGTAATGTCGAGCAGCTTAACTCCAGTGATGACGACCCAAATGCTCCCCGACGCAGGAAGACATGCTGCGGAATGCCTCGGAAGATCTTTGTGCTCATCTGCATTGTAATCTTCATCATCGTCGTTCTCGCGATTCTTCTCCCTGTGTTCCTTGTCGCTGTGCCCCGCGAGAAAGCGAACTCATCCTGTGCCGAAAGGAACCCCTGTGAGAACGGAGGTATGAGCGTCTCGGCCGGCGATGAATGCTCATGCATTTGTTCGAACGGTTATACCGGCTCACAATGCAATATTGCGGGTGATGATAGCTGCACCACCACCCGACTAATTAACGGATGGAATGCGACCATGGGCAGTACACTCCCTTCTCTATTCGAAGGATCCAAGACAAAATACGGCATCACCCTCGACCAAGTCACGATCATGGCTCTCTTTAACATGAACGACGTATCCTGCAAGACCGAAAACGCCCTCGTGGCTTTCGACGATGTGACAAGTGACACAAATAAGACCCGCCGATCTGTACAATTGATAGCCGACTCGATGCCATCCGAAGAGAACGGGAAGAACGGTGATTCATCATCGGTCTCAACAACCGACCCAACACCAGTCCTAGCTGTCCGTGCCGAGGCCACTATGAACGGTATCCTATATGATGACTCCAACAAGTCAGCTACGACCACGTCGGCACCTACTCAAACCGAGTCAGCGAGCGCTTCCACCACCAGTACCAGCTCTCAATCCAGTTCCGGGGCCAAGGCGTCCACGTCCACTGGGACCAGCGTTCCCGAGGACGTTGTTGGGTTTTCTCGGGTTGCGGTGTTGTACATTCTGCAGAAGACAGGTTCACTTGACACGGCCATGTCTTCGGGTGAGAATATCCAAGGATACCTGGTTGATCCGTATGCGAACGCCACTCACCCGGCCATGACGGTGGGGGCTTTCGCTGTGGATTTTGAGAAATTGACGATCACGCTTCCCAATAGCACGGTGAAGGCTGAGTGATGATTGAAAATATGTTGTATGTAGGCAAAGGTGTATATAGGTCCATCGATTTAATTATATATATTGGGATATCATACTCCATACGTATGTGTATGTTGTGTATGTCGTGTAGGTCAATTCTAGCCAACATTGGAACGTTGGCCGGATTTAGGGTTTTAGATTACCCGGTCGATCCTTTCCTAATTAGGAAGTCCAATGTCGTGATTCCGCGCGGAGGTGACGTGCTCCATCACATGATCTCCTCTGCCGATGCGCTAAGTTGAGTCTATGGGAGTGGCAGGAGTATAACGGACTACAACATATATCAATTGATCAAGGACAAGTACTTTGGACTATATATACTTCTTGATCGTCTATTAAGATTCATAAATTCCCTCATATATGATGATCTCAATCAAAGGGATCGTCTATTTGCCCCTGAAAATCCGGAACCTCAGTCTTCCGTACCATATACTTCCAATGTTGGTAGGCCATGAATCGACTAATGTATCAGAACTACCTAGGTATACACTTATACTGTTTAAAATTGCAAAGACATACTAGATATATATATTTATTGATATGAATGAAACCATTCTGAAACTTCCCGGCAAATAATTAGCCCTAAGGTCCATAATTAACATCCAAGCTGTTACCCCGAGGAGATCCAGCCAAGACTTTTCCACTCCACACGTTGACGACTTCTGTTGGATGTGGATGGTGCAATCCACACCCCTCCAGGGCTCCAAGGAAATTTCTTGATAAGCAAAGCTTTCCCTTCTTTTTTTTCTTTCTTGTACATTACTCTTTTTCTATTCTATCCTTTCTTTTTTTATATTCACTATGGCCAACGCCCCTCACGGTGGTGTCCTCAAGGACCTTCTCGCCCGCGATGCTCCCCGCCAGGTCGAGCTCGCCGCTGAGGCCGAGTCTCTCCCCGCTGTGACCCTCACTGAGCGCCAGCTGTGTGATCTCGAGCTGATCATGAACGGAGGTTTCTCTCCTCTGGAGGGTAAGTGCAATTGGTTCCTTTGAGATCCAAATGTTCCTTGTTTTTGGGAGGGGCACGGGCATAGAGGGGCAATGGCTAATCTTCATGCAGGTTTCATGAACCAGGCAGACTACGACCGGTATGTGTGACACGGATGATCCCATTGGAATGAGAAACCCCTCATTCTCGGTGAATAACCTATAACAGCGGCAGCTGACAATGTGCATAGTGTCTGTGAGGACAACCGCCTTGCCGATGGCAATGTGTTCTCCATGCCCATTACCCTCGACGCTAGCCAAGAGGTTATCGACGAGAAGAAGCTCCAGGCTGGCTCTCGCATCACCCTGCGTGACTTCCGTGACGACCGTAACTTGGCTATTCTTACTATCGACGACATTTACCGCCCCGACAAGTGAGTTTGCCCTTTCTCTCAATTTGACATTCGGAACCGGTCGCACTGTCGATCATTATTTTTTTTCGTACCCTCGGACACCTTGTTTTATCTTTATTATGGGCGTTTTATGTCACCAACCTCGAATCTTTACCCAATGAGTCGATGTGGTTCGTGCTGTAGTGGGGCTCGCTGACGTGGTTCTCCCCTAATTTAGGACTAAAGAGGCCAAGCTTGTCTTCGGCGGTGACCCAGAGCACCCGGCTATCGTGTACCTGAACAACACCGTCAAGGAGTTCTACATTGGTGGAAAGATCGAGGCCGTCAACAAGCTCAACCACTACGACTATGTCGCCCTCCGCTGTATGTTCAATTCCCCTCTCGCCCTTGAATCTGGCTAATAAATCTTCCTACAGACACCCCCGCAGAGTTGCGTGTCCACTTCGACAAGCTGGGCTGGTCCCGTGTCGTCGCCTTCCAGACTCGTAACCCCATGCACCGTGCCCACCGTGAGCTGACTGTCCGCGCGGCCCGTTCCCGCCAAGCCAATGTCCTGATTCACCCCGTTGTCGGTCTCACCAAGCCCGGTGACATTGACCACTTTACCCGTGTCCGCGCCTACCAGGCTCTCCTTCCCCGCTACCCCAACGGCATGGCCGTCCTGGGTCTCCTGGGTCTGGCCATGCGTATGGGTGGTCCCCGTGAGGCCATCTGGCACGCCATCATCCGTAAGAACCATGGTGCCACCCACTTCATTGTCGGTCGTGACCACGCCGGTCCTGGTTCCAACTCCAAGGGCGAGGACTTCTACGGCCCCTACGATGCTCAGCACGCCGTCGAGAAGTACAAGGACGAGCTCGGCATCGAGGTCGTCGAGTTCCAGATGGTTACCTACCTCCCCGACACCGATGAGTACCGCCCCGTTGACCAGGTCCCCGCTGGCGTGAAGACCCTCAACATCTCCGGTACCGAGCTCCGCCGTCGTCTGCGCTCCGGCGCTCACATCCCCGAGTGGTTCTCTTACCCGGAGGTCGTCAAGATTCTGCGCGAGTCCAACCCCCCCTCGCGCCACCCAGGGTTTCACCATCTTCCTGACCGGTTACATGAACTCCGGCAAGGATGCCATCGCCCGTGCTTTGCAGGTTACCCTGAACCAGCAGGGTGGTCGTTCCGTCTCCCTGTTGCTGGGTGACACCGTCCGCCACGAGCTCTCCTCCGAGCTGGGCTTCACCCGCGAGGACCGTCACACCAACATCCAGCGCATTGCCTTCGTTGCCACTGAGCTTACCCGCGCCGGTGCCGCTGTCATCGCTGCCCCCATTGCTCCCTACGAGGAGTCTCGCAAGTTCGCCCGTGACGCTGTCTCCCAGGCTGGATCCTTCTTCCTGGTCCACGTCGCCACTCCCCTCGAGCACTGCGAGCAGTCCGACAAGCGTGGCATCTACGCTGCTGCTCGTCGTGGCGAGATCAAGGGCTTCACTGGTGTCGACGACCCTTACGAGACTCCTGAGAAGGCTGATCTCGTTGTCGACTTCTCCAAGCAGAGTGTGCGCAGCATTGTGCACGAGATCATTCTCGTTCTGGAGAGCCAGGGTTTCCTGGAGCGTCAGTAAGCGCGAGGCTTGGCGGAGTCGATTATATGTTTTTTTTGTTCTTCTATGGATTCCCCTGGCTTAGATAGTTCAAGTTGCCAATAGATTTGGTTTTGTGATCTGACCTTCTACGCTATAAGCAATGTATTGGCCCAGGATAGATAAGGGCATAGCATAGATGATCCTTTTGAACAATCTTGCAATATTATAGTTATAGAGACAAAGAAACATAAACATCACCAGTAACTCATCCAATAGTATAAGTACTATATCTAGACTGTACCATAGACTTCAGAGACCTACGAACTAGGAATTCCAGGGAAAACCATGTTGAATTTAGAGGCATCTACCCTGGCTATATCAGAGCTATATCAGAGCTATATCAGAGCTGATGTCGAGCAACCACCCGTGGACACTTTCATAACCATGACGCGTAAAGCAAAGAAAAAACCCCAAGGAATCACGAAGCCACAGCGAAATGCAAAGGGAAATAGAAAAGAAAAGAAGAAAAGCAAAGTAAAGTGAAAAAAGGGGAAAGGAACAAACGCCAGGGGTAAACACACGATGTCGTACATGGGGGTAAATTGCCAGCACGAATTCTAGCCAAAGTCGAAAGAATAAAAGATTACCGGGAAAATTATCAAGAATAGAAAGGATAGATCAGTGCCGAGGTCAACAGAAAATAAAATAATAAAAGACTTCCCAGCTGCTGGTTGCCAGACCAGGGATTGCCAGAAGATGGCCGCGTGAAAAGCTCACAAAGTCTGTTCAGAGGTCAGTTATTTCTTTGATCCCTTGACAGACTTCATAACACGCCGAGCTGCACTTTTGACTCCCTTGCCAAAGCCCCCTTTGGGAGTGCTTTTAGCCTTGGGAGCGGGCTTCTTAGCCTTAACTGGGCTCTTGGCAGGGACCTTTCTCGCAGGCTTGCGAGGAGAAGCTCCGGAGCCTTTGGAAGCAGTAGCGAGAATTTTCTTCTTGGTCTCAGCGGAGGGCCGCTTGAGCTGGGATGTTGTCTTCTTGGGAGAAGCCGGAGTTTCTTTGGCTGTCTTGTTTGATCGGGAAGCACGCACAGTGGCCTTGATCCGGCCTGTGGCTTTGACGGTTGGTAGCTTAACGTTGGTCTTCGACTTGACAGCAGTTGTGGATTTGCCCTTTGCCGTTGTCTTGGTCGTCTTCTTCCCACGGACGGTAGCCACGGCCTTTTTCACGCCGGCCTTGATGGACTTGGACTTGATAATCTTGCGCTTCTTGCCTTGCGGGGCCTCGTCGTCGCTTTCGGATTCTTCTGAGTCCTTTCGCTTTTTGCCAATGACCTTTTTGGCAGTTGTCGTCTTTGGACTTGCCTCGGCCTTTCGTTTCTCGAGTTCTTTGGCACGTTGCTGCTTTTCCTTCAGCCGTGGACCAAGGAAGCCTCGACAGTTCGCTGATCCACAGCGGCATTCTTGGACATTCTTGTTCGAGTAGGGACTGATATAGTATTAGTACATGGTCAAGTGGCTTGATACACATGTAATACTCACTCAAAGTTGTAGTCATAGCTCAATTCCTCCCCTGTGGAGACTCCTCGATCTCCAGCGAAGAGCGCCATGCGTGGCTTGCCAGCGACAGTCCATTTCTCCATACGGCAGTTTGGCTCACAGGCATGGTTAACAAAGCGAGCAATAGAACCGCGAGTAGCATCGATGATCATGTTTTGATCAAAATACATAAGGTAATAACACTGGTTGGCGAGGTCAATAAACACTAGTCTGTAAAACACCAAGAGAAAGGGCACGTACGTCGTTGTTTTTGTACACTGTTCTCATCCTCTTCTCGCATTCAAGCTGGGTGAGAATCTCGCCGGTGTACTCCACAATAATTTGGTTGGGCTCGAAGGAACGATTGCTGCGGACGCCATATCCGCGATCTGCTGTCTTGATGACTTCGACTCCAATGTTATACTTGCCCCCGGCCTTAGTCCGCTGCTTAAGGCCCTCGAAGTTTCGGTTACCGCACTCAGGACCCAGCCGGCAGTTACCGTTGTCGCACTCGTAGAACATATAGCGGTTCTGGCAATTCTCATCACAGCCAGTGTCTTCAGTGCACATACAAGTAGACAGCTCGAGTTTCTTGTTCGCTTTCCAAAAACTTCCGGCATCACCAACAAAAACATCTAGACTGTTAGTTAGCCCTCACTTCATAATGGAGATACTCGACATGCCACTCACTCTTGTTAGTCTTGCGCCATTCGTTGGGTTTAGGCTGTCCAGGTGGCAGTGGCGAGAAGATATCATACGGCAGCTGGTAGTCCCGCCCAGTCTTCAAAAGACGAGCACCCTTGAACATTGGCATGGGAAGGATGGTGCGCTGCATGGGACCGGTTCCAGTCTTCTTCGAATTCTTACTCCGGCGCTGCTTAGGAGGCGAGTCCGAGGGTTCCTGTCCTGTGTAAAGGCCATGCGACAGCCATATCTTGCGAGGTCGCGAAGCAGATACAGCCGGTTCCTCTGGTTCAGGAGTATCCTGATCTTGGAGCTTGGGCAAGTCGCTCTCAGATACTCGACGCTTCTTTGATGCAGGCTCGTTGACTGCCGAGGGGGCCGCCTCGTCTTTCGACGGGCATTATTGCGAGGGCGGAGACTAGCACGCCGACCAAGATCCTTGTCTGCCAGGCCTCTCGTGCGCTTTCCCAATATACTGCTGGCCCGGTCGACCAGATCTGAAGCCTTATCCATCAGACTGAAGCGACCAGACCGTCGTAGAGACTTGCGAGGAGAGGTTCGGGATGGGACCACCTCAGCCGTGGGCGCTCCTTCGTCTTCGGCCAATGCCTTCCCCACACGCTTCCGTAGCGTCCGCTGCTGAAGCGCCGTGTTCATATCCTCTGATTGCAAGTCCTGGGAAGACTTTGAGACTGGTGTATCGGGGGCCACAGTGCCGTCGGCCACGGTATCATCGTCGACTGGAGCTCCGCTCCACAAGGAGGATTCCATCACTGCAATACTGTGGCGGAGAGAAGAGTGAGATCGTTTCGCTTTGGCAAGGCTGTCGACATATGCCTCGCTAGATGAGGCCGCGGGCTCCTTGTTTGTGTCGTCTAGTGACTCGCCGGGTCGCAACGATGCGCGTGCAACCCGTGTTGACCTTCGCCGTCCTGCGGGTTTTTCGTCGGTCAGCGCGTTCTCGTTGTTGCTCGAGGTCTCCGAGCGGCTGTTTTCAGGCGTCAAGAGCTGTTCTGGCACGTCGAGGCTCATGTTGTCATCGGTAGGCTCGTGAGCCTGAGCGTCGGGAGCCGCGGACGCGACTGATCGGGACGTTCGTGGCGCCATTTTCGTGAGGATAAGATAACAAGAAGGACAATTCCACCTGGAACCGCCCTTTCTCTATCGATGTAGAGCAACTGGCGCGTGTGGTCGGGCTGGATGGGGAAATATCAGGGGAAGGTGTCGGATCGAAGAGGATCAGCTTCCCGCGCGCTTCTTATCAATTTAGGGTGAGGGTCTGACGCGTGCAACAACACTTTCAGCACTCCAATCGTAGAATTTCCCGATCTACAAGAGTACTAACGCAATGAAAAGAATGGCAAAGCAAGGGAGAAGGGGAAAATAAGCATCCGCCAGAAGCCTGCCCTGGTGGAATGCCGGAAATCCCTCACTTGCCCCCCACATGAACATGAGAGATTCTATGTCTGAGATGATATGGATATATAGATTATTCTAGCTGTAACATACACAGAATGATATCAAATGTCCAAACAAAGGTGAATATATGGTCCTAATAGGACATGGAAAGAAAAGGCTGGTTCTGGATAGGGTTGCCCATTCCCAGGTATGTAGTCACGACAGGTAACAGGATAGAACAGGATAAGAAATAGATCATGGCAGATCAGTAGAAAGAGAGAAATTATGTCTGCGCCAGGTGTATCAAATCAAACAGAGATGGCGACAAGAAGGGTATGTGTAATGTGGTGATTAGAAAGTGATAGATGTGTCCACGGGTATGAAGGATCCCAGTAAGAACAGGAATAGGTGGGCAGAGAAAAGGAGGAAATCATGAATATCATCTTCACAGATCGTAGCCGCCGAACCAAGTTCGACAGGCAAAAAGTGATTTTTCTTTTTTGTTTTTAGCCCTGTTGCGGACCAACATGTTGCATTTCAATGCCTTGGGACTCGACATCTGGGACACGATACTTGCGCTTTTGTGAGTCCAAGCGTTGGTCACCGTCTTCATACCGCTGCTTGAATTGCATGTAGGTAGGAGGGCGAGGACGCCCAAGAACGGCGATCCAATTCTTAAGGATGTTTCCTTGTGTGAATGGTCGATGTCGGTCAGTCTTGGCAAACTTGTGCGAGTTGAGATATTCTCTGGTAGTTTCACCGCGGCCAACTAGGAAGAGATGATATGCCCAAAGTGATGTAGGGTATGGCACTGCAACCAACCCATATATCACCATGGCCCATGGCACTCTCCATTTGGAGATTGCAGCCCCGAAGGAGATGCTTTCCCGAGACCTGTAGACCAATATATGTGCCAGACTAGCGCCGATCAAAAAGAGAGCCAAGAGGGTGCAAGAGCTAACGAATGTAAAGAAATAGCGATAGTTTCGGCGACCAACACAGTTGTTGAGCCACACGCAGTGATGATCGAGGGTTTCCACGCAGTTGTTGCAGACACGGCAGTGATAGCAGCGAGGAGGCCGCCAAATATTACATGTCTTGCAGTATTTCACAGGCACGTCCATGGCAGCTACATCGGAAGTAGCAAGCTTGACCATAACCCAGTCATTTGTGGGCGGACCAAGTGCCAGAGGGTCATCTGAAGAATCCGGCTGAGGCATAGGATGTACATTCCGAGGCATAATCTAGGAGTATCATGTTAACAACCACGAAACTTGAGACTCAATCAAGACCGAGACACTTACTCCAGGATCGACGACTGATGCATGCACAAACGACGAGAAACACACGTAGAAAATGTAAGCAAACACTATTGGAATGGCAGGAGAGATATTATGCCATAGCCAGGGAGCCCTAATTCCAGAAGTTAGCCATTGGCCCGACGGTCATATCAAGCGGATTCACATACGAGAAGGCAAAGAACAACGCCGAAGGTACAACGATTAAAAGTCCTGTTGCAATATTGACAGGCTTGTCTCTCGAGTTCTGGAACCGCCCCCCACCGCAGAAGAATGTGTTGCCGAGAAAGTACTCGTAATTCTTGCCCAGCATCGTTTTTGGTAGAGGGGGCTTTTTCACATCGAGGGGACCCGGAGAGGAGCCAGCGGAGGAGAGATGTTCGTGGCCTTGGTGGGCCCGAGTATCGTGGCCGTGTCCTGCACCTCGATTTTGCAATGATAGGAATGACAGTGGTGATTTTGGTGGTGTATCCTGCACGGCATGTCCTGTATAGTTGGCGCCCAGGTTGAGACGCTGGGGCTTCTCCTTTTGATCTCGGTCCCGCAGCAGTCGGACGCTTTCACCCAGACTCCGGATGGTTGTGTTACCGGTGGGGCTAGCGTTGGAGGTATTGCGGTCTGGAATAATAGGATCTGTGAATTCCGTTCCTCGAGACGGAGGAGCCTCCATGTCAGCCGGAGGCTGAGATCCTTGCGGGGCTGTGCTATTGGAGATCAAGCTCCCCCTGTTCTGGCTTCCATGCTCTGTCCAGTCGTCGGTGGATGAAACCGTTCCTTTAGTCACAGGGCGTGTTCCTCGGTGTGCCTGCAATCGTTGCGAGCTCATGGGCCGAAAAAATGCCTGTGCCGTCAGAGACGGGATATGTGTTCTACTCAATCGACTTCCCGAGCTACCAGGTCTGCTGGTCACCGAGTTCCGCGTTGGAGGCGGACCACGCCTGGATGAAACTGAGGGCCGCGACTGGTGGGGAGGGTGAGGTGATGTGTAAGATGGTGTTCGCTCTCCATCTTCATCTGTCACTCGGGACGAAATTCCGCCCACAGAGGGAGGCCGAGGAATCCCTAGCACATGGTTTGGTGTCGATCCCTGGTTTGTGTCGCCAGTCTCCGGACGATCTGCGGAGTTTTCCATAGCTGTGGAATGATGTGAATATTAACAATTGCTAGATGGAAATTCGCGCTATCATATTGCGTTTCGAATTGGCAATAGCGAAGGGATGGAGGCGAATCGCAGTGTAACGTAGGCAGCTGATATCGACGGGATACGGCGAGCAGCAAGCAGAGCAGAAAAAGGAGTGACGATAGAGCCGAGGCAACGTCTAATGAGCGAAAGTAAACAAAAGGATCAATCAAGGTCCTATAATTCCATTAGTCTCAAATCCCAATGCAGAGTTCCACTAACGAACGCGCCGCAAGGGCCAAGATGCAGAGCCCCTGATGGAGAAAACCGGAACAACACACCTCAGGCGCAAACAGCGATCGATAGGCCAAACAAATTGTAAAGGCCAATTACATCGCAGAAATCAACAGGAATGATCGTATATGCGTCAGCAAGTCGGATAACTCGAACCACAGAATATCAACCAACAGGAAGCTCGAAAGTCATGACCCAGATTGCTTGAACCGGTGATGACTCAGCGTCACCTGATATTCCGGCAACATCATTCGATGTTCATGATTCTCTCCCACTACCCCGTCTCCAGTTCTCCGCCCACGAATTCTCCTTCCAACGCACGCTCGAATTGCTGCAACCATGTCTTCAATTGCTGCTCTGGCTACCCGCCGGGCTCTGACCCGCCAGTCCCTCCTCCGCGCTCCCCCGCGCCGCTTCAACTCCTCTAAGGTCGAGGAGGCTCATCTCGACAAAGCCGGCAAGCGTGATCCCGAGCTCTACGTACGGACCCCACGGAGCCATTGAACCACGCTCGAGCTTTCATTCTAACTGTCATGCTTCTAGGTTCTTCTCGGTGTCATGTCTGGTGCTTTCCTGATTGCCGGATGGTGAGCATCCCTCCCGAAATTGCCCTACAATGCCTCATGCCCAAATGGTTCGCCCCATTTGCGCCACTGTGACGTATCAGCACTTCTTGGAGATTTTACCCAATCTACCCACCACCCTTAATGGCGCACGCACGTACAATGGCCGATCGCTAATCAGTTCGGCATTCGCGATAATATAGGTACTTCGGCCGCAAGCCCACTTCCGTGAACTCTGAGAGCAACGTTCGCATTGGCGAGAGTGCCATGCCCTGGCACGGCGAATCCGAGGATGGCAAGGTCTACAAGTACCAGTACCACCCCCACGGTGACAAGAGCCAGCCCCTCCGCGCTGCTCCCAGCGCCATGAACACCGTCATTGTTCCCAATGTCACCCTGCCCGAGGTACGGATCCGTTGGACCTTTTGTTTATGCCTACGTGGGATCACTTCAGAACTTGTTCAGAGTGTCATGTGATCGCGTTGGCTGTTTTGGTAGAGAATACTGACGTTGGTTTCTTTCTAACAGGACCTCCACGAGAAGTTCAACAAGTACGGCAAGGAGGAGTGGGACTACTAAATGGCTATTTGTTAGCCATAAGAAGTGCCTTAAGAAGTCGAATGAAGCTAACCGCCGTTTCTTGCGGCCGGCTGCTGTACACTAAGACCGGGGAGAGGAGAGGGCTGCGTGAACTTGCCATTGGGATAGCAAGAGATTTGTGCATAGTATACGTATTCAGATAAAGAGTCAATTGGGAATAGCTCTCTTTCTTGCGTTACATCCTATCTTACTGACTAGCTTACAAGATTGAATTAGCAATCTAGAACCATACCTGACAACCCAGTCGCGAAAGCGCTGAAAGCGGCCAAGTAACTACCATGTACCTTTTATGTTACGACATATAGCACAGAATCTGCGGATATCAGTGTCGATTATGGCAACACTAAGAAAAAGCTAACAACGGAATAGAGGAATGGGCAAGTACTCTATGAAGTCTCATTATACATGGCAGAATCCGCTCTCCTCTTACATTTTCATCTTCCAGACGACCACTATTTAGTGGCCTCATTACCCTCACTGGCAGGCTTAGCCTCCATGGAGCTTGACTGCTCAACCGAGCGCTCATTGCCATCAGCCACAGACGCAGGGCTCTCAGGGGGAACAGAGTCCTCGGGCGCACTACCAGTCTCAGGATTCTGGCCCTGCACATCCGGGTGCGGGGGCGCGAGCTGGCCATCAACGACGGGAACCTCGTGGGCATTCTGCAAAGGCTGACCAGGCTCATAGCGAGTCTCGAACTTCACTTTACCTTCTGCTCGGAGCGAGGCTACCAGGTTCTCGTCAAGAACTTGACCGTTCTGGTCGCGGTACTCAACGCGCGCCATAGAGCCAGCGATCTTAGGCGCGGTGACGGCCGCTGGGTCTGATTCTTGGATAGCCTCACCTGCAGGCGCGGGTGCAGGTTCTTCGGCCTGGACTGGTGGCGCCGGGGGTGGTGCTTGAGCTGCGGTTGTAGGGGCAGCCACGGGCGGCATGCTTGGCACGTATTGAGTAATGTACTGGCTCAACTAGTGGCGTTTGAAAGTCCATGTTAGTCGTGGTCTCGTCGATTCGTTCAATAACCTCGCCGGGGAGGTCTCCATTCCGGAACACTTACGTCGGTGTGAAAGGTATTACAGTCGAAATCCCAGGAACCGAGCAGTTTCACCTGATTGCATGCATCCCTAGTCCAGGGGTTGCCATACACGAGTGGGGCGTAGAGAGTGAACACAACAACGCTAAGACCTAGGAAGATTGCCATCAGAGCCTTGCCAATTACAGGTCTGGACGCAAGCCCCAGGCTCTTAATGCGGTTTGTGAGGAAGTCAAGCTCCTGGCAGAGGACCATAATGGCGAAGTAAAGGGCAGGGAGATAGTGGTGCAAAAAGAGCTGGCGCGCCATAAGATAGAATGGGAAGTAGTGGAAGAACCAGCCCAAAACGCTGGTGCCAACCTCGTAGTCAAAGCGCTTGAAGGAAACGTGTTTGTAGTCACCACAGCTTCGCTGCCACCGAACAATGGAGAGAGCTTTGAAGATGAAATAGATTCCAATGGCCAGAGTGGTCGACCACCAAATCAGCGGGTTTCCGAGGAGGTAAATTTGGCGGTTGTCTTTGCCCCAGAAGTTGATTCCGCGAAGGAGGGTAGGCCAAGAGGGCGGGCGAGAATCCCAGGCGTGGGACTCAACCAAGCCTGCGTTCGTGGTCCACATAACCTTCTGCAATTCCCAGAACTTGCCCAAGAAGCCGGGGTTACGGTAGTTGACTCGCTCGGCGTCTGGGGCCATAGCGGGGTGCTGGTTGGACTCAATATACCAAACGCTATTGGGAAGAGTACCACCCTTGGCGCATGTCACTTCCTGCTGCTCCCAACCCCAGTCCGGAAGCTTGACCTTGTGGGAAAATAGGACACAGCCAGTCATGACGTGCACCAGCTTGAACTTGGACTGGATAGTCCGCAGGCGCTTCTTAGACTTTGGGGTCTCGGACATGGACTTAACAATCTCAACCCTCCATAAGTCGTTGGCATCACCGGGGAAGCCTTCGTATCCGTAGAGCAGAGACCTCATATTGCCAGTCGGCCTCGGTCACTGGAGGGCGCTCGTCATGCGAGTGAATTCTTCGGTGAGTGATCGCGTGATAAAGTCTAATAATCGAACCATCCTCAATGAAACCAGAAGCAGTCATGTTGTCCCAGGCGAACGGGCCCTCGACTTCTCCATATGGTCCTAGAGGCTGAGTTGAGTTTTCCAAAATGAACACGTTGTTTTCATCCTTGTGGGGGTAGAGGGTGATTTGCTGCTGCTTGCTACCCGTTGGGTACATGTGAGGGTGAGAGTGCAGATAGCCGCCCTGCGTGTTCTGATGGCGAAGGCTGACTCGGGATCCAAATGAGACATCTGCGGGAACATCTTGCATAGACTTTGAGTTCAAAGTCGCCTGGAATTCCGATGACATGAAGCCGTCACCTTCTCCGGGGTTAACCAAGCACGTAAAGTGAATGGCAAACATGGCAAGGTAGAAGCCTAGAGGAATGACGATAAGGCAGAAGACCCGGGAGAAGAAATGCTTGAGCCACAGACGCTGTAACAATCCTACTATTAGCATAGAACACGGCTTGGTCTGAATATGGAAATACATACCGGTGTGACATTTTTAGCATCACCCAACAGTACCCACAATTGAAGAGCCGTGAGAGATCCAACCCAAGCCATAGTGAAGAGACCAACCCACTTCACACTCAAAGTTGCGCCAAGAGAAAGACCAGTAAACACCAGCCAGAACCACCAGGGGCCGCGGAATGCATGGGCCGGTCCCAGCTCTTGTTGGTTGGTGAAGCAGCTGAAGGCCAAAGCTGTCAGGGCGGTAAAGAAAATCAACGGGGAGTCGAGCAGAATCAGACGGGACTGGGTGACCAAAGCGTTGTCAAAGATAACAAGGCCAGCACCTAGGAGTGAAGTCGAAGTTCGGCACCCGGTAACTTTGAGGGTGAGGAACATCAATGGGACAGTCAAAACACCTAGGATAGCTGGAAGCATGCGCATTGCCACATAGGGCACACCGGGCTCCAAGTAATCCTTGCCAATGTCCTTGAAATCGAAGTTTCCGTCGAAACCAGCAAGCCAGCCAGCCAGCGTAAGCAGCAGTTTAGCTAGCGGGGGGGTGCACATCCATGAAGAATTTTCCCTTGATGTATTTGGAAGCAAATCCACCGAAGCTATTATGCGAAAATCATTAGTCTCTCTTCGGTTTTCTTTCGATTTATAGCACAAGGTTGGCAGGGAACGTACTGGACTTCATCGAAGACCACGCTGGTGGGCTGGTAAATTCTGAATAGGCGAACAGCCGCGGCGACAAGAGTCACCAGTACAATAAGCTTATAGTCCGAGCCGGGAAGTTGGAAGATATCATTGTTCTTCACTCCATCCGAGGCATATGTCCGAGGCACTGGCAAAGGCTTGCGGCTCTTGGGCTTGGGTGACCGACTGGGCGATCGCCTACCACGGCTCTGCGGCCGTACGGCCAGTGTGTCTTTCGCTTTCTGGCCCATATTCGATACAGGTATGGAACGACGTCAGCGATTCAGGAGAACGGGGCGGGAGTCGGAATGTCGAGGAGAAAAGATAGGAGAATTGCGTGTAGTTTAGTTATAGTTTAAATCGTAAATGAGAGGCTTCTCAAGGTTCGATCGACGAGTGGACGTTGTCGAAAGCTGATTATTTCGACCTCGAGCTGTCAACCGTTCAATGGCTTCTGGCACCACACCAATTAATGATCGTGTAACAATGAGGAAAAAGGCCCCATGACAGGGAAGAAATATGGGATTAAAGAAAAATGGCCGGTGAAGAGAGAGTAAGAAAGAAAAAAGGACGTTGAAAAAAACAAGAACTAGAGTGAACGCAGATGGACGAAAGCGTGCAGGTCCGCCTTGAGGCCAGATCAACGGCGGCTGTGGAGGACATGTGAGCCCCTTAGTTTTTAGCCCCCCCAAGTATTGTAACGGTCTTTACATTAGAGGGATTCAAGGAATTGAAATGTTATATTTATTGTTACTTATATACATATAAGCTGATCTAGATATCAATATTGACTATATCAAGGAAAAAAAGAAGTAAACATTCCCATTCCGGACTGCATTTCAGTGGGGAAATGCAGACAGCGCTGGAGGAACATGGCCGCGCACGGGATACACCGCCACAAGTCACACCGCCACAGTAATGCCACTGTCTGTGGCGGTGAAACGCAGTGTGGCTAGTGAAGCTAGCCAAGCCCTCTCCATCCATCATCTGCGGTCTAACAAGTCCCCATTTCTTCAATCCTCACCATCCACCATGGAGTCGTCAAATGGAAGTACACCTCGCCCTGAGGGGTCTGAGGGCACTCTGAAGCCTCCAGAGGGCATGGTTCTTCCTCCCAAGGATATCCGAAAAGCCATCGAGACCACAGCAAGTTATGTCGTTCGCCATAAAGGCACTTTCGAAGACCGTATCCGCCAGAAGGAGAAGAACAACTACAAATTCTCCTTCCTGACACCTGGAGATGCCTACGAACCCTACTATCAATGGTACACAGCCGAGTACAAAGCAGGCCGAGTAGCTGGACCAGCAGGGCGAGCTGGTGAGTCTGTCGCCGCCGCAGTGCCCGAAAAGCCCAAGGGGCCACCTGAACCATCCTCGTTCCACTTCTCGGCGCGCATGCCTATTATCAATGCACAGGATTTGGATGTGGTCAAGCTGACGGCATTATTTGTCGCAAAGCGGGGAAAGTCATTCATGACTGCGCTGTCGCAGCGCGAGGCCAGAAATTTCCAATTCGACTTCTTACGGCCTCAGCATAGTCTCTACCAATTCTTCACGCGATTGGTCGACCAATACACTATCTTGCTTCGCGCGGAGGGAATCGACGAGGCGACTTCATCCACAAAAAGAATTGCAGAACTGGAACAAAATGCGAAGAACAAATTCCACATCATGGAGCGCGCTAAGCAACGCGCAGAATGGGTGAAGTACCAACGGCAACAGAAGCAAGAGAAAGAAGAGAAAAGTGAACAGGAGCGCATCGAGTACGCCCAGATCGACTGGCACGACTTCGTCGTGGTCGAAACCGTCGAGTTCACCGAGCACGACGACCACGCGGATTTGCCGCCGCCGACCTCCGCCAATGACCTGCAGTCCGCCTCCCTCGAGCAAAGAGCAGCACTTTCCCTCAACACACGACGCATCGAGGAAGCGATGCCCACCGGCCTCGACGAACCCGTCTACTACAACGCCTACCCAGTCCAACCCGCCCCCATGCCCGCCCCCCAACCCGCGGTCTCGCCCTACCCAGCGGGCCCCTTCCCCCCACCAGGCGAGTTCACCAACCCCGAAGAGGAGCAGCGCATCCGCGAGCGGACCCAAGCGCGCGACCAAGCCGCCGCAGCTCAAGCAGCAGCCCAAGCCACCCCAGGCCAACAGCCAATGCGCATCCGCTCCGACTACGTGCCCCGCGCGCAGGCCCGCCGTCAACAACCCCAGATGGCGATCTGTCCTTACTGCAACCAGAAAGTGCCCTCCAACGAGCTGGACGAGCACATCCGTATCGAGCTGCTCGATCCGCGCTGGAAAGAGCAGCGTGCGAAGGCCGAAGCCCGCAGTGCCACCACCAACCTGTCCACCGTCGACGTGGTCAACAACCTCAAGCGTCTTGCAAGCCAGCGCAGCGACGTCTTCGATCCTTCTCCCCTCGAGTCGGAGGAGGAAACTCGCCGCAAGCGACTGGCTATGGGTCTCGACGGCCCGGCTGGGCCGCAAACCCCGAACGCTGGCCCGCCTGGTGTGCAGCATCCCAACCCTCAGAGTATGAATATCGAAGACCAGCTCAGACATATTCATCAGCTTGCGAAGAAATGATATCCCCCCGGCTAAATGAAGTTCAGACGGGATGTTCTCGTCCCAAAATTGAGGTTTCATGGGGTTTTCTATTTCGAAGGTATCTTTTCTGCCATTTGTGGAGTTTGGAAGGGATGAAATCTGGATGAGCTTCTTTTTTTCTGTTTGTGTACAATAGCGCTCTTTTACTGTAACCTCATGAAACATCTTGTCTGATCTATGCTTCTTTCCACCGTAGTTATTACTTGGATCTGTCTAGCGTACAAAGTACTGGTGATCCTTTGGGCATTAGTGACTGGCATGTGTCAATCTCTTCTACTGCATATTATCCCTTGAAAATATATCGTCTATGTAAGTAATTTGATTCAAATTCATCTATCATTTATCACAATACTTCCACCACCAATGGGTCCCGAGACCAGCATCGTCGCGAGTCAAAATTGGGAACGAAGAAGAGAAGAAAGAAGAGAAAAAAGAACAGAAACAGCGAAGATCCATACACCTGGTCCAAATATCCGCGGGAAAAGAAAACGGAGCAAGGGAAAAAAAAACAGAACGCATTATTATGTATACATGGTCGGAAGCGAAAAGGCTGATAATAATACAAGAGGCCATGCTGCTGAAAGTGAAAAGAGGACACCCAAAAAGCCAAAACCAATGAGGAACATCATCAAGGTGTAACCCAATGGGTTATTAAAGGTAGAGGAAGAAGCAGAAGCAGCATTTCCCAATGGGCAGGTCTGTATCAACGACCTGGAAGAGAAAGAGAATTAAGTGGCTCAAGAATGCAATGCCAAAGGGTGGGGGAAGACATTAGGCGGATCATAAAATGCTGGGTAAACCGTGTAGTCGTATCACTCGTGTTGATCGCTTATGATCAACCGAGGTCAAGAGTTGCTCAAACCATTTGGTTTGGCGACGTCTGTGTCTGTGTCTGTCTCGCGACTCAGAACGATGGAGGGCTCGTTGGGGACGGGTACCGTGGGATTAGCATCCACGTCAGCGCTAGCTTCTTCGTAAACGCTTGCTGCTGAATCGGTAGAAACTCGTTTGCGTTCCGAGTCACTCAAAGAAGCAGCATCGTCCCTGTCATAGATAGAACTTTGAGGTCGAGGAACATCAGGGTGGGTTATGTGCTCAGGAGGGGTTTCTGTGATTGGTGTTTCCGATGCGAGTCGATCCGCTGACACTTTCTCCATCCTGGGCTCGATATAAGTAACGTCCACAGGATAGAGATAGCGGTCATCATCGTCCTCGGCGGCGTCGTTATTAGACTCTGTGCTGGCCAGCTCCGCCTCTGGCTCGCTTGGGCGATTGCACATTGGAATGATGCCTCCTCCGACACGGGACCAGAACATCCTCTCTCTGAGGCGGATAGTCTCATCCCAGATTTCTTTTTCTTCTTCGGTATCGCCAGCCCGAAGATGTCCATCAAGGATGAGACGTAGGTAGCCAGTGAACTCGCAACACGAGCGCACTCTTTCTAGGCAGAGCGTACAGAGTGAGTACCTTTGAGCGGTCTCGCTATCTGATGTTCGGAAACGATGGGTTCTTTCGTTAGGCGTGCCGGGTCTGCGTTCACCGCAGACAGAGCAGGGGAATTCGAATTTCTTGGATGATGGGGGCATTGGCTCCACGACAAGACTGCCTTCGCAGATACCGCTTAGAACGGTACGCCGGGTCAACCATGAGATCCCGGGCGCTAGATCCAGTCTTAACGTAGGTTCAATATCCTCCATAAGCACCCGCTTGTAAAAGCGAGTTTCCTTCAAGGAAAAGTTCGATCCCGTTGTAGAAGAGGTGCTCCCATTGGGAGAATGGGTAAACCCTTTGGTGGGCGATGAAGTCGACGACGGAGATCCTCCACTAGCAAAGCTTGCCAGACCCATCACGTTCAGGCCCCCATATGACCCACTAGCAGCACGGCTAGGAGGCTTAGAGCTCCGAGAGAGTACCAACAGATCGCGGAAATCCTCATAAGCCTGTAGGTCCGTCCGACAAACCATGCGGAGGAGCTGCGGGAAGCTGGAGGAAGGGCCCGGAGTGAGCTCCTCGGGGTTGCCAATCAATACAGGAGCGGGTTCAAGCTCAGTCTCTTGGCTACTAGAACCTTGCGCTTGTGAGACCTCGTCTGGAGATGACGGAGTGGCACGGCTTTCCAAGTCATCTTTTTGAAGGTTCATCGCTTGCATGACAGACTTGAGCTCGGCAAGCTGGTCTTGATGCGATGCCAGGAGCGACTCGGTGTCTTTAACTTGAGAACGTAACTGCTCATTCTTCTTCTCCACCGCTTCCCGTTCGATTTTAGCTGCAGCCACCATCTGAAGTAGCGTTAGAATTTAGATTTAAAATGCATGTGTTAAGGAGATAACCGACCTTATTGGCTTCTTCAAAAAGAGCCGCAGTAAGGGTTTCTACTTCTTGCTCAATATTTTTCCTGCCCTTTTCAGCAGCGAGACGTTGGGCCGTTTCTTCCGCTAACGCATCGCGTAATTGCGAAATTTCGCGATCAGAGTCGACCTTTCTGATATAGACTTTGTTGTCAATGTCTCGCCGATATTTCTCATTCTGGAACTCCAGAGCTTGAATCTTGCCCTGAGCTAGTTCTAGCTCTTGACGGGTAGCAACCAGGCTATCGTCGAGATTCGTTTGGTTGTTGATGGCCTGGATCAATTTCACAGACAATGCTGCTACTTCGTTGCTCAAATCGGGGTGGTGAGACGATGACGTCGAATGTGAGACCTCCGGCCCGACCATTAATCGTGGGTCCTGCAGGGTGCTGAAACTGCTGTCATCAAATCCGGAGTTTTGTGTTCCATTTGAAGAAGCAATGTCGGAGAGATTGGTAGTGGACTTCGCTTTGATGACGGTTCGGTCAGGAGATAACGACCGGTGCTCAGAGGAGAGCGACCTCTTATGGGCGTTGCGGGGAATCATATTGGATGGGGAGAAGAAGCTATGATGAGAGGTTTGAAAGGCAATTAAACTGCCCCACCTAAAGCGTCAATAATTGAAGTCCCAAAAAAGCACATCGTGATGGGATACTTACTCGGCCATGATGAGTGACGTAGAAGGCGTTCGGGATGTAAGGCAAGAGAGGATTCGCTCGTCGCCAGAACAAGAACAGAATCACGTCCAGAAAAGCTCCGGTAGACAGGTTACTATCCACGCCATTCACACCAGAGAGTTAAGTGTTAGAATAGAAAGGTCGCGCGTGCGGTCGAGTAGGTCCACGGGGTACGTAATAGGCTGAAAGATAGTGGAATCGGGATTTAGAAGTGAGGAGAGTCGGATGGCCGAAAGAGATAACAGAAATGAGTGTGCTGAAAGTGAAGAGAAGGATTGAATCGCCACAAACAGGACTGATCGGAAATATCAGCCTGTTGAGGGTGTCGAGGAAATTGGGGTGGCAGCGCGAGTCCTGAAGGATGAATCGAGGCTTAGTCACCCGGATATGGACCGAGCATAGATGGACTATTGAAAGATCGACTGCGCTACACACTTGGAAGAAGATGAAGACTTTTATCGGATGAATATTAAAATGGGCTTTTCCGAAGGGACAGTCAATGTGAGGGGGACAAACTCAGCATCGCCACCCGGAGACCGGACACGGAACGGACACCCCGGGCGCTTCTGATAGCCCGGGGATTTAATTTGGAGCTAACCCTGAAGCTATCGATCGGGAGGGAGTACGAGTACGGAGGAGGTAATTTACTTCAGATTTGCCCCTCAAGGCGCAGTTTTTAGTACGTGATAGGCGCCTATACATAAAGTACATGTTGAGGTCTCTATCACACATAACAGTGACCACACAAATATACCAAGGTATTAGACCATGAAACAAGCCAATTAAACGATTAAACACAATTAAGCACCAAATTATACATGTCGACGGTGAAGTTTGAAATACTCACCTGGGCAAGTTCCACGTGTAATTCCCCCGCCCCGTACTTAAAGAGGGGAAACACATGCATTGATAGAATACTACCTAGGCACATACATATATGATGTTAGATAGATCTATTATCGGTGATTCACTGTCTATTTCTATCTATTTTCTGTGGTCTTTGTAGATTTTTAATTATCTACTGTATAGCGAGGGCAGCTTTGTACAAAAATATATAGATAGTAGCTAGATATATATGTACAATTATTGCTATGACATTAAATTCATCAATTCCCCTTTCTACCAGTCACTACATGCTCTAACCAAGTAAAATGTTGTATATTTGTCCAGAACTACCCCGGAATCAAGTATGGCCGTTACACCCCTCCGTACCCGGGTGAGCCCAAGTGGGGTTCACCAAATTAATCCTTGACTCTTCAACATTCGATCAATCTAAGCCCACTCATTCTATTTGAATATCCACCATGGCTGATGCAGAGCTAGAAGAGGTCAGTCTCACAACCATATCATGAGAGCTCGGCGCCCTTCGACTCCGGTACTAAGAAAGAGACAGATCCGACGAGCTCGTCTCGCGCAACTCCAGCAACAAGGACCCCGCGGAGGTGGTCCAGCCGGTCAAGATGGTGGCGAGCAGGCACAACAGAGGAGGTAAGTGTTGCAATAAGTCGCTAGAATATGCTGTATGCTAATGAATTCAACCAGACAAGCAGAGGGTATGTCTCCAGATCCGACGTTCCTAGTCCATTGATTCGACTTCGACGGACCACAAGCAACGTCATTGTGTGGCCGAATTTCTAACCCCCTTGATTTATTCCAGCCGAGCAACGTGCTTCGATCCTGACGCAAATCCTCGACCCCGAAGCTGCCGATCGTCTGGGTCGTATCCGCCTCGTTAAGGAGTCGCGCGCAACAGATATCGAGAACCGTCTCATCATGCTCGCCCAGTCCGGACAGTTACGGGCAAAGGTAACCGAGGCACAGCTCAAGGAGTTGTTGGGGGCTGTGGCGGAGAACCAGCGCAAAGAAGAGGAGGAGCAAAAAATCGTTATCTCTCGCCGCAAAGGTGGGTGGGACGACGACGATGATCTCTTGGACCTGTAAGGGTTGCATAAAATGTGTTCTATGATCACTTGTGCCTATGGCCTTTTTGTTTATTGCATTCGGATACCTCTGTTGCTATCCGCTCGTGGGCCACCGGAAAAATCTACTCCAGGCGTTATGGTCCTTCGTTCTTTTACATTATTTGCAGCCGGGTTAAATTGAGGATCAGCTTCGCATCTGCGCATCCACGCATTGGTATATGGTTTACAACGATCCAATAATCATACATCTCTCCCTATATTCGAGATCCATCACTCCAACATGACGCAAACCAGCTCAGTTCGAAGCCTGCTGCTGTCTCTCTTTTTCCCGCTTCTGCTGCTGCCGAATCATCTTCCGAATCTCTCTAAGATCCGGCGGACGCTCAATATTCAGCTCAGCTCTGAGCTCATCCACATCCTTCTCCAACACCTCCTCCCAATAAACATTGATAAGCTCCTTACTCCCCAGCCCACTGCGAATAGCCCACGGGAGATGTAACGTGAGGAACCGCTCTTTTTCGGCAGGCTTCATCCGTACAAAGGCGAATAGACTCAGCCCGGTCATGGGCAGAAGTGTGTTCAGGAACTCCAGCGCCTTGAGAGCCAACTCGCCCTCCACAAAAATCGGTAGACCCGTCACTGCGTGGTAGAAGTCATGGCACTCGCGGTATCGTTGCATGACATATGCGCATTCTTCATTGTCGATGTACTGGACGTTATCTCGGGTGTCGGGCGATACACCCTCACGATCTAGCCATTTGGCGTATGTCCGGCCGACGGAATTCTCGGGGAGGGTGCGGAGATGGGTCATTTTGAGGGTTTCGGAGGTGATACGGGGGCGATCACGGAGAATGCGACGCCCTGTTGGATCCGAGAGCATGGCATCGCGTAGCCGGTATATGAAAAATGGTGTCGCGGTAGCTTCGCCCAAGGCCGCAATAAGATCTATAGAGTATCTTGTTAGATCGTGATCCGAGATTCTGTACTGGGTCTGTAGGAAATTATATCCACACACCCGCTCTTCTAGGGTTGATAAGTGATCCAATTGCTGAACCTAGAGCAAGAGCCCCGCGTTCAATAGTAGTCAATGGGACATGGCCAGGGTAGTTTGGTGGTGGGCGGTTTAGAACGGAAAAGGGCCGAAGAGTGCTTGCTGATAGGTTTGAGCTCGCAGTCAATGCCCGAAGCTCAATTGCCCCACGCCTCCCAAGTACCGACATTATGAATCCCAAAGCCAGAGGAACTTGTGCATGGTCTGGGACGAAAGCTGAAGTGAAAGTAGAAGTGGTATGACTATCGGATCGGCAGGGACAGCACAAGTGGCCGTCGTGCCTTGCCGTACTTTGCGATAACGCCGTTTATCGCCGATAACCATCTGCTCCACATTGTAGAGTGAATTTCAGAGACACATCGACGCGTTTTGAGGCTACGAAATATTCTTTTTAGGCCTTTCTTTGCTTGAGGAAACAGGATACAGTAAAGCAGGCTACTCTGAAGGTGTGTTATAAGAACTATATATCTCCAATTCAATCCCTATCTCATAATATATACTGACTAGGGCAAGCATCTCAAAGTCTGCCAAGAAGCACAAAACCCATCTAGTATGAAGCCCGAATGGTGGCCCGGGGAAGAGCATGGGGCCTTCACCGAATGGGCAACCTCCAATGGCATAGACACCAACTCGGTGACCCCGGCCCGGTTCCAAGGACGTGGGTTGGGAATGATGGCCACCCGGAATATCAAAGTATGAACCGCAAATGTATACTCCTCGTTTGTATATCTACTCACTAAGTACTGTCTAGAAAAGAGAAATTGTCCTCCAAGTGCCAACAAAGTTGATGCTCAGGGTGGAAGATATCCCTTCCACCTTCATCGACAAACTCCCAGAGGACATTGCTGTCCAGGCACTTCTAGCAGCGTATCTTACACACGGTGCACCAGATGAACTGCCAAAATACGAGCTATGGCGCAAGTCATGGCCCAGCCGGAAAGACTTCGAAGACAGCATGCCGATCCTGTGGCCATCCGTTCTGGGAGGACCACAGTTGCCCAGCAGCAAGGACGATGCCCCGACTGACTCAGAGCAGCCAAGTCTTCTCCCCCGTCAATTTCTGGGCGGTGGAATAGTCTACAGCCAGGCCCAAAGACGAGGAAATACAGCGCAGATTACCAGAACATTCTTTCGCAGCAGGCTCAGCGCCTGCGCAAAGCGTGGTCCGATGTCATTTCTGCCTTCCCGGATACCAACTGGGAGGCATTCTCCTACAACTGGTTGATTGTGAATACCAGGAGCTTTTATTGGATTGGCGAGGGACAGGAAACGCCGGAAGACCCTAATGATGCGATGGGGCTGGTGCCTTTTGCTGATTACTTCAACCATGCCGATGTTGCTGTAAGTGCTTCTGAATTTTCGTTGTATTGACCCAGCTAACACGTAGATGGAAACAGCGTGATGTCAAATTTGATGAGAATACATATGTATTCCGTGCTACGAAAGATTATGAGGAGGGCGATGAAGTGTTCATGAACTATGGCAGTCATCCGAATGATACTTTACTAGCAGAATGTGAGGAAGTGTCGTTATTTTCTTCCCTTCAACGTGCTGACTTGTTCTTTTCTTTCCACAGATGGCTTCTTTCTTGATGTGAATGAAGCAGATTCGATCTACCTTGACGATATCATTTTCCGGGACATCCATTCCGCCGAACAACAAGAGGACTTGTGGCTGAATCAATATTATGGGTATGTAATTTGATTTGATATTTTACATGACAATGCGCATTTCCCACGCGATATATACAGTTCTCCACTGACACAGCGCTAGTAACTATCAAGTTACTCCCCATGGACCCTGTTACCGCACAGAGGTCGCTGCATGCCTGAGTTATATGAAGGAGGAGGATTGGCGAAACCATGTTCTTGAAGGCCAATCACAGGGCTTAGATGAGGGTCGATCTGAGGCCACCATCAAAAGGTGGATTCTGACATATGCCGCAGAGGCAGATGCAACTATAACGGCGCTGCAGAAGGCCATGGGACTCAACACCGCTGTTCAAGCACATCGTTCAAAAGCAGAGATGTTGCTGAGACGGTGGAGGCAGATCAAGGATCTCTGCGATCATGCGGCCAAAACGGTCTCTGTATAGATATTCTCTGGAAAGAATTTAGATTATTGTTGAATCATTTGGCCTGTTCGCCCAACAGAGAGATATGACAAGGAGCCAAGGTAGAGTAAGAATTCGACAGAGTAGATGGTAGTCTAGAGCTGTTAAATGGGAGGTTCGTTGGTAGAGATGACATTGTCGAGATCGAGGGGAATCGCGCCGGCTTCCCGGCTCCGATGGGTAGCCGCTTTGGCAGCGACCAAATGCTTGATCATGTAGTTGAGTGCACATTTGATACCCAATTCTTCACCACGACGCACGATCCATCCGTTGAAGTATTCAATCTCCGTCAATCTCCTCTGGTTGATATCTTGCTGCATCGAACTGTGATTCTTGGCCGTGTTGCTCGCGATGTTCACAACCAAACGACGCAGGCGTTCTGGGGAGAAGCGATCTTCGATGCCCGGGATACCTTGCAGCTCAGGAAGAGCACAGATCACGGCGGAGATTTCAAAGAGGAGCAGCCTCATGACACGGGTAAAGCTGAACGAGTAGAGAATTTCGCCATTGGTGCAGTCGCTTAGTGCAGTCAGGGGATTGATGACGCAGTTCACTGCCAATTTCTCAAGTTGATATTGCAATAGACCAGCCGGTGTCTCGGCCACAGCGACCAAGGGCGGGGTGAGAGTCAAGAGGCGCAGAAGATATTTCGTGGACGGCGCCCATGTATGGTCAGCTTCCGGCGTTGTGGGAGGGATACTGGGATCTCCAACCGGGCTAAGGATTGTGGTTCCAACCCCCAAATGCGAAATCTTGAACGAGTCATTCCTACCAAGACCATGGCTGAAGACTGTCTGGATGTAATGTGGTCGATTGTTGGGATCGGGGAAAACATTTTGATTGATAGACTCGAGTACGCCCATACCATTATGGACGAGACAAATGGTCGAGTCTTTGGTCAGGCGGTGACTAATGTCTTTAATGGCAAGCTCTGTGTGATGCGCCTTGGTGCAGATAATCAGACACTCAATGGGACCATTATCTGGCGGAGGCTGTGACATGGAATTGAATGGGGAGGTCCGGTTGTCAACCGGTGGCATTGTATACCATCTTCCTTCTTCATCCACTGTTTCAACATCAAATCCCGTTCTAACATCGTCAAGGCCATGGGTGCTGACAGAAATTTGTCCCCTTTTCCGAACAAAGGCCTGGTAAAGATAATCATTGTGCAAGCATATTGTGATTGGCGGCGGTGACCGTCTCGTGGCTAAAGAATGAGCAAAGAAGCAACCTAGATTTCCCATTCCGAGGATGTGCACTCGTCCAGACAGAGGGGCTTTGGTATCATGGTTGACCTCTTGCAACTCTTCCTTCCATGTTGAAATAAATCGTGTGCTTGGCACACCATAGACCTGAAACCTGGAGCGAAAACATGTACCAAGAATGCCAGAGCGCCACAAAGAGCGAGGCCGAAATGTCGACTGCATCCTGAGAGTGTTGAGGAGAAGCTCCCCGAAGTATCCGATTGAGTTGCAAGTATGTGTTTGGAGATGGGAGGAGGTCAGAACGATGGGTTTGGTGAGGTATCGACTTTTATGTCATGGGTATTGCCGAACAGATAAGAGCTCGCCCACTGGTGTGTCCACCAAGGCCTATTTTCGAACAATCAAGCAATTGTTGGATATGCGCGAGTTCTCGGCGATCTTAGTCGCGCAGATAATAATCGGTCCAGAATCCACACCGCCCGCTCTTACCGCCCAGTTGAACCCGTCCTATTTTTTTCTTAGATCAAGCAATTTCTCATCTAAACCACATCTCACGCGCCATGGACCCAACAGACCTACTACCGCTGCTTGAGCAGCTGGATGACAATGTCGACGACTTGGAGGCTGTGCTCGAGCCTCTTTTGGCCAGCACACTCGTCAAAAGCTCAAACAAATTGCCTGTTATGGACAAAGCAAAACTTCACGTCTTGATCACTTACACACTTGAATCACTAATCTTCTGTACGTGATACTACAATCTTAAAAAATTGACATATACTGACGAAATTGGACAGCTTATCTGCGGCTTCACGGCGTGGATGCGAAGCAGCACCCAGTGTTCCGGGAACTGACCCGTGTGAAGCAGTACTTTGAAAAGATCAAGGCACTGGAGACAGAGCCGGAGGAACGCTCCATGACTCTCGATAAGGCAGCTGCGAACAGATTCATCAAACATGGCCTTGTGAGTGTTGACCTGTCTATTGTATCGCAATGGCTATTGACCAAGTTTCCACAGTCTGGCAATGATAAGTATGACCTGGAACGAGCAGAAAAGCAGGCCAAAGAGCGAGCCCGTGCTCAGTTCAAAGCCGACATGCTCGCCCGCAGGAGCATGGAGGCCTCGAAAGCACAAACCAATAACGACTCTGACGATGATGATTCTGAAGGGGGTGTGGACGTTACAACAGCAGCAGAGCCCCAGGCTGACACAAGCCAATCCGAAAAGACCGAGAAGGATAGCCAAAAGAAGTCCAAGGGAGAACACAAATCACAAAGCAGCAAGGCAAAGAAGGAGAGGAAAATCAGCAAGGCGACACTGAAGGAAGAGAAGAAGGAGCGACGGCTGAAGAAGGAGGAGGCTCGAAAGGCTCGAAAGGCCCAATGAGTGCATTGCCCGATTTTGGTGGGAACTAAGTACGGATTGCCTTGCGCCTCGAATGCTAAGGATGGACTGCCCGGGCGTCTGAAGCATAGCATTGGCTACGCATCATCATTATCAGAACCTCTGTCGACACGCCATGCGTTGTCGAATCTGATCATCGCTTTGCCGATCCTCTACGGCCACGAGCTTCCATTTAGATGGATGTCTCAGCCATCTCGAGACCACGATGAGTGGCTCTATGTATGTACTACGTACGAGACTTGGAAGTCTCCATGAATCAAGATACCCTTCCGCAATGGCAGCTACAGCAAACACCCTATGCACAAGCTAGTAGATCAGACTGGTCCTTTCCATGACATAATTTGCGCACATCTGTCCTATCGCTTTTAATAGCACATGCTAGTAATTCCCGTATGTTGTAGTAATTCCGTTCCTGATCCGCTCCGGCCAACGGCACCCTAATGTCCGATCCACGTGACAACCCTGGACCAATCAGAACCCACGAATCTCCAAGGTTTGCATCGGAGTTTGCCTCAGTGGCCGAACTTACTCATCTTCTAGCTTCTTCTTTCTCCACTAGCACTTATACTTATCTCAACTTGCATATCCTCACCTCCCTTTTACATTCGTCCAAACAAACCCACACATAACCATCAAAATGCCTCGTCAACAACGCCGTGCCGCTCCCACCCCTGCGCGCAGCGCCCCCAGCCGCCCTACCGCCGCTCCTGCTCGGCCCGCGGCTGCTCCCTCGCAGCAGCAGTCGCAGCCTCACTCGACCGCCGCTCAACCCCAGCAGGCCCAGCAGGCCCCTCCTATGCAGCAGCAGAGCGCCGGCCCTGGTCTGTTCGGCCAGATGGCCTCTACCGCAGCGTGAGTACCGGACCCGGCTTTGTGTTTTGTTCCCCGATAAAATCCGGGGTTATGATCGACTTTCCCGGTATATGTGCTAACGGTTATTTCGATACAGTGGTGTTGCTGTCGGCTCCTCCATCGGCCACGCCATCGGTGGCTTCTTCAGCGGTGGCTCCAGCGCCCCCGCCGAGGCCCAGCAGGCTCCCCCTGCCCAGGCTATGGACAACGGTCTCTACCAGAGCAACGCTTCCCAGACTGCGTACGAGAACCCTGCCTGTGAGGTTGACGTCCGCAACTTCCGCAACTGCATGGATGAGAACCAGGGTAACTTGAGCATTTGCGGTTGGTATCTTGACCAGCTGGTATGTTTACGCTTCTGTTTTTCTCTGCCTTGTGAATACATACTAATGTCTTGCAGAAAGCTTGCCAGGCTGCCGCTAAGCCTTACTAAGGGTTTGATACCAATTTGACCCTTAGTGGTCAGAAAGACAGATACCATTTTTAGTAATAAGTTATGGGGTTATGGGCTTGATTGTTCATAGCCAATCTTTCTTTTGCATAGCCATTTCCATATCCCCTCTTTGTACTTTATACCATCTCTCCTCGATATAGGAATCAATGCTTGACTACCGAATCAAGTCGAATGCATGAATTTAACGAACTTCCTACATTTGTACATTGACCAATACCTGTATCAGACCCAAGTACGATGGAAAAGATCTGTAAAATCTTCATGGACAAGGTCACTTATTATGACTGCTAACTTTACAGTAACCAAAGAGTGAATAATAGCCAGAGTGTCATAGTACAGAGCATTCGATCCATCAACGCCATAGATAAATAATGCAAGAACACTGAAGCAATACCGCTAGGACTTATTTATCCTTGTCATCCTGGTTCTTTCGTGGCTCGAAGTTCAACTGAGAAAGATGTTAGCCAACCCTGAACAAGATATTCTCAATTAGCACCACATACCTGGTTCCCATTGTAGAGCTGACTATTCCCACGTCCATCTTGCTGGTCCCTAAGCGTCCGAATATTGGGTCCTGCGTTCCTTGGGCGGTGGGAATTGCCAGTAGCCGGAGAGGCCGAAGGGGTGTCTTCACCGCTTGCCGGTGCGGTCGAACCATATCCAAGGAACGAACCCACAAGACCTGTTGCAGTACTGGCAGCAGAAGAGGCCAGGCTGTAGACGGCAGAGATACCACGAACGGGCAAGCTACCCGCCGCCGAATAAGCCTCCGTGTATGTCGACACGGGAACCATGACCAGGTTCGCGGTGGAACCAAGACCTAAGTCTCGGAGAGTTTGTGACTCTTGGGCGACGGAAAGAGTTTCGCTGGGGAGGGGGGTTAGGATATGTTTGAGGTTGTAGGGTCGGTTGTCGCCTTCCATCTTCTGATCAAGCCAAGCCCGTACATCATTTCGGATGGTCTGAGTGGGTGTAAAGCTAGACCGCACGGAGCTTCCATCAAACAGGCGCACTTGTAGCCGGTACTCAGTTGGAGGTCCGCGAGGGACTATGCGTCTTGGCTCTTGGTGTTCGTTCTTTGCGACAGCTTTGTCGGTGGGCTTCTTAGACCCCATCGGTGCTTTGCCTTTAATGTCTTTACTGCTGGCTTCTTTGGGTGATAACTGTTTTTGTAATGTAGAGCCTGCTGACTTTGCTGGTTCTGCAGCTTTCTTAGGTATCTGTTCAATAGGTGATCGTTTCTTCGTTGCAGTGTCGCTTGCTTGCTTTGCAGATTTGCTGGCATTGGACGGCGCCTCAGGCTGGGGTCGGGGCGCAACTGGCACCGGCGTATTATTAGTTGAAGCAGTAGGAGTGTCATTTCCTTGTAGTTGTTGTGTAGGACCGGGCGTCTGTTCATTTTCCAAAGCTGCAATCAATCGAGTGCGGAAATCATCTTTCGAGATATCTGGCCCGATGTATTCCTTCAGCGTGCCATTCCTGGGGGGCGAAGTCAGCAAACCAACGCCAAATTTCTCACAGGCGTTGCAGGGATTGAACACACTTGATAAGAACAACAGTCGGAAATTTCGAGATCGGACAGAAAGAGGCCAGGAATCCAGCTTCCTGTGACCCCGCTGTCAAGCGCAATACAACTGCTTTGGCATTGAGGGCTTGCGCAACCTGCAGGAAGTCAGATGCCGTCAGACATTCAATGTAGCGAATGGATATACCTCATCATCACCAAAATACGCGTCCTCCCATTGAGAGCTCAACTCCTCGTCATCTGTATGTCCAAGTCCCAAGATCAGCAACATGTCATTCAATGCGGGGAGCAAATCAGCGACCTCTAACAAAGCAAGTAACCGCTTTAACATCTCTCACTGCAGCAGCAATGCCCTCCTGAAGGGAACCGGTGTAGAAAAGTGTCATGATCGCATTCCGGTAAAGACAAGGACGATGCGGAGACACAAGTATAATATTGGAGAAGCCTGGGCGGTCACCCCCGATCCCGAAATTCCCAACTGCCGTCGCATTTGCAGGAACCTCCTACTCAAACCCCGTCACTCACTCTTCACACTTCCTAAACCGTCGATATGCGGTCAATCTTTTCTGCTTTGCAGAAGACATCCGCAAGGGTCTGGACGCCGCCGACTCGGGTTGTTCGGAGCCCTCGTGTCCCATCGAAGATCAACTCCGTCTGCGCCAAATACCGCCTACAACAATTCCGCCATATCTCGCAATCGCGCCAGCTGGCTGAGAGTCTGAATATTGTGGACCACCCGGCAAAGCTTGTCCGTGTTAATAAGAAACATGGACCTGGTCTGATCATTTTGGGTATGTCCATGTCCCATGCTACATATTCTTCAGAATAATATATTTTCATGGCCAAGAGATAGTTACTAACGTATTGTTCTACATATATATAGCTCTGATTCCTGTGATCTCATTTATCTTGGGAACATGGCAGGTACAGCGTCTGGACTGGAAGACCAAACTGATCGCCAAGTTCGAGGACCGTCTCGTGAAGCCTCCTCTGCCACTGCCGCCACGAATCGACCCAGATGCCATTTCAGAGTTCGACTACCGCCGCGTGTATGCTACCGGCCGTCTCCGCCATGACAAAGAAATGCTGGTTGGACCTCGCATGAACGAAGGAGAGGATGGGTATATCGTGGTTACTCCCCTCGAGCGAGAGGGACAGAGCACCGTACTTGTGAACCGAGGTTGGATCTCACGGAAGTTGAAGGACCAAAAAGACCGGCCTTTGGGTGTTCTCGATGAAGAGGTGACCGTGGAGGGTTTGCTACGAGAGCCATGGAAGAAGAACATGTTTACGCCGGATAACAAGCCGGAGGAGGGAAAGTTCTACTTTCCCGATATCAACCAGATGGCAGAGAAGAGCGGGAGCCAGCCTGTTTGGATTGAGCAGACAATGGGTAAGGAGGCTAGATTAAATCATCTTGCTAATGCATGGCTAACAATGATTTGCGTTTCTAGTGCCTGACCTCCTCGAATCTTATGATCGTGAGGCCAAGGGTATCCCGATTGGCCGGGCGGCAGTGGTGAATTTGAGAAACAACCATTCTCAATACATCTTCACCTGGTAAGTTGCATCCGTTGTGTGCTTTCCCTTCCCACTAGAGATTTCCGCTCATACTTTGCAGGTATGGCCTGTCTCTGGCCACGACCATCATGATGTGGATGGTTATACGGAAGAACCCCAACGAGGCAATGCGCCGAGTTCGCCAGAACCGAAACTGGTAATCGGTAGTGGGATTCCAGCATTACCTTAGCATAATTCATTGGCGTTGAAGGCGTTACTTTTCATGGAGAATTTTGTTCTGGACATTCATGGAGGCATGGCCAATCTCATGTCTTGCTGAAGTTCTTTGGGCAAATGTTTCTGCGCGAGGGAAAACACTGTCGTTGAGTTGTTGATATGGCGTTGTCTGGAACAAATCAGCAATTACTCCCATGAGATGGTTGGCTTGCAAGGAAACTGACCTTCTCAGCAATGTGATAACATCGCTTTCATCGATCGTCTTCCGTCCTGCGTGCTTCGAATACGCAGCCAAATCTTGGCTCGCTTGTTCAAAGTACCAAGAGGACGCCTGTTCGATGGCGGCCAGCGTGGCCTTGTTGATTTTTGCCTTTGATCCAGCCCCCGAACGTGCGAAGCGAGTCGCTAGCTTTTTCACCACACCTGCAGGCAAGTTTGGGACAGGAATCCCATGCCGTGAAATCTTCTTTTGCTTGCCCTGGGCTGGGATAGCTTCATCTCGCAATCCACCTCCAACGATCCCAGGGCTCTCACTGGGGGATGCTGCGGGTGGGAACTCGAGTCCAAAACCAAAGTCACCTCCAACGTCATTATCATCATCGTCTGATGGAGCTTGAGGTAGCTGCGCAGTGGACAGTTCGAAATCTTCCATATCGTTCATATCTCCTCCAGTGGGATCTTCAAGCGGAGGAGCCGCAGGAGATGGAAAGTTGAGGTCAAAATGGAAGCGCCCCAGGTCTTCCGTCTCTCCCCTATTTGTGATATTAGCCAAGATCTGTAACATAGATAATCCAACTCTTGTATACCCACCCTCTATCAAAGTCGCCCCCGCTCATCATTGTATCCTCTGCCTCATCATCCTCACCCACAATACCAGTTTCATCTCCACCATCGCTCTCTAGTCGTGTCTCATCAAAATCCCCACTGATTCTGCCGGTGGCTCGACTCATCATTGATAACCGGTCCCGGTCTCTGATGCTGGTGTCACGAGGATATTCGACAGACTGGTAGGTGATATCCATATCCTCTTCTGCAAAGGCGAGAGACATCCTCGGGGGGCGCATTTCAGGACTCGCTTCTTCACCTTCTTCCTCGGACTCCTGAATAGGCAGAGATAACCGTGGTCGCTCGATTTCTGGCTCATTATCAAGCTGTTCAAATTCATCAACTGGCTCTTCGATAGGCTCTGGCTTCTCCTGCGGCGAGGAGCGGATAGGTTGAGATATAGGAGCGAGTGCTAAGACCGGCCCGAATAAATTCAGTCCAATTCCTCATGTGAAACAATACGCGGTAAACCTCTTACCTCTGCCCAGGTTTTTGAGAATATCGAATGTAGTCTCCCGCTGCATTCGGCCGCTTCGTCGGCGATCCCGACCAGGGGTGTTTGCTGCTCGTTGTTGCCGGGCACGAAGTCCGTATGGTGTTGCTGGCGCACCCACACCTCGAGCGCGTGGTGTGTATCGAGAGGCCGACCGCTGGGTGCCCGGGGTGGTTGCAGTAATAAGTCGACTTGGTGTAAGAGGGTAGCGTGTATGGCTAGGAAGGCGTTGGAGCTGTAGGGAGATGATACGATTAGTGGTTTCCCACCCTCCCCAAAGGTAATGGGATAGCACTCACTCCGGTCAATGTCGTATCTCCCGATGGGGTAGCGGTTCCAAAAGGTGACCGACGAGCACGCGCGTTTGGGGTAGAAGTAGACATGGCTTGGTTTTCCCCGTAAGAGAAGTACAGCTATATCATGTACAGCTATATCATGCAAGATATATCAGACCACATATGTAATCACCGCAGCAATAAAATCCCAGATCAACTGGGCGGACGGTGAATTACAAGATCGATGTTGATGTCTGTCTGTCGCGTCTCGAAACAACAATTGCGGGCCAGTGCATGATTGGCCCGTTCTTATCGATAAGATTGGCTGAATCAGCCGGCTTTTTTTTTTTGCGCCATGAAGTCTTCTCGATGCGACTTGCATTTACTAATTGAAGCTTGAAATACTCGGAAGATTTTTTGCCAAGCTTACTGGCTATTGCTAAAATGGCCGACACAAACGCCCCCAAAGGACTTTCCAATAAGCTCCAAAACAAGCGCAAGAGACAAGCCGACGACACTGCTCCCAAGCAAGAAAAGCCCGAGGCTGGCACACCCGCAGAAGGATCAAGCAAGAAGAAGCAGAAGAAGAACAAAAACAAAAAGAAGCAGGCTGAGCACGATGAAAGTCAGTCAACGCGCAAAGACGGTATTGACGAGTCCATTGGCAAGATGGACGGCCGTTTGTTGGGCGATCACTTTGCGCAGAAGGCCAAAAGACACGATAAGGAGCTCTCTGCTGTTGAACTGAGTGATCTTTCGGTTCCAGGTATGTATACTTACTACTGTTCTATTGGCAAAGGCCGCCAATGGGTGTCATAGAAGTTAACAAATCTATAGATTCCGCATTCCTCGACACCTCTTCCTTCACCCCCACCCGAAAGCTGGAGCAACTCCCCGAATTCCTCAAGACGTTCAGTCCCAAAGGCACCGACCTGTCAAAGTCATCTGAGAAGAACGGCACCCCTCATACACTGGTCATTTCGGGTGCTGCTCTGCGGGCCGCTGATGTTGTACGGTAAGTGGGAAATTTCCAGTATTTTCTGTGGCATGAGTCGAAGCTGGGGCTGACAATTGATGTTACTAGGGCACTACGCTCTTTCCAAACCAAGGAAAGCATTGTAGGCAAGCTGTTCGCGAAGCACATCAAGCTGGAGGAAGCGAAGCAGTTCCTTCAACGTGCTCGGTCTGGTATCGGGGCTGGAACCCCAACCAGAATATCTGATTTGATCGAGTCTGGTGAGTTTGCTTGGTTGCTATCTATAGACAGCTCTACTTCATTGTGTATGCAGATGCTGATAATTGGTCTTCTAGGAACTCTCAATCTGGAGGAGCTGGAGCGCATTGTCATTGATGGATCACACATTGACCAGAAGCAGCGAGGCATCTTTGACATGAAAGACACGCATATACCGCTGTTGAAGCTGCTTACTCGGCCGGAACTGCGTGAGCGTTATGGGACGAAGAAAGGTGTGAAGATCTTGGTGTTCTGATCTAACCGAGGGCTGATTACGAAATTTTATACTGGTATATGATCTGAGTACATCAATTGGATGAATGTATTCATATAATTGTTTAGCGTGGTGCGTCCTATGTAGATAAATTGCGAACTATAAAAGCCAAGGCCTTATCGGGACTGTATTTACCGCCTCCCGAGACACGGCAAAAATTAATTTCACTTTTCTCTCCGCCCGACTTTTTTTTGGAGCTTGAGTCTCGTTGCGCTGCAAGCTTCTCCACCTCTTTTCTTATTCTCTCAAACTACCAGGACTCTTATTCGTCTTGTTTTCTTTCCCATCCCACCATTGTCCCTTTTCACCATAAAATTTACCCCACACAACACCACAATGGGTGACAAGCGCAAACTCGTGCAGGATGAGGTGGTCGAGCCCGAGGGCAAGAAGATGAAGAAGGAGAAGAAGGACAAGAAAGACAAGAAGGAAAAGAAGGAAAAGCGCAAGCTGCAAGAGGAGTCCGATGCCGTCGCTCCCGCCGAAACTGCTGCCCCGGCACAGGAAGAGGTGAAGGAGAAGAAGGAAAAGAAGGACAAGTCCGAGAAGTCTGACAAGAAGGAGAAGAAGGACAAGAAGGAGAAGTCCGAGAAGTCCGACAAGAAGGACAAGAAGGAGAAGCGCAAGGCCGAGGAGGTCGAGGAGGCTGACATCAAGCCTGCTGCTCCCTCTGAGGACGCTATGGATGTTGACGTGACTCCTGCCGAGAGGGTGGAGGCCAACAAGAAGGAGAAGAAGGACAGGAAGAAGGCCAAGAAGGAGAAGAAGGAGAAAACCGAGCCTGCGGCTGAGACCAAAGAAGAGCCTACCACTGAATCCACCGAGGATCAGCAAGCTCAGAAGAGTTCCCGCTTCATCTGCTTTGTCGGTAAGTGATTCCAATATACATGGACTACGCCGGACCAAAGACACAAGATTAACCAAAGGATCTTCACATATGCAGGCAACCTTCCCTACTCCGCCAACCACGAGTCCTTGACCAAGCACTTCGAAAAGAACCCCCCGGCCACAATCCGCGTCGCCACCAAGAAGGAAGACCCCAAGAAGTGCCGCGGCTTTGCATTCATTGAGTTCGACAACTACGACCGCATGAAGACCTGCCTCAAGCTGTACCACCACTCCACCTTCGACGACGGAAAGTACCCGCCCCGACGCATGAACGTCGAGCTGACGTGAGTTATCACCCCGCCATTGGACCATTTTCAGGCCTTCTCCAAGAAAAGAAATTCCATTTGCAAACATAGATCATATACTAACTACCAATTCCAGTGCTGGCGGCGGCGGCGCCAAGTCCGAACATCGCAATGCCAAGATCCAGGCCAAGAACGAGAAGCTCAATGAGGAGCGCCAGCGCCAGGCTAAGGATATCCAGAAGGACAAGAAGAAGCATGACAAGAAGGCTGCCCCGGCTGGCGGATCTGGTGCCAATGCTACTGGCATGGATGGCGCAGCTGACAACGCTGGCAGCGCTGAGGACGATAAGTGGGCTGGTCTCCACCCTAGCCGCAGAGGCCGTGTTTAAATCAGCACAAGCCACCGGTTCGCTGTTATGTTTCATTTCGGACGGTCTCGACTCGTTGATGGATGGACAGTGTACAGCAAGGTGTCCGGAGCATCTGCAGGCAGCTGGACATTTCGATAGCCATGCATTTCCGGGAGCATCAAGTTTGGCCGGCTTTTTCTTATGGGTTCCAAAAAGTACTTACTTCATGTCTCTATTGCTTGATTTTGAAGATACCAATTGATATGTTCTTTTCTACGCTTCCTGGTAAACAGTGCCTGAGTGGACAACTATAATGGTTTAGAATGACCAGGGTAAAATCTCGGAGTCAAGAACGTCGCGAATGCATTGGGACAGACTATGAACAAGGGCCAAGAGGGCGAAGGCAGAAAAATATCCCCAGGAAAAACGGTCAATGGATTTCATCACAAAACAGCACTGAGAGGCCGGCGAAATTAAAAAAAGCCTCTAACTTCCCAGACGCCGTATTAACTATATATTATTCATTATAGCATACGAGAACATGGGGAGACGAGTCGAGCCAAACATACGTGCTCTACAAGAGATTGCATTTGACTGCCTTCCTCCCGGATTTCGTAGCGGGACGGGGATTGAGAACGGCCCTGTGACAGATAGTTAGTATAAGAACTGATATACGCAAATAGTCCGGACAAGGAAAGGAAAATAAAAGGAGAGTAAAAACGCACCGGATAGCTTCGTCGAACACGCTCTTCAGGTTGCGTTGTGTCAACGCGGAACATTCAAGGTACTTATGTGCGCGAATCTCCTTGGCCACGGCCAGGGCTTGTTCGTAGGAGACGGTTTCCATCTTGCGTGCGCGGAGGGCTTCTACAGTCGCGCGGTCGTCTCTCAGATCGAGCTTGGTACCGACAAGGATGATGGGGACATTAGGGGCGTGGTGTTCGATCTCAGGGAACCACTAGAAGCGAGGGAATGGTTAGTCGCGTAGAAATAGGGAAAGCCTGGTAGGTCTCTAGGTCTTGTATGCTCGGCCCGTTCGTACCTTCGCTTTGACGTTATCGAATGATGGCGGGCTGACGATGGAGAAGCAGATCAAAAAGACGTCGGTTTGCGGGTAGGATAAGGGTCTCAGGCGATCGTAATCCTCTTGTCCAGCGGTATCCCACAGTCCCAGGCTGATCGGCCGGCCGTCAACCATAACACTGGCCGTGTAGTTGTCAAAGCTGTGATGGTATCAATGTCCGTTCGGGGTTCAGGGTTTCGCATTGAGGGGCAGTGGGTACGAACACAGTAGGGATGTATTCACCCGGGAAAGCATTTGTTGTGTACGAGATCAGAAGACATGTCTAGGAGCAAGGGAATTGAATGTCAGCATCTATTGCAATATTTGGGAGGGATAGAGTGCCGGGATGTGTACTAACTTTGCCAACTGCTCCATCACCAGTCACCACACACTGCAAGTATTGTTAATTAAAGCTGCGCATGTAGATCGGATTCATCCCACCTTCAGTGACTGAGTAGCCGGACCCGTCGCCATGTCGCAGAAATATAGATCAAAGCCGAATTCCAACAGGGGCTGTTGGGAGTTGGCGATAAGGGGCGATAACGGAAGGACACAATGGCAACAAGTCTTCAGAATATTATTAGCTTCAGGGGAACTTTGAAGAAGCTAGGGAGGCTGGAGCTAGGGAAAAGAGGGGGTGGGAGAGATGTGGAGAAAGAAAATGAAGGGGATTTGGAACGGACTCACCTCAAAAAATGGGATATATAAAAATGGAAAGAAAAGAAAGAAGTCAGGAGAGGGAAAAAAAGAAAATAGGGTGATCGGACTAGTTTGGCCAAGGTCAATAGATTATTTCTCTTATAAAAGAAGTGCAATTAAAAAAAAATAAGTCTCATCAGTCTCATCAAAGTCTCCACTTATTTCTAAATATTGAAATGTGTGTATCTTAATAGATATAGAGAATATTATGTACGGAGTTGGTGTACCTAGGTATATTGACAGAATCCCTTTCCCTTGACTCCATATGATAGGATCAGATTTCTCCTAGAAACCTCACAGACCTCCTATATATGTTGGTCAGCCATCACTAATGCACCAATCGCATGACAATTGAATCACGGGTGACGCCAGGACATGCGAAGGCGTCTATCAATATCGAATCATTATGGGAACCTCCAGGGAGGGGTATGCTTATATGCATGGTCCATCAACTGTCCTATTTATATCGACCCAACCACCCCGGGACATCAGCTATATATGGGACTTTATTCGATCACTCTAAAAACCAAAACAGAACCAACTAAATGCGCGATACGCCCCTCGAACCACTCAGGAACCCACCTGCCCTGATCTCCGCTGGCTTCGTCAACAAAGTGGATAATTTCCCTGAGAAGGTTCGGAAATAGGGCGATTTGACGTGGGTCTGGATCGCCGCCTGGTTTTTATATCTATATTGTGCAGAGCTGATCAGAATCTTGGAAAGTGTGGCAAAGATGCTCTTTGAGAAGTAGATTGGGCCGAGGCACGGGCACACTCTCCATGCGGGGGAGATATCAGTGAGCCCCGGAGGGACGGCCGACCTATATCAATATCTCGATGATTGACTTACCTCTCAACGATCACAATCTCATTCTTGTCCTTGATCTCATATGCGTAGTAGAGCAGTGTATCCGGTTCGTGCTCTTGCACCCGTTTGATGACTTCGGTTACCAGAGTAGATACCTGGAGGACGACACGATATGTTAGCACATATTCGGACTACCAAGTAATATGGGGCTGGGCTAACCTCTTCAAACTTCTCTGGCTTTGGAGTGAAAACTGCGGTAACGTTGATTTCGGACATGATGACCTGGGGTTGAGTTGTCAGCCCTGCAACAGTAACTAGTAGCATCAACCTTGGAATAGAACATCCTTGGAACCCACCTTTGCAAAGTAAAATTCAATGAGATCTAGGTAAGATCAGAAAGTGGAATGATAACTCCGGGGAGCTTAAAGAGTTTAAATATGTGTATTGAATGCGGATCATATAATCCATACTAATCCATATAATCCACATCGACCTCGGTCCATGGCAAGTGGGGCATGAAGTCCATGTAGATGTACATGGATTTTGTATAACTATGGCTTTGATATATTGAGATATCTACGACTCTAGTCTTTCATTTGATGATAGCTATCTGATTTAAATTGAGTATAAAAGTATGTTTGTGTGTTTAGTTTGATATACACTTGGTTGATGGAAGGCAATATGCAATGTGAACTCTCCAATACTTAGTAGTAGCAATTAACTACGTAGCCCTTTAGAGAGCGTTCGATGGAAGGATTCAAATTCCCTATATGACAACATGTCAATTGCTTCAAGCTGGATGCCCACCTGTACAGGTGCCCAGCTCTGGAGGAGATCGAAAGAGATTACATCATCAAGTAATGCCTCAGGCAATAGCTGAATCAGCAACCGCCGAGATTCGTCTCGGCAGCAAATCTCCCGCAAATCACCACCCTCAGTCAACAGAAAGATTCCCCACATCCCCCTTCAGCGGGCCGATTTCTCCGATTTACGGCACATGGACTCCGCAAGCACTCGTTCACCTTTCGTGGGGTTTTATACCGGCTGAACGCAGGCTGATCTCAATGGATTTGGGGTATCGGAACATACTGGCACCGGATGGGCCACATTACTCCATCCCGCCGAGCGACTTTCGGTCCCCCACTCTACCCCGGCCACCCCCGGTTATCGATTTCATGCAGAGAAGCTCGGAATCTTGCGAGATGGAGAAGGCTCCGCCTGTCACGGGCAAGCGCCGAGGTGGCAGCCGAAAAGCCTGTAATGAATGTAAGCAGCAAAAGGTGAGTCATGCGCATATCTCCAATTACTATGCAATTTTACCCAAATCCCCGACCGTATCGGGTCTTCGACAATCGCGCTGATGTCTCAAACTTTGATAGCTGAGATGTGATATTGTTCAAACGCCAGCTGCGGCTTGTTCACGTTGTCGCAGGCTTGGGATAGACTGTAAAGTCGAACAGTCGTTCAAGCGCATCTCTAAAAGAAGGTATGTCTTTATTGTCTGATTTTTTCCCTCATTCTCTCATCTTATTGACTCCATTTCACAGGCGCAATGCTGAAATGGAAAAGGAGATTGCAGATCTCCGCCGCCGCCTGGGACCTAATTCAGATCATGAGCAAGGTGTAGAGCCTCATGAGCCTCATGGAGGTGATGAAATGTCCCATTGCTCAGAGGATGTCTTTGCTCGTCGTGACTCGGCCGCAATTGACCAGTCTCGACATGTCTCAGTGCCGGTTGAATCCCACTCATCTATAGCAACTCCTTTGACTATGAAAAGGGATGGTTCTATTATATCACAGGATGATGGCCAGTGGAGACTGGAAGATGTTACTCTCTCTAAAGCCCGAGTTCTTCGATTATATGAACAGTATGCGCTCTCCAGTCCTTTGGCCCGCTTCTGTGATTGACATCTGTATAGATACTTTACTTATTACCACCCCTTTCTCCCTCTCTTGAATCCACCCAAGCCCCCAGAGGTGTATCTTAACCGATGCCCTCTTTTGGCGTGGACTATGATCTGTGTTGCGAGTCGACGGTCTCAATACGAGCCTGGGCTCTTGAGTGCACTGTCTGGGCCATTTAGCAGGCTGCTTTGGTCAACCATAACCAGTGTCCCACAGGACTATCGGGTGGTCAAGGCTCTTTGTGTTCTGTGTACATGGCCTCTTCCGACTACAAGCCAGCGCACCGATGCAACCTTCATGCTCAGTGGCCTAATGATGCAGATTGCTATGCAGCTTGGGCTACACCGTCCGGTTCAAGCTGAAGAGTTCACGACATTCCGCATGGAAGTCCAAGGTGAAGCTCTAAAGGATCGACTACATACGTGGGTCATTTGCAACATCGTGGCTCAAAAGTGAGTATTTCCTCTCGATGTATAGCCGTTTATCACAGACTGATTGAGATTCGGCAGTGTTGCGACTGGTTACGGCCAGCCACCGAGCACAATATACGATTGGGCCCTTGAGCCTGCCTCCTTGAGGGATGCCGACTATCGGCTTCCCGATGACTTGGCCATTCGCTTACGTATCGAAAAGTTCTGCGATCGGGTGACGAAGGCATTATACAGTAGTAAACCCGAGCCTGCGGATTTTATCAGTGCCGAAAAGCTCGTGGTCGTGCAGGTTTTGGAAAGTGAGCTTAGAGACATGGATGTCGAGTTTGACGGAAAAATCTCCGGTAAGTTGTTATCGTTTCGTTCCAATCTTGCACCGCTCACACTCGTACCAAGCAATCAACACGATTCATCTACGTGCGGCAGAATTGCACTTCCGATACTTCATGTTTTTGGGGTCCAATGCACGAAGCGACGATCTGATCAAGCTTTTCCTCGCAACAACCTCCTTCCTTGGTCGAGTACTAGATCTCGAAACATCGCCAGGTGAATTGATCGGCCACTCCACCAACTATATTCTTCAAATGATTGTGTCGGCCGCTTTTGCTCTTATGAAGTTGTTGAAGAGCAGCTTCAGTCGACACATCGATTTCAACCATGGCAAGCTACTGTTCAACGGTGCGATCTCGGCAATTCGCCGAATCAGTGTCATGGACCACGACCGCCCTATTCGTCTTGCAGATATCCTCGCTCAGATGTGGAATGCCACGAGTCTAGAGCCCGCCGAAGAAGATGCTTTACAACTTAAAGTCCGCTGCCGGATGAGCATGAGCCATGTCTACGATACGGTTTGGCGTTGGCGGCAGCGGTTCCGACCGGTCAAAAGCCTTGAGGAAATGCAAGGTAAGTTTTCTTTGTTTTTTTCTCCCCTTTTAGTTGTTTTGTCCCATTTTTTAACAAACTCCTTATAGCTGCTGCTATAGCAGCGAACCAAGATATACTAGGTCCGGCAGGGCACATGACGCGGCAACAGCAGGATAGCTCCCTGGAGGATCAATCTCTGATGATACCAGCTCAGTTTGATGAAGGCGGAGCATTTTTCAGCGAATCTGGATTCTCAGAAGTATTTGATTCGCTCAATTGGGTTTTTGATGGCATTCCGGACTCTTTCGTTGCACCTCCGGTTTTATAGATGCCAATTCCTGCCACTGCTTTTTTGTATAAATGTTGATATTTGATTCCCAGCGACGATACCAGAATAAAAGTGAATTTTACTGTGTACTAAGAGAATAATGTACATAAATAGGTACAACTACGTACACCTGGGCAACTACGTAGACAACGAAGCCCAAAAGATCCACTTGTGTGGCTGAACCCGCCCATTACGTCTTAACCCCAAAATACATACTGGACCCTCCTGGCTATGGACATTCCTATAGGTTCACAGCATTTCAGCCCAAGTGAAACTCCAAAAGGCAGGCTGCAGCATTTCCTGTTCCTGACCTCATTTTTGATCGGCTCCTAACCGCCAGCTCCACCGATAATAATAGAGGTGGTCCGTGGGGCTTTCCGTTCCCCCCTCTACTTCACTCCTCTTTCTTGACATTCACTCAAGTCAAGACCGTTTCCATGTCGGATCAAGCCCTACACGAATCCACGGCGATACCGACGCTCTCTGATGCGCCTCCGCCGAGCGCCGGTCGCTCATCCCCTAGCCACGGGGGCGAACAGACCCAGCCGAACGAAGCCATCTCAGACGAGCTGAAAGCCCGCCTGGACAAAGTTATCTACTCTGATGTGAGCGGAAACAGACATTGCATCGCCCGGTGCATATTGAAAAGGACGCAATCGTATTAATCATGAGTAGATCGGTATAACCACACTCCTCACTCGGCTGAAGCAAAGCGTGGCCTCCGCCAAGGTTAGTAGTCGCAAAAGGATTCCAATGACAATCGCAAATGCTGACACGGTATCCGCTAGGATTTCTCAACTTTCCTGAAAAAGCGAGGGACCCTTGAAGAAGAGCACGCTCAGGGGCTGAGAAAACTCTCCCGCGTGATCAACGATGCGTCGCAACGCTCCGAGAACCGACAAGGAACATACAGTTCCAGCTACAAGGACATCCACCGAATCCAAGAGCGAATGGTCGACCATGGCCTCCAATTCGCCGTCTCCCTCCACCAGATGTCCGATGATCTGCACGAGCTCGCCGCCAACATCGAGCGCGGCCGCAAGCAATGGAAACAGACGGGTTTAGCTGCGGAGAAGAGGGTCGTCGATGCAGAATCTCTGGCCGAGAAGGCAAAGGCCAAGTATGAGTCGTTGGCGGAACAGTATGATCGTGTTCGCACGGGAGACAAACAGGGTGGAAAGTTCGGTCTCAAGGGCCACAAGTCTGCGGCGCAGCACGAGGAGGAGTTGTTGCGCAAGGTCCAGAACGCGGATAGCGATTATGGATCTAAGGTTCAGGCTGCTCAGGCCGCGCGCCAGGAGCTACTGTCTACCCACCGGCCTCAGGCTGTACACAACCTTCAGCAGTTGATCTCTGAGTGTGACTCAGGACTGACCCTGCAACAGCAGAAGTTCGGTATGTGCGATTTCTTTCCACACAGGTGGTGGTGTTGTTCATCGTTCATCGGCTAATAATTTGCAGCCACTTTCAACGAGAAATTGCTTCTGGGCCAAGGTCTCTGCGTCAACCCTTTGAAGACCGACGGAGCATTAGGACCTAAGAGCCTTGCCGATGTTATTCGCCAAGTCGATAACCAGAAAGATCTCCATGAGTTTATTTTAAGTCATGAAGGCAACCCGGGGGCTGTGGCTTCAGAACAGGTCAAATATGAGCGCCACCCTGTAGGTCCAGCAGTGTTCCTTGATTGCTTCACTATACTAACATGATTAGACACTCGGCGGTGCTGGGGCTACTCCTTCTGCTCCTGCGGCACCTTCGCAACCAAGCACTCAGAATAAGCGCGTGTCAATCATGCCGCAGGCATTCGCCTCGAATAATACCTCTTCGCCGGCGCTTCAGCCACCTCATAGCGGTGACCGATTGCCGCAGTCACCTTATCCTCCGGAGAAGTCCTTCACGCCGCCTCCAGCCGGCACGCCTCCCTATCCAGTCTCAGGACCGCCTGCTCCGGAACCCGCACCCAAGATTCCGTTGCCAATGGCAGGACCTCCCCCAATGGACAGGAGTCTGCAATCGAATCTTCCTCCGTTGAAGCCAGTATTCGGTGTTTCACTGAACGACCTGTACGCCCGGGATGGAACGGCAGTTCCGTTCATTGTGTACCAGTGCTTCCAAGCAGTTGAACTGTTCGGTCTGGATATGGAGGGCATCTATCGACTTTCGGGTAGTGCCAATCATATCAGTCATATGAAAGCCCTGTTTGATAATGGTAAGCTTGATCAGACACTTGGGGAAATATAGCCAGCTTGCTAACCTGCTCTCAAATGAACAGACTCGTCGCAAGTTGACTTCACAAACCCGGAAAATTTCTACCATGATGTCAACAGCGTTGCAGGACTTGCGAAGCAATTCTTCAGGGACCTACCTGAACCTCTGTTTACCACTCAGTTCTACCAACAATTTGTTGATGCTGCTCGTAAGTCATGTTCACGTCTTGTAGAGTAGATACTCCAGTACTGAGATACTGACATCGGAACCGCAGGCATCGACGATGACATCCAACGCCGAGACTCGATGCACGCCCTTATTAACAGTCTGCCTGATGCTCACTATGCTACCCTCCGCGCTATCATTCTGGTACGATCCCCAACAAGAACCTAGACTTTGTTTTCAAATACTAATCTAGTCCATTGCAGCATCTCAACAAGATCCAAGAACACTATACGCAGAACCGCATGAACGCGGGCAATCTAGCCATTTGCTTCGGGTATGTCCCCGCACACTCCACATCCTATATAAACAGGGATGTCATCAGATACAGACCGCTAATCCTCGTTATAGACCAACCCTCATGGGCGCTAATTCCGGTGGCAGCATCGCCGATGCTGGGTGGCAGGTCCGTGTCGTCGAGACGATCCTGAATAACACATTCCAGATCTTCGACGATGACTAGATCAATCCGCCTCCGGCCCGTTCCTAGTTTCTTCTTTCTTGTTTTGGAATATGAGCGCTGGTTCATGGACTTACGTATAAATGTTTTGGTGCATCGCTTCCAGGTGCTCTCTTGAACCTCTTTCTTATCCATTTGTGCCTCTTGTTGCTGTGTTCTGGTGTTTCCTCGGAGTGATACCTGTGCTACACATTAATATTGTGCCTTTGTGCCTTCCGATTGTATATATACATACTGCTTAGTCCTTTTAGTTTTGACTTTCCTGGTCATGAGCAACGTATAATCGTGTTACTGATGATGTCAGGTTGAGATGCAGCAAATATTGGCCTTTCCAGTATCATATTAGTAGAAAGTACAAGATACTGCCAGCAATGAGACACCAGGAAATCGTTCGGATGGCTGTCTAACTCATGTATTGTTCTTCAAGCTCTTTTTTTTCTGCTCTCCCTTTTTGCGTATTCTTTAGGTCTAGGGGCCAAGCTAATCGTGCCAGAAAAGCTTAAACTTGAGAGTACAACGTATTGGGGAAGATATAGTAGATCGTTAGGACACCCTGAGACATTGATATTCATTTATACAAGTAACGGCTCAAAAGAAAGGTAGAATTTGATCAAAACAGGTGGTTATGGTACATGGGAGGTGTAAATGCTTCTATATCAGGGGTTTCCGTGACAAGGAAAGAGAACAGACCAGAAAAGAAGCTGACCCGAGCCTCTGTTCAGTGTTAGGCCCAAAATGAGGAGTTGCTAAACAAGAAGTAAGACAAACAGGTGAAATAAAGGATACCGTGTCAAAACCCTTTGACAGGGCATATAGTCTCGTCAAGTATTTGAGTTCCTGGTGCGGATCTTGCAGCTGCAGTCTCCAAATGACGGAGAGTCCAATGGCACAGAACATATCATTCTGGAAGAAAGAAACACCAATCACAGCTAGAGATGCGATTCAAATCATTTCTTGCCCATCGAGTCCTGGATCATCTGCATACGCTCGAGGGCTGACAATCCAGGCGCAAAGCTGGGATTATTGTAAGCCTCATGCAATGAGGTGGGATTGACGTAGCCCCAGACTCTCCAGCCCTTATCCTGGTCGTTCCAGCGGAGATGCTGGATGACAATGTGCTCGACACAGTCCTGCTCCTTGGTGGAAACGGTGGTAGCCTCTGTGGGTTCCTTTCCGCTGGGGTTCTGGATCTGACTTGTGGTTGTAGACTGTCGGCTCGTGATACGCACGACAACTTGTCGGATACCGGATTTCGGGAGATCGGGGATGGATGACGCGCGGTCTGAGACGACGCGGAGGCCAGTGAAGTGTGTGCTTGGCTTTCGTAGGTACTTGACCAGTTTCCAGGTCAATTTCTCATTCTTCGGCCGGCGCTCGATACTTTTGCTTAGTTGTTTAACGAGACCGTCGCAGCAGATCTGGCGGATTTCAGCAATGTTGCCTCTAACGATTCATAGCGGTTAGTCCTGCTCAAACAGTAAACGTGGAAGAGGCGCATGCTTACTCGGCAAATGCTTTGTACATATCTTCCTGGAGCTTTGCGGCGAAGTGGCGCCGCTTGCTTAGAAGGAGAGGAAAGGAGTTTTCGCGCTTGCAATATTGGAGCACACTGCAATATAGTTAGGAAAGATAATCTTTGCAAGTATATGGTATATGCAGCTCTTGCTCAACTTAACCACCACTAGGGCGGTAGAGCGTACCCAATATTCCAAGGATTCGGGGAGAACTAACCTGGCAAAGTTGCTCAACCAGGACTTAACCCATGTATATTCCATATGCCACCTATCGCGCGGTGCCGTGAAAACCGAAGGCATATCCCTCCACAGCGGTCGGACAAAGGTACCTGGTAATAGGCCAATGTCATTTGGCAGATCCGCTAACCTCATACCCTGGGTTCTAGTTTTGAAAGACGGCTGCACTTGGCTTGGAGGGCGGAAGTTCATTTGTCTCCCACGCCATTGCTGGGAGGTCTCGGAGAAGGCCCGACATTGAACGAAGGAACCAGATGGTACAACTCGAGCGGATGTGCCCGCGGGCAATCGTAGGTAGACGCCATTGCGAATCGGGTTGAGTAAGAGAAGGTGGTTCCTGGCCGAAGAAACAGAAATCCGCGGAACTGTCAGTCACGTGAATCACTCCGCAGGTCGACAGCAACAAGTAACCGGATTCTTGAACGAAGCGCCCTCTTATCGAGGCGACAGCTTATACTCTTCCTCGCTGTTTCTTTACTACTACTGTCATATATAAAAAAAAGCAGTTGATCGTATAGAATTAAACTGCCCCCCGGGAAAAAGACACCGCCCGCCACTCACTGGGTCTGATATCTGCCAATTAGGAGACTCACAAACAGCTTGACAACAACCCAACTTTGAATCTTATCGAGAGCGAACGACTCGATCGCAACGCCTATCCTATACCTCTTCCATTCCTTGCGTGGCGGCCGCATATGCCGCGACTCAGAATAAAGGCTGGCTCCTCCTCGACGTAATGCCTCTCCTCCACCATACACTCCCCACGACTATCCACACCAACATCCACACCGTGATCCAGACCTGAATCTCGCGCGATCGGCTCCTCCACCCAGCTACCTCAGCACTTCCCCTGAACTACTACAAAGCCAACGGGCTAAAGAGGTGGCTTCTGCATCTGCTTCGACTGTCCCGCCCTCCCCGACCTCCTCCACATCCCATACCCCACCCAGCAGCGATGGCCATTCGTCAGCCTTGCACCCGCGGGTCGCTGTCATCCTCGGAGTAGACCGCAGATGGTATATCCCCCTGCTGGTATGTCGGGCTCTGAGCACGCTTCCTGCTGCCTGGTGGGGTTTGCGATGCGCATTTACCTTCCTTGCCGAGTTGCTGCACATAAGGCCGGGTATGGGACGGGAGGGGTGGGCGGCGGCGATTATTGGTAGTGTTGGACAGGAATGGGACGTTGAGCGGAGGTTCCGTGTGACGGAGGTGGCATTGGCTATTATGTGGGTATGTGATATTGCCGCCTTGATATGGGGGTGTATATCTTTTTTGATATACTACTTGCTGGTGTCCAACTGCGTACTTTTATACTGACTACTTGACAGTGCTGTGCATCTGCATATCTTTCCTATTTCTTTGCTGATTGCATGATGTCTCGATGGTCGGTTTCCTCCTTCCTTGAACGTCTCCACTGTGGTCTCTAAGGCTAATACGTATACTCAGGCTTCTAAACTACACTCCACCAGCTGTTGTGATCCGTCTTCTAACCACGAACGGCCTGATTGCATACATCACTTCTTGGGTTCTTTATCTGTCCGGCGCATCCTCTGATCCTCGACTCCTTTTACCGGCTTGGATCTCCATAACAACTGTATGTTACCTTGACCCCTAATGGTCGATATACCTTACAACAGCGTCTAACCCTTCACCTAGTCTTTAACCTTCGTTTACCACGCAACACAAAACCATGCAACCATCAAACGTGAAACAGCAGCATCGCTACTAGTCGTTTCCGTGGCGAGCTTCCTAAGCATGTCCTCACTCCTTATGCAGCTACATCTGACCCGTGAAAACGAACCAGAAGTGCCCGTGTTCGTCATCACCCGTAAACTTTGGGACTGGGCTGTGGCCATCTTCTTACGCATGCGAGTTGCTGATGACCGTATTCCTGTTGGAGAGCTGTAGCTTGCTTACTTGCTTTCTGGTTGCTGGTCTTTCTTTTCTTTTTCTGTTTCGGGACATTTTGCAGGTTGATTTCCACTGTCTGGACAAGCTGGACAAGCGTTCTTGACTAGACAGGGTGGGATGATTTGTACATTTTGGGATTTGATTTTGATTTGGTTGAAGACTCTTTATCTATGAGTCTTTGGACTTTGCACTTGATACCCCTGGCCTAGGGATGTTTTTCTTTTCTAACATGGCGATCTTTGATAGATCTAATTGTATTGATTGATTCACAATGTGAAATTCCATCTCAAACTACGCTCAAGTTTTCTACCTCAAATTTACTTTACGTTGCTGTATCAGCTGGCAGAGAGTACTAGACGACAGTTCAATTTCCTTGTTTCCAAGCAATGGACTGCATACCCAAGAGAGGGGCAACGAAAGAGTGAGAAGCACAAAGATTAAATAGACGGTAGAGACCGAGAAAACGGTTCAGCAAAAGCACGCCCTTCAACCTGGATCTCCTCGATCAGCCAGATTGACAAATTGACCACGGGAATGCAATGGTAATGAGCAATACAGGCAAAGGCAACCCCTCCTCAAAGGATAAAAGAATGGAAAACACACGCAAAACCATGAAAAGAAAAAAAAGTGTTGTCTGTCTATGCAGATAATGGGTATCTACCAACTCCTCGTTCCGTCATAATCCCGTCCTTAGAATAGCGGTCGAATCACCCCGCTCTCCCTGCCGATCATGCGGGAACGATAGGCAGGAGCACACAGGTGTAGCGGGTCATTTCGACGAAGGGCCCAGGTCTAACACGCCAGGCACAGAGTGATGGGGGGAGAAAGCAAGACATTCGATCGATGTGAAGGCCAGTATGGTATACAACATTGTATACGGCCGGCGGATGAGGGATGCTTCCTATCCCACCGCTCACAGGGCAACATAAACCGGGAAGAGGGGACTGGAACAAGGCATGATGTCGGTGATGGGATTAGAACCCGTGGACCTAGAATATGACAAATTAGAAAATGGCCATGGTGATAGAGAGCAGATATTGGGGCAGCAACATACCTTGATGGTCTTGGCATCAAGCTTGAGTCCCTCCTTCTTGTCAGTCAAGAACTCCTGGACATCTTTTCTCTGGTCTCCCTGCAGCTGAATCACCTCGCCCATCTCAGTGTCAGAGACGATGGTGCCATTGCAAGCTAAGATATAGTTAGCATCTGGCCCAGACACAAATGCGTAGGTCACAAAAAGACATACCGAACTTCTTCTTGATGACCTTGAGAATCTTCTTCTGGTCGAACTTCTTGGGAAGACCCTGAACAGTAGTCAGAGTCTTACGACCATTGCGTTCTGTTGTGGAACAAGTGGTTAGCATGTACCCCCCTTTTAGCGCCGGCGAGTCGCAAGAGTAGCCAGGGCGGTGAGGATAGGGGAGTGGACGTACGCTGAATCCGTATGTGGATATAGTTCTGAGACTGTTTAGTCTCGCCGGTATCTTCGTCGGCTTCGGCGAAGGGGTCTGTAAGATGCACATGTCAGCCTCAGCTCAGTACCAAATTTCTACCCCGCCGCCGTGACAGTCGGTGGAACAGAGGTGGGGAGAGCTGAAATATACAGCGTTGACACTACATATGATGGAAGACATATGTCTCATCCGCATACATAGTGATCATAGCTGTGGATATGGGTGGGGGGTGAAGCCCGATACGCGCCCAGGAGGGGAAAGTGGCGAACTTACCGAAGGTCTTGAGGTTTTCGATGGACATAAACTCGGCCTTTTTGTAGTAAACGGCGTTTAAAATGGGTATTGATAAAGTGAGCGAAGGGCGAGATTCAATATCTCTGTAAAAGATCGGTGCGTGCGTGGTTGGGAGAGGGAGATGCGGTTGTAGAAGAATGGGAGAGAAGAAGTGGCAGAGCCTTTTGAGGCAAGAGTCACGTTGTGGGGGAAGGCGGTGTGTGACTAAGCGATTCTCACCACCTGGGCAGGTGCCAGGGCACCTGGGCACCTGGGCAGCCCTGGAGCATTGCGATAATGCGCAACTACTTAGATGGAAATTATATACAATTTAATTCTAGGAAATAATTTGGGAATTACCGCAGTAAGCAGACTTGCTCATCTTTGATCACAAGGGCAAACCTCGGGTTGGATATTGGTACATCGTGACAATAATAGATAACGGTAGAGGTCTCTCAATTCAGACTCAGAATCTGACCCGCGAACAATCAATCCGTAGTCCAGATGATAATATTTTGGAGATTATGGTACGTGTATGTGGGAGGATATCAAGGAAGGTTCGAGTGTTCAAGAGGCCAGCGGAGTCGGTGCGGCGGCCCCGGTGGTACCCCCAGGAGCCTGCGGAGGCAAGAAGAGAGGGAAATAGGTCTGCGATGGTTTGTTAAGCTGAGTGCACCACAATTCCGTAGGTTCAGGATACATACGACGACGAGTGCCATCACTATACCATGTCATGAGATTAGTCCTGCAAACACGAGAGGGGTATGAAGAGCAACGAACAGGACATGAAAACCGACATGTAGGCCGGTGTAGCAGCAGTCTTCTTCTGCTCTGGGGATTCACCCAACCAGGACTGAAGTGAGAAGACGAAGGATACCCTGTTTCCGAGTCAGATAACCCGGTCAAGAGATTGACTGCTCGCCTTGTTCTTACCATCCGATCATGCTGTGTTCGCAATATTCGTTAATGTTGTCCGTAGCTTGTGTAATGTGCGCGACTCACCGGTTCCGAGTAAACATCTAAGAGATCAATGTCAGGGTCAAGTTATCGCAAGGTCAGATGTCGGGGTAACGACTTACGGCCGCCATGGGCATAGTGCTTGACATTGTGCCTGTTGTATAACTGAATCAGCCTTCATAGTCCTCGCACTAAAGTATCCCATTGCTGAAACATTGCTGAAACGACGAAGGTCTGGCGTACTGGTGATATCGGCATCGCTGCTGCTCTTGGGCGGATCGACATAGGGGATCGCTTTTTCAACATTAGCTTTGAACCAAGACTTGAAGCAGTCCACTCACCGAGATCAGCCCTGCGCATATCTTTCTTTGACGACATGTTGAGATATGATATTAAAGGTGATGGGTTGTGGTCGAAGGAATCAAACAGGTCACCCCCGTGCCAAGGCGGTGCCAGAGTCTGGGCTGAGACTTTCCGAGAACACCCCGGATTGAATGTCTCCGACCTGGAGGAACTTGGATTCTTTACTTTTCTTTTCTCTTTTGCTCTCTCTTTGTACTCTTTATTCTTTTTATGCATATCTTCTGTATATGCTGTATCTCTCGAATGGAGCTACATATGTATTATTGATTTCCCAAGTTGAGAACACTACAAGTAGGATCGGAATATTTCGAGGTTGAGCACAACTAGATAAATTCCTGTCGAGGCACGATGTACATGTGATTTATATGATACTACAAGTTGTTCGGATCTTGGCTATGAATGCAATAGCAAGACAATACGAGTAAAAACCCACCGAGATCATACAGTTGTGTAATGATCAGGGTGTGCTGCAGGTCAGTGTGATGGCTGTGCATCACTTCCTACATAGAATGGTAGGGTATAGTGGACTCCGCAGGCTTCAACTTACAGTTAATTCCCCCTTGCAGTTAGCATATTCCAGCCCTCATTGTGGTTGGAATCTTGGACATGCAACATGCAGGTTGACATTGATCTGCACCTCAGACGGCATTTCCCATTAAGGCCCGAGTCAAACATGCCACGGGTTCAGAGTCAAACAATTGGAAATTGGAAATGCAAAGACCCGATGGACCCGATACGCAGAATGTGGACTCATCAAACTCCGATAAGCCCATTTGGAAAGTATCGGGGATTATGCCGAGAGAGAATGGGAACGGCCCGTTGCGCTCTTGGACCTCTCGATGGTGTAACAGGCCATGGGCATGGGTAGTTTGGTAATGGATTGGAATCCCCCAGTACTTCGGTGTACTCCATATTGGAACAAAGAATAATTCCGCGCTAAGAGTTCTTCTTGCCGAGGAGGTATATCACCAGGTTTCCGGGAGCCGACGGATAAAGAGAGACTCTGGAAGATGTAGGCAATAGGAAGACCTGTAAATGTCAGTAAATGCCAGTAAATGTTCAGATATTATATGTAAAGACTCGGTGAATGACTAAATAAACCCGGGATATTGCGATTATTAGGAAGAGTAGAAGGGCAAATGAGAGCACTTGAGTTCAAAGGTGAGGTATTGTCAGCCCATTACCTCCGTACCTCCGTACCGCCAAATCATATGATAAGCCCGTGGCAATGTGAACAGTCGATCCTTGAACTTTCTTTAAGACTTACATTCAGTACTCCGTACGTTTAGTACATTATATATCCTACTCAGGTTGTACTCTGTACAACGTTCATCTTTTCCCTTTTCATTTAGGGTGTTTTGATCCCCAGATACCCAGATACCCGAGTTGCCCGTTCCCCGTCAGCTCACCCTACCCGCTAACTTCCCTAATTCCGCGCATTTACATCCCTCAAACATTGACTCGAATTCCTCGAAAATATACTTCGCCTGGATGACCCGAATACCCCTTCCTTTGGATACATCATGAGCCTAAGATGATCCCCCATTCCTCTGCCGGCGGCCAACCGTGGGGCCACCTCTGCGGACCTTCAATGGCGGTCCCGGACGAGTTGATAATGCGCAGATGTTGGCACAATATGACCAGCCCGACAGGCCAGCCTCGCTACCCCAGCCGCCAATTCGACAACCCGCCGTCGTTGACCTGACCGCAGGCGGTCCGGAGTCGCAAGATAGAGAACCGCCCCCGAAACGACCGAGATTGGATGTTCCAAGTGGAACGAGTACTTCAGATACTGGCGCAGGGGTGGGAGAAACGAGGAGTACTCCCGGAAGTGCAATTTCGCGACCTGCAGTCTCGTGGCGTGGCCGTCCGGTCTGGTCCTTCCAAGCTGTCGTGTCGGAAACCCCGAGCAATGAGAATAGAAGCGATGGCGCCGGACCTAAGCCCCCATCTCCACCTCCGTTGCCGGCTCAGCCTTGGATGAACAATTTTATGGCCGAACCCGAGGGAAGCGCTGCCGTGAGGTCGAGGGAAAGCTCCCCAGTCGGAGCTGTGCAAACAACGCCGTATCGCATTGAGGTCCCTTCCGTTGCTCCGGTCTACAAAGATCACAGTAAATGAACACCCGGATTCCTGAATTGTAACATCGAGACTAATCGCACGTTTTAGAACCCGCCGATTTCACCCCGTGGACCGGAAACCACCCGGAGGACGTCCTGAGCGAGCAAACCGCGAAACAAGGGTATTATGACCGTACACAGGTCTCGCAGAACGAATCAAATACAGCGCGTCCTGCATTATATGCGCAGCTCAAGAATCGCACAGGGTTGCAAATGCTCTCATCCGTATTCGCTGCGGCATTAGAGAAACGACAAAGCCACAACACTATTCACGCTCCGTCTACCTTTAAACCGCCACCTCGGGTTACGCTCACCGACAACAAGCGCGAGGCGTGGCTTCGAGATCTGGCCAACCCGTCTGTTCCGCTGCGAAGGCTGAGCCGAACCATTCCCATGGGATCCGCGGCAAGATCCTACTGGACCAGTGCCTTGGTAAATGGATTCCCGTTGCACGTGCTGTCTGGTTGGCAAAGTGTGTCGGTGCGAATGAAATCCGTGCCTTCAAACGAAAAGGCACCAGCGGTGCTTTGGCTGTTGGGTTAGAGGCGAAATGGGTCCGAGAATGGACAACGAATGTCCAGCAATTTGTTGAAGGTGTATTTGCTGCCCCCAAGTCCTCGGATTGGAAGGCGAAGATGACATATGCGTACGTCTTGTGGATAACCGTCAGTTGTGAGCAACATGCTAACATTTATCTCTAGAGTCGGGTTGACTGCTCGTTTATTCTCCGAAAACTTACTGGACCATGACCATTTCCTTGAATGGTTCTTGTCATCTTTTGAGGCTGCTTCTATCGGCTCGATACCAATCTGGCTTTTGATGCTCGGCATATACTGGAATAGTATCATGCGATATCGGCGAAGGGGGCGACGATTAGCTGAGCTGCTGCTCCAAAAAGTGCGACAGGTGTGTTCAACTTGCACTAACTTCTTTGCGCCTACGGTCAATACTGACAACTAGCAATAGGCAACTGAAGCCAAATTAACTCAGCTTCAGCCTCTCATCGACCGTCTTTCTCGCTTCATCAAAAAGCTTGTTCTTAACCATACATCCTCGATGATACTCCCAACTTGTTGGGAGAACTATAAGCAACAGGTGTCATCTGCCCTTGATTTGGACAATGAAGCAGAGAAAGCTCTTTTCCAGAGCCTCGCAGAGCGCAACGCGCGAGTGCAACGACCTAGACACTCGAAACAGACAACCCAACGATCACCGCATCAACGCATCGTACAACTTCTCGACTCCATACGCTCCGCCCAGGATCTTTCTTCTACCTTTAGCTACCTCGAGGCTTTTGATGACAAGGCTATTTTGGTCTCCAAGCTATTGGAATGGCTCTCTACACCCTTCCGCCACGGTCTCTGGCGGGTTTACATTGGTGTTCGTCTGCTCCGCAAATGGAAATTGTCCGGCGTCGATATAGACAGTCACATACTGGCTTTTCTATCCCGTGGACAGAATAATCAAAAGCTCAATATGGATCAAATCTACCATGTCGTCTCTGAACTTGTCAGGTCACAGACATTTTCAGTGGGTCGCTATCTCCAATGGCTTATGGCACGGGGCGTTACCAATGGATTGACCTCAGCCGAGGAGCGCAAGGTAAGATTGATTTTATTTGCCAAACCGGTCTGGTCACTAACAGATGTGCAGGCGAAGGACTTGCCAATCGATATCGGACTGATAGCGCAACTCCCTGTTGCCCGTCTTCCAGAACATGTTGGGAACTTGCGGAGTACCCTGCTGACTCGCACTGGGCTCTCTGCTTCAGAAGAGAATGCCGCTATTGATAGCGCGAAAGATACCATCAGCCGACGTCTGCCCGGTATCTTCGGCGTCAATGACTCTGCGTCAATGTCCTTAGACTCATTATCGTCAGACCTGCCTTGGGCCGTCAAAGCCGAGGTTGGCCAGTGGTTACGAGGAGCAATTGCGGAACACACCCGGAGCGCAGAGTAAGCATTTGAATTTTTCTCTCCTAAGCCTGTTAACTATCTTACTAACTCACCAATAGGTCAACTAACAGAGAAGCGAATCCGGTTGGCATTGCCCCTGTGGTGTCTGCGCTGACTCCCGGCGAGTTTTATACCGTCCGTGATGCTCTTGAATCATTTGGCGACATTTCAATGTTAGCAGATGTGTTGAAGTTTGCATCTAGTTGTGATGATAGCACCGTTCTCGCCTCGGTTGCAGATACCACAAACTGCCATTTCGACTCTCTTTGCGTGATTGGCGCCACAACTGATCTGTTCCGGAGACTCATTGACGCCTACGCCGGAATTAAAAAAGTTGGCATGCCAAGTCTTGATCTGATATTCTCCCTGATCGAACTTGGTTTGCGTATCCCGAGTGAACTCAACACTGTGTCCATTCTTCGCCAGGATCTCTCTCGGATGGAGAACAAGTCAATCATGGCCGCATCGTCTCCAGTCTCTGACCACATTCCAGATGGTTTTGGTGGCGTCGATCCCTTCTTCCGAGAAAAGCTAGATCAGCTTTTGCAATCAGGAAATGTCATGGATGAGCCCACTCTGGATGCGATTTTCAACACACTCATAAAGCATCTGGAGTCTGATGATGGCCATCCAAACCTGTCAGCAAACGACACCTGCCGTTACCTTGCACAGCTCAGGTCTTTCCATCCCAAGCACTTTGATGGCATTCTTGCCCGTTGGGTCTGTGGTCATTTGCGATCTCCTGAACGTACCGTCTTGCTGCGAATTCTACCGCCGCTAATTGGTGTCGGATGCGTTACTATCAGAGCTTTTCTGGCCCTTGCAAAGAGACTCACGCTCTCCACGCCAGCAACAGTCCCCAATTCAGCCCAGCTGCCTGCTGACCTTGTCCAACTTCTTGTCCCTGGCGACGAAGATAGCAAATCCTTTGATTTGGTGTCCTATCGGTTCCAGTTGGCACAGCAGGAATTTCTCAACAAGAACTCCGAGGAAGCCCTCAAAATTGCTTGCGACGCCGCATCCTCCAAGGCCGGTGGCCCTTCCGCTGGACATAGCGAGCTGGAGCGCTCTATAGTCATGTTGTTACGTGACCTTCTTGTGCGACACCCCGAATGCGCGGCACGGAATGGCATGCAAAAGCTCATCGACCAATCCCCAGCCGCTTTGAGTATGGTCCAGAAAGCGCTTGACCTTTTGCTGGGCGTCGAGTCAGAGTCCGATAGCAACTCGGTCCTCTCAAAGGTCGAAAAGCTTGCCCGTATGACTGACGATTTCTCACTCCCATTTTGCCAGTTGAAGCTCCAAGTTCTATTCCATGCGGACTCAGGGTCTGAAGACCGAAACAGTATTGTTGATGCCATGTTCAAAACTGCCGTGTCAGACTGTCGTGCTCAAAGACTCCATTGGGTTGACCTGGTTGCACTGATGAGCCCGGACGCCGTCCGCCAAATCCGGGAACGTGCCGAGAAGGAGTTTTTCTCCATCCCACTGCTTGAAGAGCCAATAGGTGATATCCCTGATTCGCCTGACAAGCTGGGATCATTGGAAACTGCCAAAATGTATCTCACTATTATTGAAGAGCTTGCAAGTAGCATCCCTGATTCAGGAGCTCCATCTGTCGCTCCAGTGCTTGTGGAAAAGATGGATTCCCTTCTCCACAAGATCATCACTATGCACAGCAGTACCCTCGCCAAGGGTGTGGCCAACACAGACCGTTCAAAGTTCGAGCGTGCTCTTGCATTCTGGTTCTCTGCTTTGCTGAGGATCATCGTCCTCCATCGGTCTGCATTCGCCCAACCGCCACCAGCTCTCAAGATCAATCCTCTGCACGAGCAGCTCCGACTTCTGACATCAATATTCTGCATTGCACTCTCGCGCCTTCCCGGAGATGTCCTTCGTCTATTCCCTGCAGCGGATTACTTCCCGCATCCGCCCCCGGCTGAAGGCTACCGTCCCTGCCCAGGGATCCTCCTACAGACCCACGCCCTCGACGTGGCCGCCTCGTTAATCGACATCTTCCCAGACGAAGTCCGCCACCAATGCGCACGGTTTCTGAAGGAGAAATGTCCATCCTTCGTTCCATTCCAGAACGACTCTCGCTTCCTCTACCTCCTTGGCCCAATGACCGACCAATACCCTGCAAATGCCCAGCAAGTCTCAGCCCCCTCTCCGGCAGCATCAGGGTCCACGCCAACACCCACACCTGGTCTATTTGGTATTGTTGGATCATCCCCAGCGCAGCAGTCTGCCGCAGCAACTCCGGGACTGTCTACCATACCGGCAGACTCGAACTGTATTGCCAACCGACTTCGTCTTCAACACCGCGGTCGTGTTGTTGGTCCCTATCCAGTCCGTCCTTGGGAACTACTTGAGGACGCGGCGCCGTTCCTGGGCGTCAATGATACAGCTGTCAATCTGGGCTTTTTCGACGCTAGGCGTGTGAGAGCTTGATGATCAGTCTGATCACTAATTCCTTAGGAGAGGTCACACTCCTATACATACTTTACACACTTCTTCGCTTATATGTGTCGTCTTTCTCGTCATATTCCTCCACTTTTATTCTCAGCGTTATCTTCTTCATATTTGCTCACTTCTTCATTCTCATCTTCACCTCCTACTACCTTCACAGCATATCCTCTCTATCCTCACGAACCTACATCTATTTAACCATGAGCGCTTGCATATGGGAATTTGCCATTTTCTTTTCTTTTCTTTTCTGCGTTCTTATTCTTTTTTTTTTCCGGCGTGCATTACTATCCCCCACTGGCATTCGGTTTCGGTATCTATGGCATGCAACCATCGAGAAGCATTTTGTACATATAAACCGGCTTTCGGTCTCGGCGTTTACATGGGCGGGAATCAAGTTGCCGTTCGGCCATGTCAATCAAATCCATTATATCAGGTCATATTATCATCGGTGAGCTATTTGTCTTTGTATGAACTAACTCCAGGGCCATCAGGGCTGCTTTTGGTAGGTGACTGACCACACTAGCCAAGACTACGGTTAAGAACTAATATTGGTATACGATGCATTGGATTACGGTAGGAATGAGCAAGCTTGTAGAATAAGATTGAAATTTGATAAACTGAATCGAGCATGTCCATCGTAACATACATGCTCCCCTTTTTTTGGTGTTTTCTCTTTTCCTTGAAAAGCAAATACACAGATTCGAATAAAAAAGAACAGACCATAAAAGCATGAAACAAAGAGTAAAAAGAAGATAAGAATAAAACGCCCTGTCATAGCAAGAAAATCAAACCGGATAGCTTCCTCCATCCCCATTTCAATCATGTGTCAATGTCAATATCAAACCTACTTCTTGGAAGAAGTACCACTGTCAACACTGCTCTTATCACTGGGGCCGAGACCCTGGCTCTTCCGAATATTATCTCTGCGCTCGATCTCGAGCTCTTGGATCACCTCTTGCAAGAGATGTTCAGGGACACGTGAGTCAGGGTCAACCGAGGCGCGGTGCGCATTGATCTCACGGGTGTACTGCTCAACTGTTTTGCCGGTGTCGGTCTTGGGTTGGTACTTTTTCTTGAGGGGTTTGCGATGCTGGAAAGCATGGCGGGCCAGGAGATGTTTGTTGTCTGGCACAGCGGGCTCGAGTCTTTTGCTGCTCTTGGTTGGAGTGGGTGTGACCACTTCTCGGGACTTGCCTTTGTCTGGAGTTCCCTTATGGACTGGCTTGAGGGTCTCGACGGTATCGGGTTTGGTATCAGCTGATTTCAGTGAGGTAGCTTTGGCCGGGGTCTGAGGTTTGGCGCTTTCCTGAGACTCATCGGAGTCTGGTGTCTTGGGGCCGGCCTCAGAGGAGGACCCGCCGCTTTCTTCATCCTTGGTGTCGATTTCATAAGGTGGCTTGGTTTCATCCACCACCTCTTCTTTCTCTTGATCACGAGTTGCAGCACAGGTGGAGTCGGTCTGAGGCGGGTTGAGCTCAGTTTCAGGCTCGGTGGGTTTGTTCTCGGACTCGATAGTCACAGGTGCCGCGGGCTCAGCCTGAGCCTCAGTGGACTTGCTCGCATGTTCCACGTTAGTTCTTCCTGAGGAACCCTCCAGACCTTGCATTGGGATGGGGTCACTCTGTGTCTCAGCAGGAGCAGGCACTGGAGTCATGTCACAACTTCCATCGGTGTTGGGGTGGTGCGGCCGAACTAGCGGACGACCTCTCTCAATCTCAGGGGTCTGGACTTTAGTCTGTGTCAAGGTTGACTCGGACTCATTGACCCTGGGCGGCGAGTTGGTATTCTGCTGGCTCTCCATGCTAGATTGGCGACTGTGAGGATATGCGGTGGGCGGGTAGGGCTGGTTGTAGTCAGGCTGCACGTAACAAGCACCCGGGTGACCGACCCAGTTTGCCTGCATATTTGCGAGCTCCTCAGCTGGGATAGGCTCGTAGTAGAGTTGTCGGTGATGTTCGGTGTCAAATGGAGGCTGGCTGGAGACAATCAAAGGACAGTCAGGACGAGGGGGGCTTGCGTCGAAACCCAGGGACAGGACCAGGACCAGAAGCAGGACCAGGAGCAAGACCAGGAGCAGGACCAGGAGCAGGAACAGGAACAGGACCAGCAACAGGCTGAGGCTGGGTGACGATTGGAGGAAGAGTATTGGCAGGCTGGTATGGTTGATTGCCTAAGAACACAGGGAAACCTGGGGCTGGCATGGCAGTGTACTCAGCATGATATGGCGGGGGTGGGCCTTCAGGCATTTGCATCTGGTTGAACACAACAGGGGGATTGGGGAAGGGACCCGCAGCTACAAAGCCCTGATTTGGGTAGTTAGGGAAGTTGTTGCCCTGATAGTTCGGGTGGAAGTTGCCAGGGAAGTTTTGATTGAAGTTGGGGTTGGGATAGCCCTGGTTGGAGTTCTGAGGGAAACCGTTGCCACCGGGGTAGTTCTGAGGGAAAGAGCCGTGAGGCGAATGACCTTGACCACTGAAGCTTTGGCTGTGACCATGATTTGCAAATGGTGTGTTTTGATGTCTGGGGGCAGGACCAGGAGCATTTCGGAATCCGCCTCTGTTGTTGTTGCTACCGCTGTACCATGGACGGTGGTAAGATCTGCGGCCATTGTTGTATCGCTGCTGATTGCCACGATTTGGGGGAGGTTGGTTAGATGGTCCGTGTCCTGCAGGAGAGTAATCCTGGGGAAGCTGACTGTCGTTGTTGGGGTCCATGTTGGATCTGGTCATGTAGTACTCGGAGTTGTTTTGAAAATGCTAGAATGGTTAAGTAGTTAGTAGAGTTAGGGTAGACTTGGGGTAACATTGGACAGTTGACTTACCTGGAGGGCATCTGCGTAATCGTCGGGATATGCGAAAGTGACAAGGCCGAAAGTAGAATTGACACCTTCTGGGGTGACGAAGTGTTCAATAGAAATGGTCTCGAGACTACCACGACCCTTCAGGGCATCGATGACTTCAGATTTTTTGATGGGAGCATCAGAGAGATAACCGAAGTTGGCAGTTCCTACAAAGAAAATGTGAGAAATAAAGATGAGAAGGTATGAAAGTGTGAAAGTGCGAAGGTGCGAAGGTGCGAGGGTGTAAGGTGTAAGGTGTGTGTGGTGTGTGGTGTGTAGGTGTGTAGACACTTAAGATGAAGCCCAAAAAAAAAGAAGGGAACTCACGTCTTGCCTTGGAGGATTCCAATCTCAACACCCGATTATGGAGCATCAGGTTTCCATTTTGTTTCAATGCTGAATTTGCTGCTTTGGTGTCCTATGTAGTATGTTAGTATGTGTTATATATCTTATATACCTCCCGAGGTCATATATAGAACTATCACTCACCTCAAACTGTACAAATCCAACAGGTAGTTTCTTCAAACCCTGCGACAATTTGATCTTAACATGACACCGACCAAATGCAGAGATCATTTCTGTAAGATCTTCTTCCAACTTTTCAGGAGAAACCTTAACGGAGAGGCTATGTCGGTTAGTATATGTAGTATCAGATAGGACTGGGCAATACCTACTTTCCCACAAAAACACAACAATCCGGAAGAAAGAGGCCCTGTGCATTTCCTTTGGTTGCCTTTTGATTCAATCGGTCCTCACGAGGGCGGTATACCGGCTTCTTTTGGTCGGGCTCGACTGGCTGGTCTGTGTCTAGCTCCAATGGCTCGACTAGCTCATCTCGCTCGACTGGCGCAAATGGCTTGAATAACTTAGATGGCTTGACTGGCTCGGCTGACTTGGCAGCAGTATGTTCTGGGGTACTAGGCTCCGAGCTACTACATCCAGGGGCACTAGATTCCGAAGCCGTATGTTCATAGAATGGGATATCAGGCTCCGGGGCACTATGACAGGCAATAGACTCGCTGCTATTCTGTTCGACGTAATGAATCGCCATTGTGGAGGTATATAGTCAACAAGGGTAATTAAGACTTTTGTACTGTGGTAAACGAATGGTTCGACTGCGATAAACGAGCGTGTATGGAAAAAGAAGAGAGAAGAGAACGAGATATGGAGATAACTACGTGGAATATCTTTCTATGAATACCATCTCCGTCGCCAAATTGGGATAAATTTGGAAATATCCGCCTTCCACTGGGTTTCCCAGCACGGACAAGTAGGTATGAAACTAACCACGGTATATTTCCGGGGAGTCCTCTACAGGACTAGCCCGAAGGGAAGTTGACTCAGAATCAAGCTTACCAGGGCTCTGCAGTCCGAGAGACCATCAAACCACTGGTTCACAAGCGGACATCTAGAAGAATAGAGGGAGCCAGGCACTCATCAAGATATTTTACCGCGCATATTACCCATGACTCTTCAGATAAAGTTGGCCATGAAGTCTGGATATCCTTCCCAAAGAGGGAATACGCGTCATACCGATTCAGGTGTCGGCCTGGCAAAGTATACGAGATACTCCTGAGGATCAGAATGTCGTCAGCCATCGGCATATATGCATGGCAGTTGAAGCAGTACTAAGCTCGACAGAGACAAGAAATCTCAAGTCTTCAAGATACTTGTACTTAGCGTGAATTTTGAATTTTTGAATCCCAAATTTCGAATCCATGGAAGTTGAAGTTGCAACATAATGACGTGTATATTATTGAGACTCCCAACAGTCTAATAAAATAAAAGGCATTGTTAACAATGAAAATGAAGTATAAAGGAAGTGAAGGGAGTTTAGGGCAAAGAGAAGAGAATCAAACATCTCAAACATCCCAAACATTATCTCTTATCGTCGGCCATCGGCCCGTTCACGCCACCTCGGGAAGTCGACTTATATGAAACTCCCAACTTCATATCTGAGCTTCTCCCCTCTACAATTATACTACAATATGTTTCCAACTCGACGTTTAGCCCAAGGTGGTTTCTTTAAACGCAGTGCCGATGAGTTCGGCCGTCTATCAAAGATTGGTAAGTTTATGTCAATGTCGTCAGTCTTGCAGCTCAACTAATTTGCCGCAGCTTGGAACACGGAAGCCCTCCACACCCCGACCAAACCTTATACCCTCTTGAATTTCGAAGATGAGAGCACCGTTAAAGGATGCAAGACCATGGCGGACCGTGCCGTAGGAGGCTTTAGCACAGCCAGCCTAGACTACGAACCTGCTGAACCTTCTTCAAATACTCCCTCGCATGCCCGCTTCCACGGTAGCATCTCAACCAAGCTTCCTGACAACTGGCGCGTCGAAAGAACCGGTATGTTTTTTACTCGCTATGAAGCGAGAGTGGTCTAGAACAAAAAAATAAAAAGGGAAAAAAACTAATACCGCAAACCAGGCTACGCCGCGTTCCGCAACCAAGATCGAGGCTTCTGGCTCTTCGGTCGGCTCTTCTGGGACGTCGATCCATACGCGTATCTTGCCCTGCGCATCAAGTCCGACGGCCGTCGGTACACCGTCAACGTGCAGACAGACGCGGTCGTCGAGACGGATATCCACCAGCACAGATTATACACGCGACACCACCGCGTACGCGACACACCAACATCAGAGGACTATGAATTCCAGGCAGACTCACCCGACGCCGTTGAGGACTTATATCCTACCGGCCTGCCCGCTGCGCTTTCAGACGTCCCACCTGAATCGACGATCATTTCTACCTCTACTAGTACAACGACGTCTGGCTCAAATGGATGGGAGACTGTTCTCTTGCCTTTTAACTCGTTCGTGCGCACGAATCACGGCTTTGTCATTGAACCTCAGACTTCTTTGACTCGGCAGCGTGTTAAGAGTATTGGTATTGGTCTTACGGACCGTGTTGAGGGTCCGTTTGATCTACGCATTCATAAGATCTGGGCGACGAATGGCATTAGTGAGGCGGAGGTTGAAGAGGAGCGCCGTATTTGTGGTGATAATGCACTGCCTCTCGATGAGGGTATTAGCTCTGGTTGGACTAACCAACCCAAGGAGAAGTCCATCAGGGAAGAGAGCAAGCAGCAGGACCGGGCTTCGAATAAGAAGGGTCTCAAGGGGTTGAAGTCAGAGTGGGAGGAGTAAAGGTAGGACAAGGTAAGGCCATATCTGTGTATAATAATTTCTGCCTCCGCGGCCACCATTGGACATGATACTTAAATTTCATTCTCATCGCAAATCATAAATACAAAAATCTAACCTTGAATCATATATATCCCTCCATATAGCGGGCTTATCCATATACCTCACTCTAGATCTTACCACCGGTGATCTTCTCCCAAGCCTCCTGGTACTTCTCCGCCGTCTTAAGCGCAATATCATCAGGCATGCGCACACCCTCCTTACCCTTAAGACCCTCACTGACCAACCAGTCACGCAGGAACTGCTTGTCGAAGCTGGCCTGGCCGCGGCCGACAGCATAAGAGTCCTTAGGCCAGAAGCGCGAAGAGTCGGGCGTCAGGACTTCATCGGCCAGCACGACCTCACCATCCTCATCGACTCCAAACTCAAACTTGGTGTCGGCGATGATCACACCGCGCGCGAGAGCGTACTCGTGCGCTGTCTTGTAGAGCTCAACGGCCATCTTGGCAACGGTCGAGGCGTAGCGTTCGCCCAGGATAGCGACAGCTGTGAGTGACAGACGTTAGTTTTTGTCTCGTGTACTATACATCTAGTACAGATATTTCAAGCCAACAGACTCGACGAAAAAGAACATACCCTGATCCGGATGAATGTTCTCATCATGTTCTCCCTGCTCCGCCTTCGTGCTGGGGGTGTAGATAGGGCCGTCGGGGAAAGCCTGGCTCTCCTGCAGACCGGCGGGGACCTTGATTCCATGCACGGTCCCGGACTTCTTGTATTCATTCCATGCCGAGCCGGTGATGTATCCGCGTACGATTGCCTCAATGGGGAGAATGCGCAGCTTGCGTACTTGCATACTCCGGTTCTGCAGGACTGGGCGGAGAGATTCCGGGATCTGGGGCGGGAGGTCGAGGGTGATGAAGTGGGTGCGGAGGGAGGGGTTTGCTTCCTTCAGGGCCTTGAACCACGTTTGCGTGCAGAGGGTGAGGAGGACACCCTTGTTAGGGATACCCTTTTTTGCGGAAGAACTGGCATTAGCAAGCAGTCTGAGTAGACAGTTGTATTGGTGTGGGGAATTGTATACATTCTCCATGATCACATCGTAGGCGGAGATGCGATCGCTCGCAACGAAGAGGAGGGTCTTATCGTCAATCTCATAGAGGTCGCGGACCTTTCCTCTGGCAATAAGAGGCAAGGCGCCCTGCAAATCTGTGGTTGTCAAAGCTTGAGCCATTGTGAAATCGTTCAATTAGTGAGTTACAGAGGAAAGTAGTTCTGCGTCATCTTTTTTTTCCTGTCCCGCATTGCAGCCTTGCAACCTCAGGTGTCGATTATCCCCAACACGCGCGCCCTTGGAACAATACCGTTGAAAGAACACAGCAAGATGTGGCAGCCATAGCGAAGGCAAAATGACGCGTTATTTGACTCCCTGGAGAGTCTCTTTGCTGTGTTTAGTCACACTCTACACCGAAGGCGTCGTGCCCAATTCTTCTGCTGTCGACGTCCTCTCGTTCATCACAGCGGGTCTGTTCCCACTAGATGCCGCCGATAAGCAATGGGAGGAGCATTACTTGCCGACAATTTCAGAGCTTGAAAAATGCCTATCTCGCCATGAGTCCTCTGTTCCTGGGCGCACGCTCTGGGACTTGTTTCTGAAGAACCTCTGGTCCATCGACTCGCTGGATGCGCTGGAATCTTTCTTCGGCGTGGTTATCCCGTCGCTCCTGGCTAAGTCACGCGACGAGCTGATCCATGACAGGGATAATGGGATTGCACCGGTGGCCGATGATCGCATGCGCTTGTCCAGGAGCTCGCCGCTTGGCGCGTTTGTACGGAGAGCTTATCTTGAATATACGCGGCTGCAGTTTCACGATGCTGTGAAGCTCTGGACGGGATTTGTCAAATACCGTCTACCCACATACAGCTATTGGAGCCGCAGACATCGCGAAGCTGAGGAAGTCGCCGTTGATGTCAATCTACGCGACCTGGGGCTGGATTCAACCAGCCACCTTTCACAGGTTGTGTATGGTAACATCGAAGATGATGAAGATGGGGAGGGAAGGGTCAGCGTCAAGGATGCAGAGCGACTAATCGAATTCCAAGTTGGTGAACTGCAAAGTATGCAATTCTTTTCCGGCCTTGTCATACCCATGTGCTAACGGACACAGGAATGGGAAGCAGAGTTCCAGATGGAATGAGGGCTCAGCTGAAACGCATCATGACCTCAGAGTCTTCAGTCCCAGTGATGATGTATTACCTGGAGTACGTTGTTGTATACATCATTTTTGGTGTACCTTGTGATTGACAAAATGCCAGATATCTTGACGCCTGGAGGGCTGGAGACTATACCTCAGCGTTCGACAACCTCCACCGCTACTTCGACTACACCATGCACGCGAATTTCGACCGAAGTGCATATCAATTTGCCCTTCTGAATTTGGCCATCATGCAAGCAGATTTTGAGTGTTTCAGTGAAGCTATCTCAGCCGTGCAAGAGGCCGTAGCAATTGCTCGCGAGTCCCATGATATGAACTGCCTGAACTTCTGCATGAGCTGGCTGTACCACTTTGGCAAGACTTTCCCAGAGCAGATGCGGGAAGTCCAGAATAGTGGTATGCTGGGTAATGAAAAAGAGGGCCTTGCTTTCCTCAAGGCCAAGTCTAAGGAGACTGACATGTGGTCTCTTATGAGTACCACGTTACTTAGCGAAGCTAAGTTAGAGATGCAGCAAGTAAGGATTCCTGCTTCCCTTTGGCAAGGTTGATGCTAATGATAAACAGGGAGAGAGTCTTGCATCAATTGTCGAATCCTTCGTGCGAGCATCCCACATCAACGTGACAAAGGGCGTTGCGACTCCCATAGGTGCATACATGCTGCTACAGGGCTCCATGTATGCCAGGATAGGTATGAACTATGTATATAGTGATTGTGATGGCGCTAATACAGCTGACAGGAGCTACTCACCTTTCTTGGCTGAACACCGAGATATTCCGCGAGTGCTATTCGGAGGGCCAACCTCACGATGACTTTGTCAAGATCACATTCCGAAATTGCCAAATAGTATGTCAGCTGTCTTTGGCCGTATATGACAGAAATGCTGATACATCACCTACAGTTGACACAGAAAGGCAATTACAAGGAAGCATTCACACGGATGAACAAGATCGACCCAGAGAAACTCCGAGCTTTCAGCTATAACAACACCTGGACTTTTCTTTCAGGACTACTGCAATTGCGACGACAAATCTGTCGGTAAGTACTGCATACTACATTGCTTACAGATCCATTCCTAACAACCTACAGCGACGACAAGGTGGCCGTCGAACATATTCTATCCCAACTCCAAGCAGTGCAACTCCGTGAATTCGACATGCGCCTACTTCTAGCCTTCTATTCAATAGAATTTACCATGCGCCAAGGCGACTACGGTCGCGCCCTGAGAATGGTCGAGCAAGCCGCGCACTCCATGCAACCAGAGAACTTCGACGTCCACTCCCAAATCAAGCTCCTCTGTCTAAAAGCACAAATCCTCGGCAAATCCGGCCAACCGCAACGCGGCTTCTCCCTCGCCATGCGCGCAGCCCATATCGCACATCGCTCAAAAGTCCTCGCCGACCTCTGGGAAGCCATCTGCACACTAGCGACGGTGTTACTGAGTCTCCGTGAATTCGAAGCCACGGGCGAGCTAGTCGAGAGCATCATGCCCCAGATCCTGGAGCTGGAGAATTACAGCCTCGTCGCGCAGGCGTATTCGCTTCTCGTGGACGCGAATATGGGTATGGCGGGTGAGTTGTGGAGCTTGCAGGGTCGGGACTCGACGTCTGCGAGGAAAGAGTATATTAACCGTGCTCTTGGGTACATCGATTCGGCGTATGATCATTTCGAGGAAATTGAGGATATCAAGGGCCAGACGGAGATGATGGCTAAGAAGGCTACTGTTATGCATCTTACGGGGGATCCGGTATTGGCTAATGATTATGCTGCCAAGTATCTGGATCTGCGGAGACGAACTGGAACATGAATACCTCACAGGAAGAATAATATACATTTACAAAATTGCCTTATCGTAATCCAAGCAGATGACTGTTTATAAATCTAGTCGCAAAGAGGTCTACTAGGACTCGACAGACCCTGTTACCCAGCTGGCTACTGTACTGTATACAAATTATGCTGTCTCTGTCTCAATTCATTCGATGAGGCATACACATGTTTCTGCATATGTATGTAGTCTCCTTGGCGTGCATTTCAATACGGACGCTTACAGGCCTTTGCACCTGATGCCACCGGCCCTAATCGGGATAATGCCCGTCACCCAGAGCAGGGACTCTGAATCCTGTTTACATTAAGTCTCCGTGTCTCTGTCAGCTCATAACACATACCCAAGTCCATCTTCCAGAGACCAACTTCCATTCACCAGTGAACTATAACCATGAAGTTCTAACAACATCCTCTAACATAATATTGTTGAAGATCGAAAGTATGACACGCTTGTTTCAGCCCCTCGTTATCCTCCTCTCAGGCCTCATCTTGACAGCCAACGGAGCCGAAAAGACAAATTATATGATCAACCCTGTCTACGTCAATGGAAAAAGCCCCGTTTGGACACTGGGTGACCAGAAAGTGATTGCATGGAAAACAGACCTACCGGTGTACAACGTCACAATATGGCAGCAGAGTCCATTGGGGGGGAAGCGCCTACAGTCGAGGCAACGTATATTGTATGCCAGAGGGGAACCGACAAGAAACCGCAAGACTAACAAGAGCCAGCCCAAATCAACGGAAAGGATCGTGTATCAAATTTCACCTGGACTGTCCAACTTTACGGCTTTGATCTGGACTACTCACCGACGTTCTTCTTCTGGGTTAACCCGTCTGGACCAAGTAGTTTCCCCTCGGCCTATTTCAACATAACCAGAAGATCGACATCGTCCCCAACAAGCCCAACTGATTCACCTTTGGCATCTTTATCACCGTCCTCCGATCAACATCCAGCACTCACAACGACAGCAAAGCTTGCAATCGGACTAGGTGTCGGGATAGGCGTCCCTATACTAGTCGCACTGGCGGCACTGGTTTGGCTGAGAGCTAAGCAGTTAAATGCCACTCAGCAAGCTGCAGCTAGCACGGTACCTTCTCATGGGATGGATATACAACAGCAGGGTCCAGACATGCATATAAGTGAGATACACACCGACCCGACTAGTTTCTGTCGGGAGTTACCTCAGGATGCTCGCGTGACACCACTTCGGCCTGAATTACCGGATCAGCGTTATGATTGAAGGGATATATATATAAGTGGGTTGCATATTCAATCCCGAAGAATGCCGATTGATTCTGATGACTCGATTAGATTGGCACATGTGGGAGAAGAGATCGACAAAGAGGAGGCTTTCCCCCACAGTATCTCCGGGAAGCTTAAATGGGGAATTTACTGTCATACAACATCCATGGATATGTTGTAGGGCTACAGCGATGTCTGTTCAATTGACGTTGTAATCCGAGTGAATGGATACCTATAGGGTGTTCCCTATATAATTGTCAACATTATCTGGAATCTCTTGTTCCTGTTCAAGGTGAAGCCACAGCTATCAGACGGGATAACTCGGACTACAACTGTCCCAGTCCTAACTATTCGCCGTACTTGTATTCCCGAGTCGGAATGCGGGGACAAGCAGTGGCCAATGCGCATGTCAATTGCCGAGACTCGGGTCTTGGATGTTCCAAGGTTTCCGTGTTATACCGAGATCAAAGAAATAGTCTATATTCACATCCCACATAGTTTCCGCATTTGGCCGAGAGGGTGTCCTTTGTATAGAATATGGTGAAAGCCGGTTGGAACAGTAGAGATAGATTGTGTATAGATTTGTAGAAGCTCTTATAAACTCATCATTTATAGCTTACGAATATCAATTACCCGAAATATCAAGATATCACCAGATCAACCCCACAACTCGGAGTTGAGACAGCCGACGAGACCTTTCGGAATAAAATCGGAGTTGGAACTCTATCAGCCATACTGGAAGCCCTAATTTCGGAGTTCAATCGCGATAGCTATACTATTCTATAATACTAATGTATAATAGCTTGACAGTCGAGATCATTATTTCTTACTTCAACAAATACCCTTGGAAGCTCAATTCCATTCATATCCCAATCCCACACAATGCTGAAACTCCCCCCAACCCCAACCTCCCTAGAAAACATACAAAACCAACACCCCAACACCAAAAGCTCAATCAAAACCAACAGAAACCACCCAACCTCCCCACTCACATCAGAAAACCCCAAACCAACCCAACCAAACCCCGAACCCGCAGCCCCTCCCTTCCGCAGCGTCTCCGCCTGCAACAGATGCCGTCTCCGCAAACACCGCTGCGACCAACGCCTCCCGCGCTGCGAATCATGCGAGAAAGCCAACGTCCGCTGCGTGGGCTACGACCCCCTCACAAAACAAGAAGTCCCCCGCAGCTACGTAGCCTTCCTAGAAAGCCGCGTGAACTACCTCAACCAAGTCCTCCTGGACCACGGCATAAGATTCAAGCCCGCCATCGCCTACGACGAGGAAGAGACGCTGAAAATGGAAACCGGACAGGTACCATTTGAGTCTTTGGGACTGAGGAAGAGCGCATTACCGACGCAGAACCAGACGCAGAACGGGACGGGGATAGCGCGCACGTCCCGGAAGAGGAAATCGCACGACTCCATCCCGGCACGACAGGCCAAGCGCTTGGCGCAGTTGAACGTCCTTCTTACGGAGTTGTTGACGGATGGCTGTGAACATCGACCATGTTCGCGTGGGCCGGATTATGGTGCGGGTAGACATGTGCCGGAGGACGCGGTTGAGCAGAGACTGCCTTGGTCGCCGCGGAGCTTTGATTCCGTTGATCATTGTGATACTCGTACGACGAGGTCTGAGTCTGTGTCGTCGCTTGAGCCGTATCAGTACCCCAGGATGAATTCTGGGTATGGGTCTTCTCTGTTTGGTGCGAAGGGTATTTTGGGACCGGATCATGGACAGGAAGTACATGATGTCAAGGGACAGCCTGGGTTCGAGCTTGATTTGGTGGATTTCGAGTCTGGGATAGCCAATGCCAGGTCCATTGGGGGTGGTAAACCGGGGAATACTGATCGACATTTGAATATGAGTCGGGCTTCGTCGGAGGAGAGTCGTTCTAGTCCTGAGCCTAAGTTTGATATTGCGGCTGATCTTCTTCGGGGGCGGAGGGAGAGGGAGAGGGCTAATTATGATTTATTGGATGAATTTCTTGTTGACTGGGCTGAGTGACTGTTCATGTCTTTCAAACCGGAGTATGTATATACGAATTTAATTATTACCCAAATAGACATGATTGGAATATAGTATGTTGAAGAAAATATAAAAAATTCATTCTGTCAAGGCTAAATCCCAAAACATTCGTAATCATTATCATCAGCACAATACAAGAAGTGAACGCAATATCAATCTATATACCACACATGTTCTCTCTTCGACTCTCCAGCTATACAGCGATCTCCGTTACCGTGGAGATACCGGTACCCATGGAGCTCTTGAAAGTGTCGACCTCGACCCCGTAGTTCACATATTGATCCCGGGTGGCAGCGACGTCCTCAGGAATATCATGCTTCGCAGGCCAGATTTGATGACCCGCAGCCTCCTCTTTGGCGAAGTGATCTGTGACGACCTCACGCACAGTCTTCTGGAAATGAAGCGGACCTTGCTCCATCCTGGGATGAAGCTGGCCGTTGACAAAGACACCAGCGTTGAGGTTCTTCTGCGAGTGCACGCACAGGTACTTATCCTCCGACATGATCCGTTTGTACATGTCGCTGATGAGGTTGAAGGCCTCGTCGGTGGCGTCCTTGTGGCGGTAGACTTCGTAGCGCATCACACATTGTGTGGGGCTGGTAGGGGTGAAGCGCTGCATGAAGAAGAAGTTGGGACTGGAGATCGACATTAGTATTTATACAATCTATTGATAGGGATACGATATACTCACGAGATATTGAACGAAGCATTAGGCCAGAAATAGGTCGTCGCTATGCGGAAGCCCTTCTCAATCTGGTCTGGACGCGGGGCGCCGTAGTGCTGGATGTGGCCGTCCTTAGTCTCGACATAGTACGAGTTGAGGTCGGCGATAGTGGGGATATCGGGGTGAGCGACTTGGCAGTGGTAGCACTCATTGTAGTTGTCTGCTAGGATCTTCCAGTTGAACTCGCCCTCCATATCCCACGTGTGGTCGAAGACGTAGTCCTCGAAGTTGTAGTGCTGGAACCGGGGCTGCTCGTCGACGCCGTCGAAGTCGTCTTTCCAGGCGACTTCGGGGGTTTCGCTGGCGTCCAGGTTCACCCAGACGAATCCGTTTCGGTCGATGTGCACATGCGCGGGGAAGAGATCTTCATTGCGGAAAGCGGTGATGTTTCCATTGCTGTCTTTGGCGACGATGAACTCGTAGCCGGCGGCGTCGTAGCGGACACAGTCGCCGGTGTTGGGGACGCGGTGCTTGTGTGTAGTGAGAAGCCATTTCCGGGAGAAGATGGCTCGTCGTTCGAGCTCGTACATGTCTTGCGATGTGTACCAGGAGGCGGGTAGGGCGCGGGTAGACGTAGACTTCTTCTCCTCCTTCGCTGGAGCAGCGGTAGCGGAGGTACCGAAATAATTCCTCAGGAAGGACATTGTGATAAAATTAGAAGAGATGTCTTTCTAATTGGATAGTTGAGAAGACTGAGACTGGATATTCAGCTGTGATATTTGCTTTGGTTGCTATGGACTAAACCTGAAGCCGGCGACGTTTACCCTTCTAAATAGCCATCGCTATCACAGCCAATTCATTAACCACGGAGCTTGAAACAGTCCATCCGATGTAGAATCCGGATCTGGGCCTGTCGAAACCGAGTCCCATGACATAGTTGGAGGCTCATTGTCTTCAGATGGTCATTTCTAGCGGGAGATATACCTGAACACCGATCAGGTGACCGGTAGACAGCAAACCGGACCGAGTGGCTTGAAGCCTATCAAGGACACCTCCCATCAAAAAGGAGCACTTTGCGTCCTGGAATGGTGTCCAAGTGGCAAGACGGGCAGCTGATGACGCCCCGAACCGTCAACGGTTCGGGGTAAAACCGACCCACGCCGGTTTACACGCACCTTAAAAGGAAGTGTCGCCAAGATGATGGGGTTAGAAACCCCGGGTATGTGGAGAGAGAGCTGCTATAAGACCTTCCATAATCCAATGGAGATACCCATGTGGCAAGATAGGATTCATCACCGGCATCGCCGGTGTTAGACAAATTGTCAGGAGAACAGGGGTCGCGATACTTTTGAAGGTTGGTTTTTGCGACGTTTCTACGGCAAATCAATATTGCTTGCCATCTTGTTCATCAGAATAGAGGTTCCTTGATCGAACCTGGTTGATTCACTATTCAGAAAGAGAAAGACTTGATGAGAAGGATCGGAGAAAAATAAGACGTGCTTTGTCAATGAGAGGGGTCGAGACCAAGGAACTTCTGAACAGTCTCGGACCGTCTGAGCTAGTAACGAATCCTTGTCCTTTGTTAGTGAATACATGTATGTTGTAGAATAATTCAAGTTATTATTTGCCTCGACTCTGAAAATTCCAATGAGTTCGCATCAAAGCTTTCCATTATCTCTGCGTAAGCACTAGTCCAAGCAACGTCATCAAAACAGCGGTGACCCTGATAGCTTCGATCATATATCAAAAGAACATGTCTGATAAAGTGCCAGGTCAAAACGCGTTAGCGATCAATGACACTAGATAAATAATAAAGCGAGGAGGCAAAGGCAAACGTACCTTGACACGGCAAATGGGGTGATCGGGCCTCAATACAGAATTAATCGTCCTCCGTACGGCGATATGGCAAATGCTCGCAGATAACCCAACCCGCGTCGGTCCGAAATTAAATCGGCGCTTAGAGATGATTGGAGAGGGATCGACATGAAGGTACTTTATGATTGTATGATTGTATGATTGTATGCACTATTTATGTGTATGCACGGAGTACTCCGTTCTCCGTCCTCCGTACACAGCCTGGGCGATAAGTCATTTCTTTTCATTTCATTTCATTTGTTTTTAAATTCAACATATGTATTTCGTGTACTCCGTATAAGACCATTATGCAATGCAGTACAGTACATTGTACACCTGAAAGTCACATCTCAAAGCTTAACGCCACTCGCCAAGTACTCCGTAGATAGGTACATATAACAATAAAAAAGGATCAGAATTCAAGCGTGTGACACGTTAGCTATACAGACAGCTATGCAGAGAGATTTCCAAAAAAATCCTGGAAAATCATAATTAGAACATAAACGAGTAGACAAATACCAAGATCGTGGCTACAGTGGCAACCGTGTTTTGGATTTCAAACCAAGCGGCCTGGCCACCGAAGGCGATCTTTTTACTCTGCTTCGTAGGATGCGCGACACCAGTCTTAGGGTCCCGCGTCAGAAGGTCCTCGCGATCTGGCATGGAGGGTGGGTCGATCGCATACGAGACCGGGGTCCACAACGAAGTGCAGATGAAAAGGAAGGTAAGCGGGGGCCAGAAAGCGTGTGTGATGAGACAGAGGATGATATCTCTGAAACTACTGTTCTTAGCGAAGCAGCGGTAGGAGGAGATGACGACTGCGACGAGGGTGACATAGACGAAGGCAAGGTGGAAGCTGGCCATGTAGTTGAGCAGGATCACGCGCAGGCGCACGAACATGTTCTTCGACTTCTTTGGGTCGCGCTCGTTCAGAGCTGAGCCCAGAGAACCCGTGGGCTTGAAGGCTTGGGTTTGACCGCCCAGCCAGGTGGGCAGGAAGAAGGAGCGCACAATGCAGAGAGCGATGTAGGGCGACATCCAGAGTTGGTAGCGGGAGCCTCGTTGGCCGGTGTGGTAGCCGGCCGGGATGAACAGGGCCATTTCACAGAGACGGTTGGAGATGGTTGCGGCGAAGCAGGCCCAGATCAGCCAGCGGAGTTGCTCTTCGGTCGCGAAGGCGACGAGGCGCTTGCCCCACAAGAGGATGATCGGGATAGCAAAGAGGGGAAGCGGTCAAAAGGAGGGTGTAGACACTCAGAGTTGCATAGAGGAAACCAGAGAAGCGTTGGGCAAAGCTCATCTGTCGAACAGCGTCACCCCAGAGGCAGAACTTCAGCTTGACCGCTGTGTCGACGGTTCCAATTGCCCATCGCGTACGCTGCTTGAGATGTCCACCAAAGTCTTCCGGCACGGTACCAAATTGAAGAGGCTCGTGGATGTATGCGGTTCTCCATCCTTTGCCAAGCATGAGTGTTGAGGTCGCGACATCTTCAGCCAAGGAACCAAGCGGGAAGTTGCCAATCTCTTCGAGAGCCTCGCGTCGAACCACGTAACCAGACCCAGTGCACCAAGCCACACCGAGTGCATCCTTGATCGGCTCAATAACATGCACGAAGAAATCCAGACTCTGGGCCAGCGGGTCGGATGCAGGGGTGTTGTAGAAAAGTTGCGGCGGGCATGCAAGGGCCATTTTGGGATCCACCAGCAAGTGGGGAAGAATTGCACGAAGCCAATCTTGTTCGGGAATCTGCAGATTGTCAGTCAGTATACAAATCGAAATTTCAATAAAGGTTGCGTAATTGTAACTTACCATATCAGCATCCAGGGCGGCCATGAACTGGCCAGCGCCTCCAGGCAAAAGGTTGACTTGCTCCAGACCGTAGTTCAGGTTACCGGCCTTGAAGTGGTGGGGCTTTCCGGGGATCTTTTCACGGGCCATATAAATAACGTTGGGGTGGTTCATAGCGAGTTGGTTGCAGGCAGCCTCAAGGGTGGCCGACTTGGCATCGTCCAGGATAATGACCCTCATCTGGTCGCGGGGGTAGTCCTGGTCACATGCGCCACGAACGGTATCGAGAACAACTTCATCATCCTCTCCACAGCAAGTAATAAACACATCCACCGTAGGACATTCATTACCGGTCAATCTCAGCTTGGCACGGCCTCTCTTCTTCAAAGCCATCATAGTCCAGCAGTTGTGCATGAGGGGAGGGAATCGCAACAGCGATTTCAATAGCCACAAACACCCAAGCTCCAGCGTATGAGACCCCAGCAACATTTTGAGCCATAATAATGCAGGCGATTCTCAGGCCAAGGTAAAACATGTAGATTCCGGTGTTGGCAAACGTGAGAAATGGTACCAGGAAGAACACCCATCTCTTCCACCCTTTCCATATTTCTGCATCATCACGGTTATGAATGCGAGCAATCGATCCAGATTTGACCCAATCTTTTTCAAATGATGGAGGAGCAGGTGAGGTCACTAAGGGAGCAAGACTCTGGTGGCTTTCTTGCACTCCATGGTTTTGGTACTGTACGGGAAAAACTGGTTAGGGCTGTGATCTATACTGAGAACAAAGAGAACAAAGAAAAGATTGCACTAACCAGAGTTGGTGAAGCTGAACGGGAATCATACGGCGTCCGTGAGTCCCAGGACGAGTTGTGAAAGGAATCAGAGTGACCCGACATTCGAGCGGTGGGTTGAAGCCAAACAGGTTGGCCGTACTCATCAGTAGGGAAATGACCTGGTCTGACTGGAGTAAGAGGCCTTGGGGAGACTGGTGGAGGCGAGAAAGGCTCTGGGTGTTCGAAGCTGTTGTTTTGATGGTAGCCTCGATAGGTATTCAGCTCTACCTTTTCGTCCTGATCGTCATGACCATAACGTCTGTCCATTTTGACGACAAGAAAGGTTATAGATTATGTAAAGTCAAAGATGAGGAATGCGGGAATCTTGAAAACGGTGAAAACGAGTGTGATCAGCCCGAAGAGCTGGAATGGAAGGATGGAAGGAAAAAAAGGTCTCACATTCCTAGTATTTTAGGGTACCGGGACCGGCGATCTCGAAGGGACCAGATGGTTAAGCCCTGAGGCTAGTGCACGCCAAGTACCCGATGTATCGCCGCTTTGAGCCGGAGCAAAAATAGATTTTTCCACTTTTCCTTTTTTTCCAATGTAATGTTTCACTTCTAAAGTGGTTTCTTACGCAATGTGTCTGACTTTGCAGTATTTTTTGGTTGCATCCAGCGGGTCTTTTGTTCCTTTTGGGTCTTTTTTTTTAAATTTCTTTTTGTACATTTCAGTACTATTACCATGTTTCCATTTTCATCTACTAATTTGCCACCTAATCGCACCAATCATAATGTATTAATTACATTATGTGGTTCTGTACCTGAATTCTGGGACCTGAGCTCTGTAGATCTGTACCTGATCTGTACCTGAACCTGTAATTTATGTAATTTACTACTATACAATGTATGTGTATGAGCACACCATTACCACGCTAACCTTGGAAAGAACCCCACTCTAGGCCCTTTGCTTATCTACAAGATTTGAATGGCCAACGCTTAGTTCTCTTCCCGATCGCCCTAGAACATGCTAACCCGATGCATCGCTCTAATCCACCCGATCATCCACATCTTTCGTAGGATGTGATACCGAGAATTTCACCGTTGCTAATTCGCTGCTCAACTTGCTGGTCCCTTTTCCCTCCTTTGTCTCATTTCCGATCATTTCCACTTTGCTATCATTCACTTTTTTTTTTTTGGCTTTATACTACGCTTCTCACTTTTGGTCATGGTCTTCGGAATAGGACTACTGGTCAACGCGATCCTTGTGGCCATCCCAGTTGGGGGAAGCGTTGGAGCTCTCTTGGGTATTGACGCCCATCGAGCAGCTACGGGTCAGAAGCCTCTGTTCACCGGGGGGAATAATGACGATGGCATCGGCACTGGCGGCGACAGTACTGGCAGTGGTGGTGGTCATGACACTATCACAAACAACGGCGTGCAGCACACCCAGTACTGTGAGCTTTCTTACGGAATCACTCCACCGTCGAAAACTGAACAATACACCCGTGAGTACCCTCGAACCAGCATAGATGCTCTTAACCTCTTGACCCTTGGACGACGACGACTGACCGAGAATATAGTGAATCCCAATCAATGGGGTGTAAAAGCGGACACAACAGGAAACGGACTCTGCATGAACGTACGCATTGAACATACCCATCTGCAATCTTACTGAACGGAGTACTAATACGGCATCTTGGTTTAGATCACGACGTTGGTCAATCAAACTTATGCACCCCAGACCGCTCCCGAGTTCTCCATCACCTGGCAATTCGACCATGGCCCTCAGACTGCGCCCGTCCACGGATACCCTAATATTCGCGTCGACGATGTGTTGCCAAAGGAGATGAACAAGATCTCCCAGGTGGATCTTGAGCTGCATTGGACATATGGACTGGGTGATACTCCCGCCGAGTCAACGGATGTACAAACGTTGAAGAATGAGAACCTTGCCACAAACGTCGCCATTGATATGTTCTTGGATGCCGACGCCGAAAAGGCTAAGAGTGCAAGTGAGGCGAAATTCGAGGTCATGGTTTGGTTCTGGATGTCAAACGAGGAGGCCCAGCCCCTTGGTTGGGGGAAACCAGGAATCACCAGGACCTTGGACGGAACTACGTTGTGAGTTGAGAATTGAGCTTGTACCTGACATCTCCCAGCATACGCTAACCTGTCTTTAATTAGCACGCTATACACCGGCAAAAATGACCAGGGACAGTATGTTTTGTCCTGGGTTCCGGAAGCGATCACCGAGAGGTTCACTGGAGACATTTATCCTCTCATCACCGATCTGTACAACTTTGGAGGAAGTGACTACCCAGCTAAAGAGGACTTCCTTGGCAGTCTCAGTTTCGGAACAGAAGTCTACTCCGTGGACAAAAACGTCACATTCTGGGCCGAGCAGTACAAGATCGACATCAAGAGCTGAGGATGAAGCGGGTATATATTGTATGATTACGAGCATTATATTTTGGGGTTTTTTCCTTCGCATCGATACACACCAAGCGTTACACATCATGTCAATTCTGAAATTTCATTTTCATCTTCATTTTCTTATCTTTGATACTTAAGCCCTGCTACTCTGGGTCTTGTCAATCATTTTCCAAAGAGTCAACCCCTAAAACCAGGAACGAATCACCATGCTCTTCCTAGTTCCTTTCAAATTATGAATCTTTGTCATTCAAAATAAGCTGGTATTACTGTTCCCAGGTTAGCTACCAATGATGACGCATCAGATTCGGCCAGTCTCCGTGATCGTGATTCCTCCGCAGAATCAGGCAGCAGGCGCAGAGATGCACAGATGACACCATCAGGCGTGATAATTGTCGCATATTTCATTATCAAGCCTTACACCCAGCTGAGATGACAACATATGAGAAAAATAAGGAGAATACCCCCCAAGCAATGGATGATCACTGTCATATAGATACTGGTCAGTCCTGGACCACCACATCCAGCTGTATATCCCGTACGAGCTTCGAGCGACTCAAGCACTCGAATATGGAGAATTTACAAGTAATCGATACCAAGCCGACTCATGAAGTATCTGATCATGAATCCCAATTCAATCTAGGGCCGCAAGAAGGATTATGGTTTGGATTCCGTATGTAATCAAATGGTATCCAAAGGACATGTCACACCCACAGCAAAGCTGATCCTCAAACTGGATATCCTGATTCTGGTCTTTGGCTGCCTTTCATTCTTCACCAAGTACATTGACCAGCAGGCGATCACCAATGCCTACGTATCGTACGTCGACTGTACTGTCAGTGTAGCAGACAATCCCGGTACGAATACCCCATAATAGGGGAATGAAAGAAGACTTCAATCTACATAGCAACGAATTGAACTACATAAGAGCGGTATTCTGGGCCTCGTATTACACCTCCATAATACCAGCCTGCTACTGGCTTACGCGCGCACGCGAATCAACATTGCGTTGCCGACCCTGGGAATCGGAACGAAATTGGAACGGGACTCTTCACATTGGGCTGTGCCTGGGCGCAGAATCTGAATACGATATACGCGATGCGCTTCTTATCGGGATCTACGAATCTTGCTCCTTCACTGGCGTCATCTATGTCAACGGATCGTGGTATAAGCCGAGGTGACGCGTCGGGTTGCGCTTTTCTTTGTTCTCCACTTGGGACCATGTTCGCGGGCTATTGCAGGCTGCTGCTTATATGAATCTGGATGGGGGGCATGGATTGCCTGGGAGGACATACTTGACTCTAATTAGATACGAAAGCCTTCTTGTTACTGACCCGTTGGCAGATGGTTGTTCATTACTTGCAATTCCTATTTGCATTGTGTAAGCCATATCCTACTTCGAGGTTATTCACTTGTTCATTCATCTAACGAAGAACAGATATTTCATTTTTCCGGATGTTCCTCGCCGCTCAAAACCACAGCCCTAAGAGCGAATCGCGCACGATATTGCAAACATTCGCCTGAAAGGTCCAACAGTGCCAAGCGAACTAAAAGTCTCCCGGCCATCTTCAAGCAGTCTTCAGATGATGACATTGGTATATCTTTGCCGTGCATTGGACCTTAATGGACCAGACCTTCAGACCATACTCCACACTCTTTAGCCTATATCTCAAGGCTAAACCAGACATTTACTCCGTCTCACGGGTGAACACCTTGCCGACAATCGCAACGGCACTGTCCGTTGTAGTCGCGCTAGTAGCGGGTGTTACCGCCGATCGTCTGCGAAATTTCCGGATTCAGTCCCGCCCTCGTTGGTGTTTCATATTCTGCTCGTTGTCGATAATGCTGGGGAAAGGGGCGACTGGTGGGGTTTATCCTCACTGGATTCGAAGCGGTACGTGGATTCTAAGTGCATTCATCCGGGCTAGTCTTTATTTGCTATTTGCCATGTAAATGGCATGTTCATTCTCATCGCAGCAGTTAGTCCGCTCAGTACGAGTTGGGCAACTATCACCATGGCCAAGGATGCCGAGGAACGCGCTATCATCACGGCAAACATGAATGCGCTCGGCCAGGCCATGGCAGTGTGGGATACAGATATTTCAGTATCCGGCTATTTCTGCCCCGAACTTTCGAACGGGATTCATCTCGAATCTGGCCACTATTATCGCACAATTCTTGAGTACGGACTTGAGTACGGACTTGAGTACGGAATTGACTCATGACACGCGAGCTCACGAGCTCCAAGCTAGAAACCCCATAACATGCGATCTTATAGGGTTGTTGAGCCGTTCAAGTGCCGAAGCTAATCAAAAAACGTGGTGAAAACGTGGCGATCCGGCGAAAGTTTTGCATTTGCCGGCTGGAATGTCTTGGCATCAAGCACGACATCTGGGGGACCCACTCTTTAGTTTAATTTTTCAAGGTATATCTTCTTAACATCCTTGTTCTTTCTTTTTGTATATTGTTCTACTGTTGTATATAAAGAAGTGGACTCTTGAGGGCATACATTCATCATGGCCCCTCACGTCGAGTCAGAAGTCACTTCTGAGCAAGCCCATGACTCTCAGACTGTCACCCGGTCTCGGTCATCATGGTATCGCTCCATTCCCTTCCAGATTGCCGTTGCTAGTGGTGTCTCGTTCACCGCTCCTGGAATGTGGGATGCGCTGAACAACCTCGGAGCAGGTGGTGCGGCCGAGCCCTACGCTGTCTCCGCGGCGAACGCTCTGGTTTACGGATTATTTGCTGTTGTTTGTATCGCCGCTGGTGCAATCAACAACCGTATCGGTCTTCGGTACGGTCTGGTTCTCGGTGCGATCGGTTACCCGATCTACGGTGCCGGTCTATACACTAATAACTACCACCCTACCACATGGTTCCTGCTCTTCGGCTCCGCGCTGTGCGGCATCTCTGCTGGATTTTTCTGGGCTGCCGAGGCCGCCATTATCATTGGTTACCCCAGTCCAAAGGAGCGCGCCTTCTACATTGCTGTCTGGCAGACCGCCAAGTCTTCCGGTCCGATTGTCGGCGGTGCAATCAGTCTGGGACTGAATGCACAAGGCTCCCAAAAGGGAACAGTCAGCGCCGCGACTTACATCGTCTTCATTGTCATCATGTGTCTCGGTCTGCCGATTTCACTCCTACTCAGTCCCGCCGAGAAGGTCCAGCGCAAGGACCACTCTCTTGTGGTTGTGGACAAGAAAGCAACCTGGGCCAAGGAATTCAAGGCTGCCTTTTCTCTGATCTTCACTCGCCGTGTCCTCCTTCTCCTCCCAGCCTTCTTCATCAGCTACTTCTACAACGGCTTCCAGAGCACCTGGCTGACCACCTACTTCACCGTCCGATCTCGCGCATTCTCGTCTTTCCTCACCAACTTCGCCGGAATCGCATCTTCATTCATCATGGCGCTGCTGCTTGATCGCCAATCCATTTTCATCAAGACCCGTGCCAGAATTGCTTTCTGCTCCATCGTTACCCTGACCATCGGCACATGGATTTGGGCTACCATCCTACAGAAACAGTACTACGACGCACCCGAGTCCCCAATCTTCGACTGGTTCACCAGCGACTTCAACAAGGCGTACGCACTTGTCTTCTTCTGGACCTTCAGTGGTCTCGCCTTCCAGCAATTCCTCTACTGGCTGGTTGGCCAGTACAGCACCGACATCTCATCATTGTCCTACCACTGCGGAATCCTCCGTGGATTCGAGGCTCTGGGACAAACCGTTGCATGGGCCATGCAAACCGAAGGTGGTGCCAACCACTTCGTCAGCATCGGTCTCAACTTTGGAATCACGGTTCTTGCCTTCGTCCCCACGTGGATTGTTCTGTCTGAATTGGAACAAAGCCACGAGGTGCAGGTCACCGCGGAGGACGTCGATCCCAAGACAGTCGAGTCAACAGCTTGAACTCGTCACTCGAATTGAATCATTTGATTCTTTCGATTTGCATGGTTCGCCGGATTCAACCCGGGAACCCACGTTTTTATTTTAATGATAGATAAGATACCCCCTCATGCTCTCACTCAACGCCGAGCATTATGTATAAAAAATGTATAGAACCTTTCCTCAGACACAACTGGGAAAGGGCCTCAGCCGATTGGCTTTTTATTTGAACTTTGTCCAAGGATTTTCGTAACCCACTTGCCCCATTACTAAATCGGAGTCACTTCTTAGGCTAAGCAAGTATAGGGCTTTTGAAACCTAGAATATATTCAGATTCATCCTAAATATGAGGATTCGTCCAACTGCATGGTGGATTTATTTTCTCGTCGACGTGCGACCATTCAATGGGAGGTTTGGATTAACTCTGGGGCCAATAAGCCACCGATATCAGCCTGCATTAGTGTGACCAGGGGATGTGCCTGTTGTTCTTGATATGGATAGGGACTTATGTTGTACAGGGGGCTCATATACATCAGGCTATACAGTTTAACCGCACGTCGTGATCGAATTTAGAATACTAGTCCATCCCTGTCAACTAAGCCCGTTATCAATCTTCGATAAACTCGAATACAGCAAAGCCTCTACTGCCTCCGACTATTCCCCGGTCGACTAGTAACCGTGGTAATCCCAACTAGATGCCAAAAGCAAAAGTGCCACAGATTATTGAGGAAAATATCGCAGCATCTCCCTCTTATCCTTATAGTGTCCGTTTGTGCAGGCTGAATGTTAGTATTGGCTTGGCATGGCAAGCTGGAGCAGCCTCTGGCTCATTTCTCACTAACTATCCTTCAGGGATTGATCAGCATCCGGGAATACAGATTACGAAACCCAGGGCTGGCAGGACACGCTGTTTGTCTTTGCGATGGTTGTGGTGGTTTATATCGCTAATGCCTAGGATCCGATGTGATGCCAATACTCAACAATCTTTTTCTGGTTCTTCATGTTGTATACTAGGCCATGATTCTGATTGTCTTGTGGATTATGGCTCCACACCAATCCGCTATAGCTGTATTCGTCATATAGTGGGAAGAATAGTGGTTGGTCTATAATTATAGGGCTGAGTGTACTGGTTGGACAAATCTCAGCTATTTAGGGTTCTTTATGTATGGAGTACCATTCAACATAAAGGCCAGCATGATACTATCAGGCTTGGGATATATATTGTCAAGGGCGGAAGAAATATGCTGGTCCAGCGGTTATTCAAAAGAATAGGAATTGACCGTTTTAATATGTAGACATTACATGTTACCTAGGTAGACACATTTATGTGGCTGGTGTGTCTAACGTACCAATCAGAATAAGCTAGTGAGCCGTGCCCCAGCCTCACATTGAACTGTCCTACCTAGGTAAGATGTTCTATTCCATAACTTTATGGTATAATATCTTTTTATACAGAATATTATTGAATACTTCGAGAATCTAGATGTGTAATATAACATACAGAGTCAATACTATGAAATTCATGAATTTCTAGATCTATTTTTAGCAAACCCACACGGACCAACGGTCCGGTTCTCGACGCGCAAGACAAAAGACGATCCCGAGGTTGAAGGATTTAACTTTTTTTTATCTTTTTCTTCAGTCTAAGGGTGGCTGTGCTTCAGCATTAAGGGATTGTGCACTGCAAAGTACGGAGTATATGTTTGTTCTTTTCATTGCTATTCGCCAGCCCCCCAAGCCCTAAGGTTTGCACAACGGCGAAGGGTGTTCATAAGGATCGCCGACGGCCGATGATACAGAGAGCACATCATGGAAACTGGACCAATTGGAATAGCCCGGATGCACCTCACTCTCCCGATTTTCTAGAAAGGCTGGTAAAGGGAAAGCGAAAAGTAAAAAAGTGAGGCTTTTATAAGGGCCTGGTATTATTAGGGAATCCTAACTATGTAGGTACTTACTCCGTGGAGTATGAATGTTATGGGATAATATCAACCGTTCCACAGAGCGCTAATAGTCCCTGTAGTCAGAATATCAACTATTAACACCCGAAGATGATGAACCTGCAAAGTACAATAATAGACGGGGATCTCTTGCCACCGGACTCTTTGGGGAGGAACATCACCAATCGCAGTGGAGGACCGAATTGTGTTGGCAGAGTACTTGCCGATCTTGAGTGTTCTGAATATTCTAGATATTATAGAAGTGGAATGGAATAAGCTGGAGAGGAATTCGGTATAAAATAATATAATATAAAATAAAATAATAATAAAAACCCAAGGAAAAGAGAGTACGTAGATATGTAGCTTGGAAGTACCTGGAAGCCTGGGATTGCGTGGTCCCCCGAATAAAAACCATCCGGTTTCCCTTTTGCCTGGGAACCTTTGAAATATCTTCACTTTCCTTCTCTTTCTACAATTCTGCAATTCTGCTCTGAATTCAGCACTTTGTATCCTATCCTCTTGTAATTCAACTTTGCTCCACTTTTGACAGTTCATATCATCTCGCATTTACCCCCAACCACTTCACTTGGCCAAGGCCGAAAACCATCTAAACCCATCTCAATCAACCTCCAGTCACCCTCAGTCGGCCGCCATCCACCCTCATCGTGTCGATCGGAGCCAACTAGTGACCAGCCTCACCGTATCTCAAATTGCAAAAGCGCTGGATTGTCATCGCGCCTCTTGGCAGTTCCCACCTCCACCACGCTCGCTCCACTCCAGCGGTAGGCGGATCACCACCGTTTCAGACCTGCCTTGAATCTCGGACGCTAAAAAGTACGGTGGAACTCCTAATAAAATGGACACCCCCCAATCTCCCACCTCTCCCAAGAGGAGTCGTGGATTCAGCGTGAAATCCGGCAATTCAGACAAATCGGGATCAACAAGCCACAAGCGTGGATTTTCAGAGTCATCAGAGGAGAAAGCTCGTCGCAATCTACATACCAAAGCAGATCCACTCGTCGCCATGAACGAAATGCAGCCTAGTACGTCCAACAGGCTGAGACGAGCCTTAATTCTGGCCCGGTCGCATTCCCTTCACATTTCACTTCAACTGACACTACAATAGTGACGGTCGCCCTGGAAAAATCAAATCTGGGCTCCCTGCGAGAGATTCAATTCAAGGATCAGTATGGGAATGTCATCAGTTCGTATCCACTTGCCATCATTGGTTCCTGGGACTTTCTTGCTAACCCTTGCTTCGTCCCAGCCGATCCCGACCTGTCAAATCCCACGCGACCGCGATTTGAGCGCCCCTTGGATACAATTCGATCGTTTGAGGCAGCGATCAACAGCTCCTACAACAATAATCGTGCGTCGTATGCCAAAGCAGGTACTTTGTGGCAATTGTGGAAAGTCCAGAATGCGAGAATATGGGCTGATCTTCTTGGATAGATGATGCCGCATCACAGATGGGCGATTACAGCCGACGAACAAGCTACTATGGAGGTATGTTCTCTGCGATTCCCGTCTTCCATGAATTGCTTCTAATCCTTTCACCGATAGGTCAAAACACTTCCAACAGAAACTATGAACAAAACAACTACTACGGCCAAACCCAATCGCGACCAGACAGTGTCGTGAATGCATACCAGAACACACCTCTATCACCCGAGAACCCAAATCCATACCCCTACGCCCAGAGCGGATATAACCAAGGCGGATATAGCCAAAACAGCAGAAGACGCCCATCCCACCATCCACGCGGGTCACCCTCGACACCCATGACCCCCTCCGAGGGCTACCCGAACATGGCCAACAGCTCACAATACGGCTACCAACGGTCGCGGGACAACGTGGCTGCGATATCGAACAATAGCTCTAGCAACACATATCCCTACGGCCAGTCCACAGATCCCAGCTCGCTCAACAGCTCCAACGACCAATTGCAGCAGCAGGCTCTGCAGCAGCAGCGTCTCGACGAGCGTGCTCAAGAGTATGGTTTCAGTGGTTTCAACTCACCACGGGCTCCCCAACCCATCGGTGACCCGAGTTGGGGTGGACCTGTTGGAGGTGCTACGACTTCCGCGGGGGCTGCGCCTGCACAATCGGTTGAGCGCAAGAATGTGAACCAACCATCGCCTGGTGGGCAGAAAGCGGAAAAGAGGAAGAGCTGGTTTAAGCGCCGGTTCAGCAAAGATTAAATAATCTGAGTCTCTTGAGTGGGATGTGAGATCGAGATGGATCATGCTTGGTATGTCATCCGGACACCCCATTTCAAGATGCATGATCCTTTTTGAGTCGGGCTCGACAGACTAGCGTTGCTTTTTGTATGGAACGGATATGGATATGCGGGATGTGTTGATTATTGTTATTGCTTTTTTCATGAGTTCTTTCATCGCACGCTGTAATGAGGTTATGATACATGGACTGGGACTTGTTTACTTTGTTTCTTTGTTTCTTATTCATATCAATCTGTATCTATTCCACATACTTCTCTCCCCTAGGATATGCACCCCCGTCACAACTTACTATTCAAGGCCATTAAAAGGCCATTAAATGCATATGTATACATTTGCAGGTACCTATACCCACAATATCCACCTTAGAAAACCCCATGAAATGTAAAATAGGGAAGCAAAAGAAATCCCACCATGAATCCGGAACCGAACCCGGAAAATAAATTGATAACAGGCTAACACGCCCTCACGCGAGAAATGGGAATCAAAGAAGCACGCAGAGCAAAGAGTAAAAGAAGATCCCCAATTACCCTACTTCCGCCCCAGCAACTTATACTTCAACTTATCCGCCAACCCCTCATGCGCAACCTTCTTCTTCTTCTCCTTCTCCTCTTTCTCCTTGAGCGCAGCCTCATCAAGATGAACATTCCCCTGTCCACCACGCTACCATAAGTCAGCCAAGTCCTGGGCAAAGAAAGTCCTGGGATTCCGAAGGGACGGGTAGGAAAGGAAGGAATAGCAATTGCATCCGGGAAATGGAAAGGGAACGAAACCCAGGCTCAAAACCCATAAAACAAATCGAAGGTAAACAACCGAAAAAGCTCTCTGCTTACCCCGGTATGGTATGTTTCATCTGTCGAGTCGCGCACCGCAAGCTCGGGGATCATATCTGTATCATGGGGAACACGGGACGAGGGCCGGACCATTGGGGAGCCGATATTCCCCGCGCCGCCTCGCTGGACAGATGCATCAGTTGGGGTTGCATCAGGTTTGCAGTTGTGGGGAGACTTGGGCTTGGGTTTGGTGGGAGTGGTAGAGGTACTCACGCCGGCGGAGTAAGCGCCATCACCTTGGTCGCCGTAGGGGCCTTCGCGGACGATCTCGCCATCGACGTATCTGTGTTAATATGCTTAGTGTGTGTCGCTCTTGCGACTGGTTCGGACGTACTCGGTTGCGTCGTGGCCGATGTTTCCTTGGCCTGGTTTTTGGAGTTGTTAGATGCTGGTTGTGGAGGAAGGTGTTTGGGCTGGCTTGCCTCCTCGGCCGTGAGAGACCATTGGTGCTTCGGACTCTGTCTTTGTCTTGTCCGGCATCTTGGGACTGGTTTTTGTCAGAGATTGGAGGGCGTGTGTGTTCGTCTTTGCAAGAGGTTATTTTGTAGGTGGGATATTTGGGAGATGGGTGGATGCGAAAGGAAGAAGGATTGGGGTAGGTAGGAAGGTATTTATCGATTATCGATGGGGCGATAGATGCAGGTACCGGATGCGTGGCGGGGATCCACGTGCTGGGGTGCAACTGCGAGCTTACTGTTTCTTAGGGGTATCAGAAGGGGTTTAAGTCGTACAGGGAAGAATGTAGACAAGTGGATGTTGGGGGATCTAGATCTTTTAAGTATGATCGTATAATCCACTCGCTTTGATCTTATCGGGAATCTAGATAATACTGGAATTCCGAGCCAAGAGGTTCCTGAGATTCCTCGTTCTCTATCTATATCGTGGAGATGTTGTTATTCAACGACATTGAACATTTATATTCGCAGGCGAACTACATTGGTGACGTCGCTGATAAGATAATGGCCTCTGATTGGTGCAGACATGGCAAGCTGCAATTGGCCGATAGCGAGCTTGGCGTTTACTTTATATATTGGGGCAATAATACGAGAGAGTATGTATTGAAGAGATAGAATATTCCTATGAAAAGTGAGAATCAGCGTAGTAACGGCCCAGATAGTAAAGGATAGAATAATGGAAGCTCTGTATGCTACCCGCGGAATACCAGACACATCCTTAGTTTTTCTTCTTGTCTTCACCTGAGCCACCTGTGGTAGGAAGCCCCATAAAGATCTTGAATGAATCGTAGCTGCAAGATCAGAGTCAGTATATATCCAGCACACAAACCAAAAGAAAGCGAGGCCATACATCATCCATTGGAGTCCGGTCTGTACATCGTAGTCTTGTTAGCACCTAGATTAAGCCGCACAGAACATAGGAACAACTCACCAATGTACCGATCATCACAATACGAACAGGCAGTCCGTTCCACAATCCCCGGAAGCCAATATCACCATAGATGCGGCTCATAGCAGCGCCAAATGCCTCACCCGCCTGTCGATTCGCGTTCAACTTGCTGACCATGACATCGGCAGGATGCGAAACCGCAGCACACAGAATACCAGCGAGGTAACCACCAGTGAATGCAACGGCAGTCTGGGCACCCTTGTTATAGTCGGACTTCTGACCTGGCAGATTGTGGTAGATCATCTCAACAATGGTCTCGAAGGAAGCAAACTTCATCATCGTGTAGGGAACTTGACGGCCCCACAGCGGATAAAGACCCTTGTACAGACTGGATTAAGGGTCAGCTTATAGAGAATTGACTCAGCGATAGATGTCCAACTCACCCAGCAACGCCCTCCTTGGCAACCACGTTCGAGATACCGCTGAAAGTACCTGTGATCTCAGGGGGGAATGGTAGTCTGACCGCGGACCTTGACAGACTCGAATGGACACAGCGCTACATCTGCGATGAGCTCTGCCGAGGCACTGGCTGTCAGGTAGATGGCAGTCTTGAATCGACTCGCGTTTTCCTGGCCGACCAGGTCGCTGTAGAAGACCTTGAAGTACTCGTATCCTCCATACTTGAAAGCTCCTTGGGCCTGTTATGATTGTAATCAGTATAGGTAAAGGAAGTAGAAGATTGTCGCTTGGACTCACACTGTAGCCAAAGAAGGTAGGGCTCCAGCCCGTGAAAACACCGCGAATACCTTCAGCTGCACGGATAGTGCGGAAGGCTTGTATGTTGCTCTTGTAGAGCCTGGGATCGACTTGGCGGCGACATTTGATCAGGTCGAGGGGTGTGACGGCAGTGTGGGTAAGGCCCTGGTATATATGTGAGTATCTGGTGTATGTCGCGATCGCAATTCAGGTAAAATGGGATACTGACACATGCCAGCATTCCACCATATGTGCAAGCTGCATAGTACTTCAGGGAGCCAGGCTCGATCTTGCCGGTCTTTTCCTGGGCCTTGTGGCTTGCGACATCAAATTCGCGGCTCGCCTCGTGGGCAATGCTATCGGCCTTTGTCTTCACATCGTCGAGTGCACTCCAAGCTGTGAACGGTCTGTTTTTCGCAGGAGGGCTCGCAGTGGTGCTCACAGCACCTACAGGATGCTGGGCGGCGAAAGCGTTAATCCAGTCGGGGATCATGGTGTACTTCGGGTAGTGGGTATAGGTGGAGTCGGCTTGGATATCCGGTGATCTCCACCAAAGGGTGGATTTCGAGTGACACTGAATGTGTTTGTTTCTGATTGAATGCGTGTGAGGACTTGAATTAGAATTGAACAGGGCCTGACGGGGAATAACGGTCTCACCAAGGTAATGACGTGTTGAGGTTGTAAGTCTTGGCGGGGTACCAAACCAGGCACTTTATAGTAACCTTGGAAGTACATGTACTTTTGAAGAGTATGGTAACGTCCACTTTCGATGCAGACTCCGTAGGAACTAATACTTATGCTGTACATTCCATAAAACAGCCATCGGAGTTTGGACTTACTTATAGCTATCTCCGTGCGGGTCTATGCACCTGAGCACCTGGCCAGGATGACAACCCCCGACCTCCGGGGCTAAAGAAGAAACCGGTTTATAATCCCGGTGTTTGATGGGTTTGGCCATATTATAAGTAGGAGCATTTGCTCAGCAGAGTACAAGATAGTTATTCTATTACTAGTGTGATATCCGATTACATGGCTTCAGTAAACCTCCGTTAAAACAACGTGAGACATGGTGAGATATTCGTTAAATTGTGCTAAATGTCACGGGAGAGTCGCTGCTACACTCGGAGAGTGACCAGGAGATGGACTGAGCTTTGGTGAAGTGGGGATCAGTAAAGAACGTTAACCGGTCAAAATTGCTAACCCAGCTCCGTTATGACGAATTTTGTATAGGCGACATTATGGATTAAGAACATTGAAGTTCGTAGTAGGGGATAACAATATTACTATGGCAGGTTAATTGAGGCGTCTTCGTTAAAACCGGGTATTCATTTTATCCGGGTTCGGCGTTTCGAGTTGATGGTCGGGCAATCCAGCCTGGATAGTTAATATTTACTCTAGATATAGTGAGGTGAGACTATATCGGCCAGGGACCATCTTAAGCGAGTATTTTTCTACTGTTGTAGGCGCCGACAATAGAGAATATGTACAACGAAAAGTAAGAAGCAAAGTTGATATAGATCTGATAAACTCCGTGGCCGCAAGCGTCTTCGGTAGTGGAGTTAAAGAGATGCCAAGCTTGACATCAAAAAGTCATCCAACGGCTGAAAGCCCTTGACCCTACACGACTTAGGTATACACGACTACGAAACCCTACTTGAATTTGTATATTCACACCTGGGCCAATTATCCTCCAGCTTCAACCTACCTGTACATCTTCTCGACAGCCTTCTAAACCATCCACTGCCCCTCACCAACCCCTCCATCGCGATCACACCCAAAATGGCATCATACCTGACCGGCAGCGAGGCCTTCACTCGCGAGAAGCAAGCCACTTCCGACACAATCACCACATCTACAGCAGCCTGGGCTGACAAGTACCGCGGTGTCCGTCTCTCCCAATACAATCATCCGGATCCCAAAACTAACACCCAACACAGGCGACCATTGAAGACCTCGACCCTCCCCCGGCGCTCTCAATCTCCTCACAAGACCCCATTGCCACAGCCCTAATGGCCGCGTACGAGCGCGACTACACGCATCTCACCGTTATCTCTCCGACAAAGCGCTCCTTGCTGGGTTACCTCAGCATCCCACGACTACGGGAGCTTCTGCAGAACGGCACCGTGAAAGAAAGCGACCCGGTTTCAGCGGCGATGCAGCGATTTAACCGTAAACGCGGTATCTATCAGGTCATCACGATGAACACGCCGCTCGAGGAGCTCGAGCAGTTCTTCGAGAGCGAGACGGGGCCAAATGGCGAGAAGCGCGAGAAGCAGCAGTTTGCTGTTGTCACTGATGAGGCGCGCAAGTTTGTGCTTGGTGTTGCTACCAAGGCGGACTTGGAGGAGTTTGTCAAGCGCAGACCTACCTAAGCTGATGGGAATGGGAATATGTAACAGAGTGAGTTCTGTTTGGCACTGCATATCGGCGTATCTGTCTATATTGAGGGCATGGGTCGAGGTCTTTTTTTTTTGTCTCTACATGCGGTTCCTTCAACATGAACAGCACATTTTCAATTGACTGACGGGGTTGAAGTGTGGAGCTTGATACCTTGGGGAACATCTGGGATATGTATCCAGCAGTCAGATCAATACTTCGGTCAAAGTGTAGTTTTACAATTGAGTCCTTAGATGGTCAAAATTGTACCATCCCAATAATACAAAAGCAGAAACCCTAATCACCTGAACAATACCGTAACGCCCAAAAGAGTAATCATTTCCTTAAAGCCCCCAGTTCAAGATTTATCTTCCTACTGGGCTTTCTTTGAATCTGACTTGCTGGCCGCTTGTCTGTCCTCCTTGTCTTCCGTCCAGGCAACATAGATATATGTGAACAAGACCACGTTGGCAGTAACGGCGGCGGTGATTCCGGCAAGTGTCGAGCTCCCTGGATAACATTCAATTAGTATATGGTATTGTAGGTTGGGAGATAGGGAAGGACTCACCACTAAAGATTGAATTCACAGTCAAGAAATACATGCCAATGGGACCAACAATCATGGCCGCTGTGAATCCGAGGAGCTTGTAGATCACATCGCTAGATACCAGAGCTAATAAGAATGTGTCTTCAAGGATCAAATTAAGCTTCTTCTTAAGGCTATTATCTTACGCAGGAACAGCTGGGGCCACGTCAGAGGTGCCTTGCGGCGCAGGTTTCGCCGCAACATCGGCGTAGGTCTGGTTGTGGGGGCGACGGGCAGACATATTTTCTTCAGAAATAGCAGTAATTAATAGAGCAAGAGGCCAAAGGATGAGAAAGGTACTGGGTAGAGAAACAAAGGAACTGATATCACAGGTGCGGAGATAACTAGTGCCCGCCGTCACATGCCGGGGTTTGATTGGTTTGAAGTATATTATGCCCATGTGACTGTCTTATTGTCT